GACAACAATTTTGATAGGTATTTATAATATATATCATCACGATTACACGGAGACACTGCGGTTTCAAACGTATTTTCAGGGGATAAAAAATAACAACAGTCGTACAAAATAAAAAATAAAAGGTGGATAGACAAAGTGAAAAAGATTTTAACAAAAATGTAAATACGGGATGGATAAATATTCAGCACAGGATAGATATAGGTGGAAACAGGTTTGTGTCGCGATAATGGGTCTTAATGGTCTTTGAAAACCGAAGAAGAAGAACGAAGAATTGTACGTGGTAAAAAGTTCAAAATATCCTAGTGATTTTTTTGTAATTTACAAGTGTTTTCAGTTTGTATAATTGAATTTATGTGAATACAATCATTTTGGCCCAGATAAAATGTTTGGGAACCTATAACAATTCATCAAGTTAAATTTAGTAGTAAAAAAAAAAAATTGATTATAAGTAGTAATTTATTTTATATAAGCGTTTTAAGTACAAATTTTGACGAAAATCGTAAAAACATATTATAATTGTTGAGCCAAAAATCGCTCAGAATCGTTTTTCGTTAGCAATGATTTATCGTTGAGTAAAGATATAAATTAAATAACTATACATTTCCCACCTTTCCAACCTTTCTGCACCGACAAGTCACAACATTGACACATACCTGTCAGCCCTTTTTTTTTTTTTTACCTCGTATAGGTCCACCGCCACCGCCATATTATTATTATTAGTTATTACTATCCATAAAAATAACATCAAAGGTGTAAAAATAATTGTATAATATTAACCATAGGAACCTACAATAACCTTGGCCACCGCTACCGCTACAGCTCGAACACGAAAATTATTATACTTACCCGCCGCTACAAACGTAATAATTAAATTAAATACTATACAAGTAATGTTATAGTTACTTGAACTCACGTTTACGTCGTTTATACGATTTACTTTTTTTTACTCGTAGGTATCTATCCATATAATATGGCTACACACAATGTCTATAATTATTATTGTGTAATTTATATCTGAAAATAAGTTCTGACTACAGAAACTTGTTAGGTATCGGCAGGGCCACGATAAAAAAAAACAATTTCAATTTCGAAGAGACAAAAATTACAAATGTTTTACTATGGCTTTGCGGGTTCTCATAAATTATGGGGAATTCGGATCTACATATAAAATGGAAAAATCACTATCGTGTCTTGTTTATCCCGGGTCGATTTACATCAGGTCGCGTGCGATCGAACTACATCGATTATAAACAGCATGAAGAAATAATATTGTTCAGACTGCGGCACAATCAGTAGCGTTTTGGCCGCTAGAATTAAGGGGGATATTCCCGGGACGGTGGGTTGCTCGGGTAAGTGCACGGCTTGGATCATCGGGGATATGCGAAAATACCTACACGATGTATTATCGATCGTCGGTCTACGTTGATGTTTTTAAATTTCATTGGTAAAATAAATTTGGAAAGCAGCGTGCTAGTAAAACGTATTTTAAACAATTACCTAACTTCTTTTTTTTTCTTATTTAGATAAATCAACAATCTGTTACATAAAAGTTACAATAATAAGATGAATGGGGTGTACATAGTAGGTGAAAATAGGCGTGATTTAAAGACGTTATCAATTGATAGCGCTTCAGCTTGTTTTATTTAATACAATTTATATTAAAATATTGTTAGAGTTGGGGAAAGTCCCTTAGCCATTGTCGTTTAAGCCTTCGGGGAGGTTTACCAGGAAGTAAGAGGGATGAGAGGTTTTGGATGAGGGGGTTGGTGTGTAGAGGAAAACGGGAGTGGAACTTGTTGTAGTGTAGTTTGACTATGTCTTTGATAAGAGGGACCATCAGGTCATTGTGAAGAATGAGATTTGATACGTATGGAGGGGCGTTAGTGATGAAACTGAATACTTTTGATTGGAATATTTGTATTTTATTAGTATTGAACTTTTTAGCAGAGCCTCAGAGCTGGATACCATAAGTCCAGATAGGTTTTAAGAGGAGATTGTAGATAGAGATTTTTGTTTTTAAGTTGAGTTTGGAAGATTTATTAAGGATATTTTTAAGTAGGAAAAGTCTATGGTTGAGGGTAGTTTTTGTTTTTTGTAAGTATCTAAACACTTACAAACTAAACCGGTCTAAACCAGTTTAGTTTTTTATCAAGTGATAAGCCTAGGTATTTGACTATATCTGAGGAAGGTATTTGTTTATTGTTTAAGAATATTGGAGGAGATTGACCTTGTCTAAGTATGAATACTGTGTGTATCGATTTTGATTCATTGATTTTTACCCGCCAACGGGAGTACCAAGGAGACAATAGGTTTAGATGATTTTGCACGTATGAAGAGGCTATTATTGGGTCGGAGTGAGAAGCATAAATTACTTTATCGTCTGCATATTCGACAACTATGGTGTTGGGGTAGATTGGTTGGTCGGCCGAGTATAAATTATAGAGTGTGGGGGAGAGGACAGCTCCTTGAGGTACGCCCGCAAGTATTAGCAAGATGGAGGAGAGTTCTGATCCGGATCTGACCGCAAAATAATAGCGTTCACTTGAGTAAAATTTAAAAAAAAGGTAGTATGAAGGGAGCAGAAGGTTTTTTAATTTGTAAAGTAGGCCAGGATACCAGACCTTATCAAATGCCTGTGAGACATCCAGAAATACAGCTGAGGTGTACATTTTTTTGACTCAAAGAGTATGAGATGGTATCTGCAAGTCGATGAATTTGGTGGATGATTGAATTTTTCTCGCCGAATTGTGAGTTTGGAATAGCATTGTTTTAATTATTGAGTAGATACTTTTAAGGATTAGTTTTCCGCAGAGTTTAGAGAAGAAGAGGAGTAGGCTAATTGGTCTGTATGAGAAGGGAAAATCAGGGGGTTTGTTTGGTTTCGGAAAAGAGAATTATTAATGAGAATTTCCATTGTATTAGAACATAAGAGTCCTAAAATTTAGTTTGGAATGTTAGTGATGTGGATTATAGTTTTGGGTGGCAGTTTGCGGGTTATTTCGGCTGTTATCAAGTGAAAACCCGGTCACTAGCCTAGGGGAAATTTATGGGTTTGTGTTTTTATTTCGTTTGGGGAGAAACATTTTGGAGGTATAGTAAGCGGTAATGGGATAGATAATTGATTGATTTCATCTTCGTTGGAAGGGAAGAGTGAGTTTGCATTTGGTTGAAAGACAGAAGATAAATGTTGCCTAAATATTTCAGATTTTTCTGAGTCATTTATGGTCCAGGTGCCATCTCACTATTGGTCCATCAAAAAAAATTGGGTATTGCTTGAACGCTCGTTAACGTTAACGGGTCTGTAATTTCTTGGCTACTAGACCTGTACTTACAGGTCTAATTTTGTGTCTGGAACTTTTACAGATTCGTTAATTATATATGGTGATAAGAATTATAATTTCTTTCTAAAACTATTCTATTTCCAGTTTCTGGATCATTACTATTGTACAGCTTGGTTATTTCCTCCTAAGACTGGTTTTTTTTTTTTTTTTTTTGTGACATTACAAAATCAGTCTAAAATGCATATTAATATTTACCTTGCCTAGCATATTGAAATTTATAATTAAATTACACCCGTTCCTATTATCTTAGGACATCTATTTTTCCTCTTAAACCTATTTCAATAATATGGTTTACATTTAACTATTCCTTCGAACCTTCGACAAAAGATCTTTTAAAATCACCAACATATTGAATTATGTCAGTGATTTCTTTTTTTTACAGAATTAAACATTATGTACATTTATTACTACATATTGTAAACAAAATATGTTTTAATAAGAAAATTGAATATCAAAAGTAGTAATAAATGTATTATATGGCTAAATTACTATTATTCTAATGCTATTATAGCACCCATCTCCTCATTATAGCCTTATCATAAATATCGACAAGAGCGCTAACTATAGTTCCTTTTAATCGCGAATAAAATGTATTTATTATTATTGACACTCGATAACGTAATCCATCATCACGTGGTATAATTTATTTGGTAACCACGGTTATCAATAAAATACAAATCTTATATGCAACTCAATTTATTTTTTAGATTTCATTAAAATGTTAGACGCTTGATTAGTTACAGGCTCATTAATAAAGGTACAGACTAATCTTCATGCAGTTTTCCCAACAAATTAGAAAAATCGGGAAAATGTACGAAATGTAGGTATATTAGTTGATTAAAAATATTACAGCATTTTTTTTTTTCGTGAACAACTTTTCTACAGATTTATAATGATAGCACTTTTTTCTTAAAGAAAATCGGACCGGGTTGATACTTCATAGAGGTTATTTTTTAATTTTCTCATTAGTTTTCCCAATAAATAGGAAAAAACATGTAGAAAAAACCGTAGAAAAACGGGAAAATAAGTTCAATATTAAACAAATATTATTAAAGAAAATATATAATACCTACCTATGTCATTATTTTACTGTAATATGGCATATATATTGTTGACAAAGCAACTACGTTATCAATTGAACTTCACTCAGAATCGTTTTTTCGTTAGCAATGGTATATCTTTGCATACAGATATACATTCAATTCCCCCTCTACTAACTTTCCAACTTTTTGCCTGTGTTTTTATTTAATTATCATTTGTCTTTTAAACCTATCCAAATTGTTTCTTCGTGTTAGATACGCCTAAAATAAAAACATCGTTTAACATTTCATATATTATTGTTTAGACTGTACACACGGCCGCGGCCCATGGGTTGGGAACCGCTGGTTTACAGAATGGACTGCGTTATCTGTTGATTTTCTACTTTTCACAATTTATTACAATTTTACCGCTAGAGTCCTCTGCCGTAACTGCCCCCTCAAATTAAAATACTACAATCATAACAGTACGATAGTATCGTCCGAACTACATTATCAACGGTAACAACACTGTATTAACCGACTTCACAGTTCTTATCAAATATTATCTGGTCATAACATAACCCTAAAATGTAGTTTTGTTTACAATATATAATTGCATTATATACTTGTTAAGGTTCAAATTTTGATTTCAAAAATCAACAGACGTTTCTACCGGCGTTTATTGTGTAAATTTTATAGGTAATTATTATAATATTTCACGGTTTGTCTTTTTGTTTTCTCCAGTGCATTTGTGTACTGTTATTATTTCATTCCAGGAATACATTAATATCGAAATTACCGAGGGCATAAAATAATCTGTACTACCCTAGAAGAGGACAACATTTAATTGTAACACACTTAACTACAAATAATACTATAGACGAATTTATTCTCAGGTATTTAATTTATTTATATAATTGCATAGAACATATGAACAAAGAGTTGTTGATGTTACTGTTAAAGAATTTTGATCAAGAGGATACAACAGATTAATTTTTTTTTCTTTCAGACGTGCGCATAATATAGTCAATTTACTTTCAACTGACAACAATAAGCCTATTTTAAATTCTCAAATCCAGAAACTCACTGTCAAATATTTTAAAAGCACTAATACTTTTAAAATTATCATTAATCTGTAGGTATCTCCTAATCAAAAATTAGTTTATACTAATCCGTTGCTTACAGATGACTAAAATCAAAGTGAAAGTGATAATAGTTATATTTTATAATTTACTTATGAGTTTAGTTATTACCAGATTAACTAAGGTTTTTTTAAAAATATTTTAAATATTTTAAACAGACATTGGATAGGTTAGGTCAATTTGATTGTAAAATTTGTAAAGCCATTGGTGTCTTTTCTTTTAATTTGTTACCTACATAAACATATAATTTGTAATTGTATGACAAATAAATAATTCCTACACATTTATTTTACCTGTTTATTATCTATATAAACTAAAAATAAACAGGTAATATTTTGTTTTAATCATATTAGATACATAAATCGTATATTACCAATATTTATTAAATTATAGGAACAGTTACAGAGTTATCCAAAAGATACATTATTTAATAGCAGTAAGATTAATCTAAACTATAATATCAAGTCAACCAGTTAGAAGAGTATTTAATCATCCTTTTAGGGATGGGAGGTGAGCAAATTGGCGACTCGGTTTTGTTTCTCTACCACCTGCCCAAAGATAATCACAATTGATGATTTTTAGCAAACAAATTTGTTACAGGAGGGCCTTCACATTTATTATTTTTTTTTTTTCGAATCATTACAGTCATTAGTTTTATCAAACTAAAAGTAGTTTACTTTTGAAAAAAAAAATTATATAAATCATTAAAACAATTTTTTTTTTTTTTGAAAAATATGAAGATACAATTTCAAACTTCTTTTTTTCATTATATTACACCTATATAAAATTGATACAAGCACTAAAATACTAAATAGTTACACAAATATAGATCCAAGAGAGTGATTAACCGATCACCCTCCCACCCTAAAATATGCCTTTTGGATCTACTTAAAATTAGAAATTTAAAATAAGTCTGTGTATTTAATGAACAAATCTGTCCGTCATTTAACTATTATTATTTTTTTTTAACACATTTATTGTATTTGTTTTAGGATTTTACTAATGAATCATTTTTCAAATCATCAGTTAAAGATCTAATTTATTGGATTTGTCATATTATCAAAGTAAGTATAATTTTATTTTTAGATTTCACCATTAAATATTATTGTTATATTTGATTAGAATAGAAATTGTTCTGATAACTTATTATTTACTACCTTTTTTTATAAAGAAAAAGTTGGTACTGGTCTAGTTTGACACCTGCTGAAAAAGTATTTCCTTGCCACTCAGGTTTGTTGATGCCTGCCATTTACATCTTTTCGATATTTGAATTGGTATTTGTTTTAATAGTTATATCCATTATCTCATATTTTATAGACTATACATTTAAATTAAATATTATGCAAAATTCAGATAGTCTAAATAAAAATAAATAAATTGTTGAAATTAAAATAATTGTACAAAAAATACACATTCTATCATAAATATGCAGGTGGCCAAAATTCTGCTATTTCTTGCATTTATCTGTAGTGTGACAACAAATGATTAGGATATCGAAAACATAAGAGATGTAAATGGCGAACGTCAACTAAATCTGAATGGCGGGTAAATAATTTCTAGGTGGGGGTCAATTGAACCAGTATCTCGACCATTACTAAAAATTCTTCTATTGTAATTATTATATATTATTTAAACATCGTAAATAATACCATACCTATGCTTCAGATTATTTCGAAAGTTTCAATATGTTTCTTAAATAGTATTGTAGGAGAGATTTGATATGTAACCATTACTCAAAGTTTAAAGGTGAAAAAGTAAAAGATTGTAATTTTTGTATATGGTTGTAAAATTAAATATTGTGTATCTAGATAACTTTAGAAGGGGAGAAAGGTGTACCTAATTTCAAGAGAAAATAATTTTGTATTTTTAAATACGTTTAAAAGAATAGTGTAAAATATCTATTAATATTTTTTACTGTTGGGAGTTTACTGAAATGTTATCTACCTACATCAACAACTTATTTATCTTTTATTCACCCTGTAGATAAGGCATTATACAAATCTACAGGGACAAATTTGAGGGTAGGAGTTAGTAATATAATAAACAAATATTTATTTTAGACGTAAAATGTGTTTTTATATTATTCATTTAATATTTTTGATTATAGGTATATTACAATGACTTCATTTGATCTAAGAAGAGAACTTAATTTCAGAGGACCTGCAATTAATTTAAATAGAAGTATATCTACTAAGAAACACACATTGCACTTTGATGGCCGGTTTGTTAGTAAATCAGATCGATATCAATTAGAATCATATGGTTTGTACACTCCTAATCCTATACTTGAAGGGTTAAGTGTATCACATAAGAATAAACTAATATGGTCAGCTCGTTTATCTGAAAGTTTATGGGCATGGTTTGTGTATGGTCGAAAACTGTTAGTATGGAATGCAGAAACCAATAAAGAAAATCGGACAAATCCTTGTTTTGAACTTGGATTACCAGCAAGTGAGGTAGCTCACCAATCAGCTCTTGTTTGGGTTTTTGAACCGGAAACTGAAAAATCATTATCTCATGCGTGCTGCATAGCTGTTTCCCCTGAGGGGTTAATACGTTTTTGGAAAGATGTGTATGATGAAGTTGAATTTATTGAACACAATACTGAACTAATGGGAAAAGAATGTGAACTCTTATTTCAAGTTGACAACTCTAGGTTTATTTTGTTAACAACTACTGCTGATTTAGTAATGGTGACAATCAACATGGATAATGTCCGCCCTCAAATAAGTAGTAAAATATTGACAGAGTCTACTGGTTGGCTAGGCAATATATCTATAAATTTATCATCTTTTGTTTTCGGTTCAACTGGACAACAGTCTGATCCTAAAACAATTTGTGGTTGCGTTCTAAAAAGTTCTTCGAACTATAATGAACAATTGTTTGTTGTAACAACCAATGGTACAACTTTAACAAAATGGAATGTTTCAGAACCTCAAAGAGAAAAACAATTGTTTGAAGTAAACTTAGCTAATTCTTTACAAGAGAAATTTTCAATTATGATGTTTAATAGTGTCAGTACTGGTGATATGGATATGGAAATAATTGATTTGAAACCAACTAATAACCACAATGAAGAAGTCATTGTCCTCATTCATACCAAACCAAACCAAGCTTACAATTATTATATTTTAGCTACTATACAAGTTCAAGATAACAAATGTCCAATTACTTCTTTACATGTCCTTAATAATATTGAAAGTTCTTACTTGAATGAATCTACACCACAATTACTTATAACTGAACAGCAAGCATTCATACTGTCAAAACATTATATTCTTGTTGTTACATTTGAACCGTTTCAAACTGACGTAATTGGAGTTGATTGTGATTTAAAATTTGGCGGTGGTTCAGTAGTTAACAATTATGGTATGTTTTTCACTCAATCTCATTGTCTAACAGTGGTTACAAAGATAATAGATGAAGAATATGAAATCAACGAATCGAGAAGTGTTCTTCAATGTCCAGATATGAATCAGTCTAATGTTTTAATTGCTGAAGTAGAAAGTGGTAGTAACGAAACTAGATTAAAATCTGCTTTTCTCCAGTTTGTCAGTCGTAAATTAGAAAATTGTAGAGCATTAATAAAACAAGCATGTCCAGAAGAATTATCATCAACTGATGGATTTAATCTAGATAAAACTGTATTTAAAGTTGGAGAAGATCTAGTTAATGATATACCGATTAATGATCCACGTTGGTTGGGAGTTCAAAATGAACCAACAATTAGATCATCGTCAATGGTAATATTAAGCCACTTAGAAGAAAAACAACAAGCTATACACTGGTATCTAAAATTTTTACAAGAACTTGGTCTATGGAGTCGCATGCGTCAATTATATAAATATAATACTCAAGTATTCACCGGTTGTGCTTTAAAAGATTTAAGTGAAAAATTACAAGCAACAATAACGTTTCGAAAAATTGAAGTTGATCATAGTAATCTATTAGATACATTGATAAAAGAAGCAGTTGAAAATAACTCTGATAGTTATTCTGCACCATTAGGTCTTACACATATAGATAAGTTTTATAAGCAAGTTAGCATGTCACACATTCTTTTAAAAAAACTATGTACACATAGTGAAGAAATTACTAACACTAATCGTAGTGCTGTAGATATATGTGGTATTTTATGTGATGTGAATAGGATTTTAGTAAAAGTTCTTGGTGCTGTGTTGGATTATAGAAGACAAAATGTAGATTTTTTCCCGATTGACAAACAAAAACAATCAAACATGTCGTGGATTCTTTCCGAAGATACAGAAGGCATATGCACTGAACTAAAGCAGCAAATTGCTATTAGTCTCAAATTTGTTAATATTGCAAATATTACTAAAGAAGTTCATTCAGAAATATCTGATCAAGTTGCATTTTTAGTAGATGTTTTGTTGTCTAGCTCTGTTGATATACTTTCAGAAACTAACAGCAATTATATTAAATTAAGATATAATTTACTAAGAAAACTTATAGACCACCAGGAAATCCACAAAGTAATTGAATTAGCTGAAAAATATGCAGATTATAGAATCATAGTAGAAGTTTGTTCTGAAACTAATAATATAACTTTATTATATAATTTTATGGATAAACTTTTTGACCAAAATTTCCGTCAAACTGTATTTGCTTGGTATCTGGAACAAGGTAAAATTGTTGATCTATTACGAAATTTTTGTCGTAAACCTAAATATGAACATGATCTTGCACTAGCATTAGAGTCGTATCCTAAGTATGGCTGGATAGCTGGAGGATTATCAGAAAATATCACCCTAACATGTGAATCGCTCAAACAATGCTGGTCACAGGAGGAAACAAATGTACTTAGAAGGCAAGCCCAATTGAATTTATATAAAATGACAATTTTAGCAACTAATGGGCCGTTAGCTAAGTATCCAGAATTGGAGCAAGTTGAAAAAGAATTGGAAATTATAGAACATCAATTGAATATTCCCCAATGTGTCTTTGAATCTACTGAATTAGACACAAATAACATTCGTGTACTATCACCCGAAGAAATTTATAATTTTTACTTACATAAAAATAATTCTATGCTAGATGAAAACCAATGTTTGCGAGCTTTGTCAGTGATACAATTTATTCCAAACAAAAACAAATGTGAAATGCTTGTTTGCCATTTATGGTGTGAAATAATATTAAAAGAAACACTGAAATATCCCCTTCATGACCAAGAAATTGATGATCCTATACAATTTGTAAAAAACCTATTATTTTTCAAGACTTTGGCCCTTGTGTATAATAAAGGCCTAATAGATTTTTTACCATCTTTGGATTGGATATTGTGTGCAGAAGAATTGGAAAATTTCCATTCAAATACAGTATGGCAGTATATTATGAAAATAGGATTTGAACATTTTTTATCTCCTACTGATTGTGACATGGATTTTCAAACTTCTCTTGTTCAGTGAAATTTAACTATTAATTTAAACAAATTTACTTTTTTAATGATAATTTGTAATATATAACTTTTTTTTATTATTTTGTAATAACTAATCATACACATTATACACTTGAATATTTATTGACTATAAATACCTCTAAATATATTTCTATTCAAGTAGTATACGTATAATCAATTTAGCAATCTATTATTTTTGTTATTTTAATTTAAAAAAATAACTAAAATAGTCAGTGTTATTTCTTATTTAAAAACAAAATAGAAAAATAGAAAACACTAAATTTATCAGCCTCCTTATAGTTTCTACTAAAATAAAAAAATTAAAATATCTTTATTAAAAATATTTAATTGTTTTTGTTTTATTTACTAAAAATTAACAGATGTTCCCACGAACTAACCAAACTTTCGACTAAAATTTGATTTTGTATTGTCCAAAATAAATTTAAAAATTTAGTTTTACATTTTTAGAATTTACTTATATAAGAATAATGTATCAAGATTATTATGTACACTAAAATAAATACCTACTTTACTTAAGTAATAACTAGGTAGTATATTGGGGTAAAAGATAAATTTAAAAAAAAATATCTGTACCAATTTATTACTTTTTATAGGTTTTTAGTTTTGAGAAGTTGTTTAATGTTTGTTTTATAATAATTATTATACAACAATGAAATTGTTTTTAATTCAGTAACTGAAGTATAATATAAGAGAATATATAGGTAAGTACTAAATTACATTAAATTAAAAACCAATGTTCTATTTTTATCATTGGCAAATCTATCAATATTTCAAATATTATTATAAATATATATATATATTTGTATGAATGTTTAACAAAACTAGACCTGTTAATCTTTCCTCGTTCAATAATTTAGATGTTACCATATTTTCAGTAAAAACTAAGTCTATTGTAACAACAAATTTTGAGAGGGTGATTAGGATTTTAATATACAAATATTTTCCAGTATATTTCTTTATCCTTTGAGTTTATCCTCTTTGTTCAATACAATATGCAAATTCACTAAACACTACCTATATTGATTAGAAATACCCTTAATTAATTAAATTGTTATTACAAAATTCACGTGCACGGTCTTATAATATAATTAAGTGTATGTTCTGTCAACTGTAGATATAATATTTAAATTAAATCTGCCTAGTCCGTGAATATAAGCACAACTAAAGGGTCTAGACTAGATCCCCAAAAATACTCAATAAGATTTTTTTTTTCAGTAGGTACCTACCGACTAAATATTACTTTATCCATGTATTTCCTAATTAGAGCGTGGATTTCTATGAAAAAACATGTTTTTAATAGATGTATGCACAACCATGAAAGTAAAATATGTCAACGATTCACAGAATAAAGAATCTGAATACAAAATGCATATATTTAACATTTTGTGTTCTTAATCAGCGAAAATAATAAAACAATTTTACAACCAAATATCACACAAGACCGTATTATTCTTTTATTTGTACCTACATATTAATAAATGTACTAGGTACACTAGCAACTCAACTAGTAATAAATATAATCTTAGGTTTATTGATCTTAAAGAAATATCAAAAAAAAAAAAATTACACCTAGTACTTGAAAACTATAAATTTGTAAGTATACCCAAGACGGCTTATTCAAGATTATAATTAGCACATTCAGTGTATTAGGTTTGCCTTGTATAATAAAAAGAAACAAACAAAAATGTCTTGTGTACCAATTGTTTATGTAGGTATCCACATAGGTAATTATTATTAGATCTTGGGATGAACGAGTTTAAATGAACTCGTGCATCTATCTACAGTTCGAAGGAAAATAAACTGGCATTACGGTCTGGTATTTGACGGTTAGAAGATTTAGATTTTTACGGTCGGTAAAAATATGGGTATGAAAATTTTCAAATTTTGGAATTATACAGACTGGAACAATGCGGTTTTCAAAAAAAAAAATATCCGTAATAATACGGTTGGGGACTATAGGATCTGCATATTTATTTTTCTACCGAAATACAGTCTGGAATTATACAGTTTGTGAAAATACGGTCAGAGTATTTACATTCTAGAACCTTACGTTATGTACCATTATTTACCGGGTTTCTACATGCGTCCAAATCGTCGAGTAAAAAATTATGTAGAACAAATCTAAATTTTTAATTTTTTTTTTTTTTGAACATATGTATATTGCTAATTTAAGAACGATGGTGGAGTCCAAATTAAGCGAACTTTTTCGAAATAATAGCTTTTTGAAGTTCTGATATTATGTGTTATTTGAAATAACTATATTTTATCTCTTACAGAATGTGTTGTAATCTAATGTTTAAACATGCCTATAATGATCTTAAGGGTTCAGAGTTCAAACACGGGTTTCGAACAAAAATGTTTACATTTTGTGTGTACTTAGAGACCCAACCCATCGCTCTCTCTATTTGAATTTGGAAAATTCCTCTTGATTTATTGTGCAAACTTTTCTAAAAGAAATCTTACTCCGATGTATCAAGTGTAGCTTATTTTCTGAAAGGAAATTTCATCTCGATAACTTAAGGAAGTCATTTTTTGATTTTTCAAACAGTTTTCATATTATCTGGTCAAAACCGGGATAAAATGTAGGGGAAACGGAAATTGTATGAAATGTAGGTATTAGTAAAAAAAATACTTTGGACTTATTTTTTCCTGTATACTCTTTTATCAGCAGCTTTGCTCCGATTTACAATGATAGTACTTTTTCTGAAATTAAATTTGACGGGAAGGTACTTTAGGGAGGTCATTTTTTGATTTTCCCAGTAAATGTGAAAGTTCGGTACAATATTAAACAAATATTATTAAAGAAAATAAATGGCTATTTCATTATTTACCATAATATGAAATATATATTATTGACATCACTATCAACTGAACTGCGCTCAGAATCGTTTTTTCGTTAGCAATGATTTGTTGTTGATTACAGATATACATTAAATAGCCTATAAAAGGAGGTGCTCCCATCTTCATTATCCTAAGAAGATTTTTTAAATTGTAAATCATTAAAAAACTGAATTTTGTTTGTACCCCGTAATCTGAACCTGTAAAAATTTAATAAAACAAAAGGTAATTGAGATGTTGGAATACTTGCAAAATACTTACACGATTTATTAAACCCAGCAATATTTAGAAAAAACCAAGAAAACTTACCAAAGAAATTTAATAAATTAGTTAAAACTGTAAAAGGTAATTTAACTTTGAATTTTGATTATTTTTCATTTTCACAAATGAAAAATATTACATGTTTGTTATCAATAATGAAGGTAAAACAATACGAAACATTTCGTTATAATCCAATTTTACAGTACTCTAAATGTATACGTTTCATTAAAACTACATAATAATAATAATAATAACCTACAATTTAATGAAATATAATCATTCTAAATTATTACTGCTTATGAAAAAATGCAGTAGAAATTATTCTTCTCAATATCATTTCAACATTGTTGATATACAGATTACAAACCTATTTTGTTTTTATTATAATATTGTGGTATACCACAACAAAATAATTCAAATAAATAAAATGGTTTTTATAAATCTACTAAATTGACAAAAATTAAATTTTAAAATTGAATAGTTTAGGTCCTGTTTATGAAGTAATTAGATGAAATGGTCTAAAATAATTTAAAAACAGGTATACTTAAATGTATGAATATTTAATTTAGGTAAATATACAATATGTGAATTTTGAATATTTAATCAGTATCTTCATTTTCACCATCACCATCATCACCATCATCATCATCATCATCATCATCATCATCATTATCATTTGTGGGTTCAGTTTCAGTCTCATTGGGAACGCGGACACATCCAATTAGCTGCAATACCCCTTCTGGCACATCTACATTAACTAATCTGGCCACCTCTTCTTCTGTAAGCTCAGGTGGCTTTAAAGGAATTCGTACAAGTTCCCGTACAACATTGGGTGGCAGTGTGTTATCCATGAGTTCAGTGCAATAATGTATAGGGATGTCATGCTCAATTTCACAAACACGAGGTTCCAAAGAAACCGTAGATAATTTGGTGAACTCAATATTTGTGTTTATTACTGCAAAAAATTTAAAAAAAAAAAACCATTAAAAAAATTATATAAAACATTCTTTTTTCTATTCAGTATTGTTAATTAAATGTACTACTTTTTAAACAAAATAGTTATTTTAATTCCTTTTTTACTAGTTAACATTACATATTGTTTTGTAGGGGAGGGACTAAATACATTGTTATAAATTGATTTGTTAACTAGTTTGTGAAACCAGAACAAGCTAGTCAATTATACAGTGTTCAATATTTTAAAACAATCCAAAGCTATTAGTAAGTTATAAAATATATATATTTGGAAATACTATAATCACAATTCTTAAAAATGATAAAAAAAATAAAAAATAGGTTTTACAATGTTTATTATTTCTATGAAAACTTTTCTACCAGACTTTTTCCGCGCGTAGCACTTTTTCCAAAATGATATTTCATTGGGGTGGTACTTTAAGGGAAGGTAGTTTTTGATTTTTCCAAGAGTTTTCAAAATAAATGGGTAACTTTTTGGAAATATATAATACATAAATAACCCAACTTTGCTCAGAATCATTTTTCTTTAACAATAATAATTGTACAGATGCACATTAAATTTCCTCTCAAACTTTCCAACTTCTCCACTACAAAAGTGTCCCCACCCATCATGTGATGTTTATTATTTTGAGCCTCATGAATAATATCTTTTTAATATGCATGTACACACATTAAATTGCATTAGTCAAATAGAATACTAGATCACTTAACTCAACCTGTATGTCGCACAATATTGGGTTAGAAGCATTATTTTATGCTTACTGATTCTCATAGTGATGAAAACTGAAGTATCTACCAGTAATTAATAAGTTTGGTCTCATTATAATATATACTGAGAATCCCTTAAAGATATACCCATTGCAATATTTCCGGAGTTAATAAAGATAATCAAATCTTGTTCTTTTTTTATTGCTCACAAGGATAAGAACTATGAATATGTATTTTGTAATTAATTATTTATGTTTTGGCAAAAAAATTAAATAAATAACTTTATTATATTATTTTAAAAATAACTATTTAAATAGTTTTTAAAAAACTTTTGATGTATCAACTTCTTATTTTCATTAAATTTGTAATTTTTTAAGTTTAGAGAAAAGTATCTATATTTATTATATTGATGGAGACACGGGCAAAAGTATTTAATCGACACCACAATTCATAATTTTCAGGTGTCAATCAAAAAACAGAACATTAATGTGAGATTTCAATTTTTTTTGAAAAATTATATTATATCATATTATCATTAAGTACAAGCACCACGCAATGTCAATAATTGTCGCTTGTCCCTCAAATAATTTTATTAATGTCGTTTATTCCCTATAATTGAGAGAACAAAATATAAACTTGAAATTCAAAATTTACGTTAAATAATAGTCACAACAGTTTTGAGCACACATAATTGCCGTAACACATATTTCTCCATCTAACAGTGAAGCAGTTATACCTTCGATATGCAGCAGGATTTAATCGCATTCTCTAATTAATTATTATTATTACAATTAATTAGCAGTACACTTATTTTTTCTGAACTTTAACAAATTCAATGAAAACAAAAAGTTGGTACGTCAAAACTTTTAGAAGAAAAAACTCAATAAAATCATTATTATTAAAATTGTCAAAAATAATAAAATTAAGTTATTTATTAAATACATAAAAAATAAATTGCCAATTTCAATATACGTAGTTCTCATCCCAGTGAGTAATATAAAACAAAAAAACATAATTAGATTTCAAGATTAGATTCTTTGTTGTTTTATGGATTGATTAAATGAATATATTATGATGTATAACTATTGTTATAGCTTATGAATGTTACTAGAAAACAATACTATAGTAATACAGCGATAAAATAAGTAAACAAAATTGTTTTTTACAAACGGCCAGTCGTAAGTGTTAGTAACAACCCGTTTAACATATAGATTGACAAAAATAGCATTTTAAGTAAACTATGCTAATAATTTTGCATATCACTCAGCTTGTAATCAACCGATTAACTTGGAATTTACAGAAGTATCATCATACTAATCATCAACCCGTGTATATTTTAAAACAAATTTCCGTAAAATTACACAGGTTAGGAATTGCCCATCTCATCATATAATAATAATACAATCAATGCACAAGCTCTTTATCTTTTACTTAGCTTTTTACCACGGTATTGGAATGTCATAATACAGTAAAATTAATACACATGCATTATATATTTAATTTATTTTTTCTAATTTTGAACTTATTGTCTTTTTTTTCTCATTTATTATGCAAGTAGCTGGAAATAAATATGAAAAAATGATCCCCTGATGTTCTAAGCCAGTCAGATTTTCTTTTGGAGTAAGTGTTATCATTGTAAATTGGAACAAATTTGCTAGTAGTAAGGTAATTCACAGGAAAAAACAGGCCATAATATTTTCATAACACCCAAAAATTTTGTATATTTTTCCATTTATTAGAAAAAAACTCCAGAGAAAATCAAAAATGGCCTCCCAAGTACCTACTCAGTCAGATTTCCTTTCAGAAAAAGTGCTATCATTATAAATCGGAGCAAAATTTCTGATAGAAAGTTATTCACAGATAGAAAAAAAACATCATTGTAAAACAAATACATTTCTAGCTCTGCTCAGAATTTAATCGTGTGGTGGTGGCATTTTTATAGCCCACCACTTGCAGTGAAAAAATTAACTATACTACTGAAGTATTTATGTGCGTTTATACATATTTCAGTGTATTTGCTACTCTACTTTCTCATTATACTATAGTGCTGTGTATACTATACTACAAATATTATACTGGGTTATATTAAATAAAATTAAAATAATATTCAACATTAAACATCTAAGAAAATATCTACTTGATGACACCATGATCATGAAATAAGAAAATAAGGAAATATGTAATTTTTTTTCCATTTAGTCTAAAACCAAAAGATTTGTTTTATTTGTATCCTAATATGAAACAAAATGCAAAGGAATGAGAGTAAATATTTTAATAATATTAATTGTATACGTAAATACATATAATGTTATATATGAATATACTATATAGGATTGTTATAAAGTTTTTTTACCTTCCTTCATATCTTCTTCAAAATTTATTTCAGTTACATTCTGAAGAAGCAATAAAGTAGCTAATGAAAATTCTCTCAAGCGTTTTTCTTCTTCTGTTTCAGTCTTGTTTTCTGTTGAGTCAATGTTAATATCTAGATCAATATGTGTGACTGGTCTACAATTTATAATATTGTTTAAAAATGCCTCTCTAGCTTCCTCTTCATCATTAGACCTTTTAAATCGAACACTGTTATTATTAGAAACCAGTTCTGATTCAAGACAAACATCATCTAATTGTTTTATCTCTGAATCTAAAATTTCAGTAGAACAAGATTGATCAAGATTTTCTTCTTCATCTTGAATAGACTCCTCAATTAAAGGATAAAATGATTGCTGTGAACTTGTAGATGGCATATTTCTCATGTTCTCTTCACTTAAATCATATGAATTTTCTTGCGTTTTATTACTCTTTTCATAATCAATGTCGATATCATTGATTGTGTTTTCCTCGGTGTTATCGGTCATATTTTTATTAGGAATGTCATTAGTTTCAGAATCAATACTTCCCTGACAGGAATTTTTTCTTAGCATATTTGTACCACTGACACTTGGTATTGGATCTAAAATTTTATTTGATTCAATACAAATGTTACCAAGCCCTTTTTCAATAGTTCCACAGTCTTCTAAATATTCATCAACATTCTCAGTAGCATCGGTGGCAATGTGAGTAATATTATCATTAAACTTAGTTAAAATTGTCTTCTTATTACTTTCAGTCGAACATCCTGGTTTGGCATTATGATTTAGTGAATTATCAGCACCTTGAACTTCTCCATCATCCCAATCTTTCAAAGCTGTATCATTTGTTTTAGTTTTTTTAGTAGAGTATATTTTTGTTGTATTCTTTCGTTTATTTTGTAACTGTAACAGTGTCTTAATTTTCAATTCTGATTTAGTTCCATCTTTTACAATCGTCTTACATAACGCCATATGTCGTTTTAGAGTTTCATATCGATTTGTAGTAAAATTGCAGCCATCTTTTAAATGACAAGCAAAATTGCCATCAAAACTTCCACTTGGCTGTATTGAAGCACGAGATTTGCGAACAGGATTCTCTTGAAATTTTAAAGGACCACGACTCTTTAAACTTGTTCTTGATTGTGATGGTGTTTTATTTGTTAATGACTTTTTAGTGCTTTTTGATGAAACAAAGAGTTCTTTTATTAGTTCTTTAGGAGGTGGGTTATTTTCAAATTTCTTTTCAAACACTTTAAAAATATCAACATTTCCATTGATTTGTTCTTCAAACATTATTACATCTTTTATGAAGTTTGCCATTTCAACATTTTGGGTTTTCGTTCCTTTTAGTTCTTTCAAGTACAAAGCTACAATAGATACAATTAATTTAAATCAATTTTAATATAAGTACATCATTGAAATAATAATACTTACAGTATCCTTTTTCCACAAACTCCATTTTTTTTGGACAGGAATACAAGGATATTTTGTCCATGTTAATGACAATATCACTATTAATACAATAAAAAAAGTTACTTATATGAATGTTACAAAGAAAATGTCAATAGCCATGCACTTTGGATAGTGTTTAATTATTTATTTATAACTACATTATTTTAACATTACTTAATTTGTTGTGATTAAAATTTAAACCTACAAAAAAGGTTTTTATTAAGTTTTCTGTATGGGTTCTACCAGGTGATTCATTTAAGTGTGTACATTCATTAATCTCAGAAAGTATTAACTTTTTCTATAATTTATTTTCTAAAACTTTTAAGAAACAAGCTACTACTCTACAATTTTATATTTATGTTATTTGTTGTCATCCTTAATTTTTGGAGTAAACCAATACCTACTATTGATTTTCAAATGGCAACCTATATTAAAAATGTATTTAATGAACATTTTATATATTTATAGACTTTTTAATATAGACTGTCATTTGAAAATCAAAAGTTGTTAGTGGTTATACCACTAAAAATAAGAGTGACAAAAATTAGCATAAATATAAAATTGTAGAGCAGCTTGTTTCTTAAACATTCTAAAAAGCAAATCTGAAAAAAAGTTAATATTTTCAATATAATGAGTGTACCCATTACTTAAATGGATTACCCGATATGTAAATATTATAAACTTAAGTATATAGCAGCAAAATGCATGTATAAGATAGGTAACATTGTACTGAATTTATAATTGGTTATTCAGAAATAGGTTTTTGGTATCTATTTTTTTTTTTACGAATTAATAAACCTTATATTATACCATTTCATTGACCAAAACTTGTTAGTTGTTCACTACTAATAAGTTAAAGTGTAACACTGGCAACAGTAAAAAGAGTTAACTATCACACAAAAATGTAAATTACCCAATATATTATGTTGTATAATTTGAAGTGTCACTTAAAATAACAAATACAATAGGTTATAAAACGTGTATTTTGAAAATCAATAAAATTATTAATTTAATTAAATTAAATTAAATATTAGTAGTATTCAATACTATCCAAAAGGCGTTGGATAATGCTATATTTTCAAGCTAATACTAAGATTAAACTATTTTTTAAATAATAAATAATAATGTTGAAACTTAGATAACATTATCCATATGTGAATATGACCCATAATATACAGTGTGTCGTATGAAGATATACCCATTGTTATATCTCCGGAGATAATAAAGATAATCAAATTCTGTTTTTTTTTTAAAAAAATATTACTCAGGGATAAGGACCACAAATATTTATATTGCAATTAATTTGAATATACTTTGATAAAAAATTTGAAGATTTTGAAGCCATTTATAATAGTTTATTTTTCTGAAATTTTTTATATATCCTCTAGTTATTTTTAATAAATTTTTAAAGTTCAAAGTAAATACATGTATAGTCAATTAATCGTAATAATAATAGAGAATGAAGACCAGCAGCCTCTGCTGCATAATTATAGGGGTACTTTCTCTGAACTTCAAAAGTTATTTTTATTTTATTTTTTATCGAAACATAAAAAATTAATTGGAATATAAATATTTGTAGTCCTAATCCTAGTAATATAAAAAAAAAAAACAGAATTTTATTAACTTTATTATCTTCAGAGATATTACAATAGATATATTTTTGTGGGACACTCTATATATATATTAATTAGTACCTACACAAATATTATAAATACAGCAATTTCAAATTTAAACTTACTACTTTTTATCTCTTTCAAAATAAACCATAGCAATGGGATTTTTCTTACGATTCATAAATTCCTGTAATTCTTGCGGTGCAGTTTTAGGATCAACTATTTTACCTGGCCACCATATTCTGTTATATACTTTCGTCCATACTAGGGTACCTGGGGTAAAAGGCTGAATTGTCTGGTCACTCATTTCGTGTATTTTTATCAGCTAAAAATAAAACAATTAATTTTAAAAAAAAATACTACATAACATTGTTTTATTCTTTCATTTGTATGTATGTATAAAGAAAGGTATTACACTAACAACTTAACAAATAATACTTAGGAATCCAATTAACATTCACAATGTGTAAACAAAAAATGACTAAGTTCATATTAAATTTAAATAACTTGTTTTTGAATTAAGTCCATACTTTTAATGTACTTGAACTTTGATTGGGTCTTTCATTTTAATTCAGTTTACAAATTTCACATTGGAAACTGAGGAAAATGATTTAAATATTTTTGATATCAATTTAATTATCACAATATAAGTTATTAGAAGATAACATAATTTTGCTATACTACAAACAATACCTCGATTATCAATCAGATGAAACATCCGATTGAATGTTAAGGAACACCGATTTATATTAAAACGCAGAATACTTTATCAAGTGATCTAAACAATTATTTGATAATATATGTGAACCCGCTAATATATAAATGTATTATATTATAAAAATACTAAATAAATATAATATTGGTATTCAATTCAATGAACATATTAAAATCTATAACAGAAAAAAAACGATATGGCTAAATAAATTGAAAACATACAAATACTAACAATCGTAATACAAGTATTAAGTATCCAGTACAAGTATATAAACATTTCATTTTCTAAACATATTATAACCTTAAAATATTATGTTTGAGTCAATAAAATTTGTTATACATTCAAATTACTGAAATATACAGAATGCGCAGAACTAAACTTGTTTTAATTTTTTTGTATCTTAAAGATTAGAGCTTTTAAGAATGTATACAAATAATATCTGAATACAGAAAATATAATATAAAAACAAAAATATTATTCACATATCGTTAAAATGCCATACAAATATTAAAATGATCGAATTTACCATGACCACCGCACAAACCACATGTCAACGGGACCATAGTATTAATATTATAACAATGTCAAATACTTACAGAAAAAAAAACAATGAATTCCAATCAAAACGTTTGATAGAAACACAAAAAAAGTACTTAATTTAATGTATGTATTATAAGTACAGACATGGAAAAAAAAGATTATAAGAGAACGGATTTACAACAACGTAAACAATGAGTAAATGCATAATGAAGAATAAAAGATCACCGGTCATCCGACGTCCAATATTTCGTACCTGTTCTATGGCGTTTAGGTGTATAGCTTAATGACAATAGCCTAGGCAGTGTGAACTAAATAATATTAACAATAATGAATCGAACAGTGTAGACAGTATGACTTTGGGTCAAGCGTCCACGCCATCGGACAACCGACATTACGAAGGCCTAGTTACACTGATTATTGTATAATATATATTTGTGCTTAAATTAGAGTTACACTAGTGTTTGTAGATTACACCGAGTTCATCAGCTTATTGGCGTTGTCTCAACTAAAATGGGCGGAATTGATATTTTGGCGCGTAACCCGCCACAATATTAACAGCAATATCTTAGTCCATGGTACGGCTATAGATAACCGTGGTCCGTGGTATAGTATAGTTATCTGTGTGCAAAATGATTGGGTTATCACCTAATAATTATATCAAATTTATATCACATGTTATCATAGATTGAATGATATCAGTGCGCCAAATTTGAACATGAATCTTCCAATTATATCTTCTATTATTGGTATGTTAATATTAAGTAGGTATAATGATATGTTATAAATTTTAATACAGTTGAATGGAATCCCTAGAGCATTTTTACATCAACATTTCAGTTAAAAAGTAAAAATGTATGTTGTCAAACACACTAATAAAAAATGTACAACTTATAATGAAAATGAACCAAACCATTGATTATTTATGAATTATAATGAATCACCTACAACCATGAATACCTACAGATAATGTACCTACCTATAATACCTACAGATAATGTACCTACCTATATATCTGTATCAAAATAAAGTTTAAGTAAGTGCTGATACTGGAAAGGGATGTGTCATTTTAGCAGATTGGAAAGTTGGAAACAAAAACAAAAAAAAAAAATAAACATCTTAGTAAAACCAATAACTCTCTTGCTACGCTCGGAATCTAAAATATATCTCGTCGACTGGTTGACGCAAATTAAAAATCCCAACGCCATTTATTATGTGTTTTATTAAAACTAAAATTATTTTATAATTATTATATATTATAGTTATAATCCGGATAGTGGTTTCGTCCCGTACAAAAAACCGGTAACGTAACATTTCAGAACCGCTCGTTTCTATAAATTGTTATTATATAACAGTATATATACATAAAAAAAAAAAAACAAATTCCGAGATTAACAATAAGAAATAATATAATGAATAATTAATTAATTATAATTCGAACGAACAGCTGATAGCTAAGCGGGTCACCTACAACTATATTGTGTCCAAAACGCAAGACGAAAAATCTCATGATCCCCTGTTGCTGTAGCGGCGTATAAAGAACACGAACCGTGTCACCGTGTGCGCTGTGCGGACTGCACCGTGGCGGTTTCGATTGGATATTTTTTTTATTATTATTATTACGCTGACGCGGCGGGCCTTTGACAGCGACGTTGGCCACGCCACGGGGGAGGAGTCCGCGTAGGTGACGTCGTCCGAACCGCGATCTGTGTACCAGGGTCCCATGGTGCGGGTTGATAGCGTTTACAGCTGAATAACCTATATTTACTATATGTACTATAGACAACACCGATACGATATTTTCGAGTCGCTTGTAATTATTGTTGTCTCGACGGTGAAACAAGACGTAAAACAGACCCATAAATTTGTTTCAAAGTGAAATGTTCAGTATCATGTTTGTCTCGTTCACCGCTGTAGATATTCCATATACCAAGATTAAATCTATGCGTAATGCATACCTACTATACATGTACAACTGCAGTTGTCTGTAGACTGTGTAGCAACCACTGTTTAAAAATTCATTTAAGTTTATTTAATATTCATCATGGTCTGTTGTGCCTGCAGTTATTTCTGCAACAAATATTCCAACCCAAAAAACTACTATTGAAGGTTAGTAATTTGATCCAATTTTAATTTATTTTTTCGCAAAAAAATATAATATGTTTAAAATTAATTGAAATTAATCCATAATTAATTATGTAAATATCAACAATATTAATATATTGATATATATATGTATAAATAAATTCTATTAATAAATAAAATGAAATATTACTAGGTGATTGGACAACTACTGGTGTACCAAACTATACACGTCTTTTACTACACGACACAGAGGTATACTCAACAAATAGAATTGCGATATTTGCTTCTGACGATGGATTAAAACTTTTGAGTGAATCTAATGAATAGTATTTGGATCATCCAAATACCATCATCCAAATTGGATGGTAATTTTGCTTTAGCTCTTAGAGAATTTAAGCAGCTCTATGTTTTTAAAATACAGGTTAAATCCGTTTTTATTACTACTGTTTATGTGTTATTATGTAAAAAAAAAATCAAAAAACATACGAAAAAATACTATCCGTTATACTGGATGCTTGTTCAGATAGAAATTTATATCTAGATCCTTTAAAACTGCACATAGATTTTGAACAATCTATGATCCAAGTGGCAAAAAGTATTTTAGGAGATTACGTACAAATAATTGGTTATTTTTATCATCTCGCACAAAATACACATAGAAAAATTCAAAAACTTTGACTAAAAACATTTTATAGAAAAGATAATGTGTTTCGATCTTATTGAGCCAAACTTGATTCTTTAGCATTTTTACCAGAAAATAAAGTTGTGGAAGGTATGGCTTATTCAAAAACATATATGCCTAAAGATGTGCAAGATCTTGTGTATTATTTTGATATGAACTACGTGAACGGTCAATATAGCCGTGTTATTACAAAGAAAAATCAAAAAGATTAAGAAAATGTCAACCTATGTTCCCTCCTTCTACTTGGAATGTGTATGAAACTACGGTAAATAATGGCGAACGTACAAATAATCAAACGGGTGGTTGGAACCACCGGACCTCTTGGATGGTCATAACCATCCAAGTATAGAGATTATTATAAAAAAATTCGACTAAAAATGTCTGCAGACGAAACAAAACTAGCCCAATGGAATCTAAATGTCATAAAATTGAAAAATATTTAAACTATCGTTAAATTTACGACTAGATAGTCTATACTTGTAGCAAGTCTACGGGTATCACTGGCCACGCACATCCTACCGCTGATTCTGCACACAAAATTTTAAATTACAACGCGGTAAAACAACGAGTTAAAAACTGCCGATTTCGGGGGTTGCTGTCAATAAATATTATATACAGGTATTTTATCTATCACTATAGAATTATACCATACCGATTAAAGTAAACACCAGTTCATTAACCCCGATGATTAATTAGTCAACGCTTTTCACACGCGTAGTACCTCCTTACGCGTACATTAGGTCATAATAATAAGATAATTTACATAGCAAGAACTGATTGCATTTTCCACCTTATCTTTCATTTAATATTATACTACGTAACAATCTCCCACTTTCTCTCGAAATGTTATCGTGAAACGACTATTGCAGTGACCTCAAAATCTGCCAAAACATAATGTTACGATGTAGATTATATTTTTATAATATTCTTGAACATCGTATCTTCCATGTCATTATCGCTATTCCGTCAGTTACCACGCCACCGATCAGTCGGCCGGTAAAAAGAAGTCACATACGAAATTATCAATAATTTCGATAATTTCTTTATCAATAGTATTGCACACGTTTTATTTGTTGTCGTCATGGAATACTGGAAAAAAGTCACTTTTCTATTATCCCTGTATATGTTTCTGTTTGAAATACGACCTCTTGAAACTTATTTGACTTCGTATCTGACCGGACCAAATGGAAACGTCTCTCTTTCCGAGGTAATATCAATTATACTAATAATAATATTAATTGTGTATTTATTTAGCTATTTTAAAGCCCGGCTATAAAACTAATACATTTAGGTAAAAACCAACAGCTGATAAAATATTTATAATATATATATATATAAAATACGAACCTTCTGAAAACAAGTTGCGAATAGCAGATTGTTTTCCAATCAAGCAACCCTAACTAAATTAAAACAAAAATATAAAATTAAAAATTAAAGCATTTTTCCCGTAAACTTTTCCGTAAACGTTTTTCACGGTTTTGCTAAATTATTTAAAAAACTAAACAGAAAATGAAAAAAAAAGACGATTTTAACATTAAAAATTCCAAATTCAACAAAAAAGGTCCCTTATCGATTTTTGGTTGGAGCAATTTCTATTAGAAATTTACTAATTTATACTAATTTCATTAAAACAATAAGACTCACCCGAAGCGTACTTCCGCATTTTGTATTATTTTTAATTTTGGTTCGGAGCGTGGCGAGATTTTACTATAAGATGTGTTTTTATTTTTTTTTCTATCTTTAAACAACTTTTCGAAAAGAAATCTTGCTCCGATGTGCAGCCTATAGTACTTTTTCAGAAAGGACATTTTGTTTTGTCTAGTTTACGCATTAAAAATTCAACTTTTTATTTTCTAAAGGGTTATCAAAATAATTGGGAAAAACCGAAAATAAAATGATTGGCATAAAGGCGAATATTTACCGCACGCCACGGCATTACCGTTTATTCATTGTTTTTAATGTTTGCAACTTATATTTTCTACCAGAAATATTGCTCAATCGAAAAAATAACAAGTGATCAGTTTTGTTCATTTTTATATTTTTTTGATATCCAAAGTAGTTCACATAATATTTGGGAAATACCAAAAACTTAAAATTGATTATTATTTACGGTAACTTGCATTCCGGTTTAATTATTCTTCTTTTTCCTACCAGAAATATGGCTCCAATATAAAAACCACAAGAGATCATTTGAGAATTTGGACAGAGTACTCATATTTGCTTTTTCTAGACATGATAAAATTTCCAAACCATTTTTGAGCTATAGTTGGATATTTTAATTTTGGGAGTTTTTTACGTAATTTATCTTTAGAATGTACTAAATGTGAATAAATGTATAATACTATGTGAATAAAATTGTTAAACCAAACAGAAATGCTTGAAAATTTGACAGGATTTTCAATTTGAGTCATACTTAGAGGTTAAATAAAAAAAATGAGATTAATATATTTAATAATTTTATGGGTATTTTAAAATCAAATTTTGACGAAAATCGTAAATATTACGGCCTTTTAAAACATTGATAATCAAACTTCACACCGAATCGTTTTTCATTAATAACAGTTTATCATCAACCAACGACGGCGGGATATTTACGTATCCCACCTTCCCAAATACCCACCTACAACAGTGGCCGCACACGTCTCTAGTATCAGCTCTTTCTTTGATTTGGGACCGTGATCGAAAAAGTCATAAATATTATTTTCGATCGAATGGAGAGTTTTGTATTTTTTTTTTTTTTTTCATTGTGACAAGTCATTCTTGATAGAGTAGGTAGTGAAAGTAAATAGTTAGTTTTTTAGATTCTGAGTGTAGCAAAGAATGTATTGGTTTTACTGAGATGTTAATTTTTTTATTTTTTTATTTTTTTTTTTATTGTGATAGAATTCTTACTCATATATAAACACGTGGTATCATTTCTGAAAGGAAATTTTGTCCAAATGGTACTTTTGGGAGGTCATATTTTGACTTTCCAAGCGGTTTTCATAATATCTATGAAAAACCAGGATAAAACGTAAGAAAAACCGGAAATTTACGAAAATAATGCTTTTATTGTTTTTCAATTTTGTTAAATATTGTAATTCAGGTTTAAATATTCATAGAGACTTGAAATTTCGACAGAAAATTCATAATTGCCTTTTCTAGACGTGGTAAAATATTCAAAAAATTTAAGCCATTTTTGAGCTATTTATAGACATTTTAATTTTGTGAGGTTTGTACGTAATTTTTATTCAGTAGGTACTTTGTAGTAAAATTGTTAGACTTAACAGAAATGCTTGAAAATTGAACAGGAAGTTCATTGAGAGTCTTACTTTGTGGCTAAAAAAAGAACATTTGAGTTTAACGTAGTGTTTTTTTTATAAAAGAATTTTAATATCAAACTTTGACGAAAATCGTTGAGTAAAAATTTATGTGGAACAAACCTAATTTTTCAATTTTTACGAATATGTGTATATTGCCGATTTAAGAACGATGGTGAAGTCAGAACTGAGCGGGCTGACTAAATTTCGAAATTATAGCTTTTTAAAGTTTTGATAATATGCAAATATTATATGTTATATTAAATAACTAAATAGTCTTTTTTTAAAATATTTTTGTCGTAGTTGAATGGTTATATAACCCCTTTTTTATCCTTGGGTACGCGAGTTCGAACCGGTATTTTGAAAAAAATGTGTTCGCATTTCTTTTTCTCTATTACCAAAACAAAGAAAAAACAATTGCATTTTGGATTTTCCTAGAGACCCAAGCTATCGTTCGCTCGGACTATTTTAATCGAAAAATACCCCTGGATTTGTAATACAAACTTTTCTACCAAAAATCTTGCTCCGATGGATACAAGTGTAGGAAGTGTAGCTTATTTTCTGAAAGGAAATTTTATCTCCATGAAAACTTGTGGAGGTCATTTTTTAATTTTCCCAGAAGTTTTCCCAATAAATGGAAAAATTGTGAAAAACGAAGAAAAAACTGGAAAATTTATAAAATACATTAGTAAAATATTACGATTTTTTTTTCTGTAGACAAGTTTTTTACCAACAATTAACTCTGTCAACTCTGACTTAAAATGATAGCACTTTTTCTAAAAGGATATCTAACTGGAGAGGAACTATAATAACGTAATTTTTCCATTTTCCTAAGAGTTTTCCCAGCAAATGTGAAAAACCGGAAAAAAACATAAGAAAACCATAAAAAACACAGGAAAAACGGGAAAATCAGTACAATAATAAGCAAATATTTTTAAAGAAAATATACAATGCCTATTTAATTATTTTACCATAATATCATGTATATATTGTTAACAAAGCATCATTATCAACTAACCTTCGCTCAGAATCGTTTTTTCGTTAGCAATAGTTTATCGTTGATTACAGATATACATTAAATTACCAATAACAATGACTGTATCCTACCCCATCATCCTAGGTCGTCTTTTTTTTTTTACATTTATATATTTTAATTTTAATTCAAATTTTGATACATTTTTATTTAAACATTAATCGGTACCTATTAGGAAATATTATTTATTACCAATTATTCTTCTGATGGAATCTCACAAACATTTACGTATACACGTTATGATCACAGTTTATTTTATTTTCATCGAGACAATAAGGAACTGTTGATATCATTCTTGGGTTTTTTTTTTTCATTTTTCCTGGACTTTATATTTACATAACTATGGCCCTTAGTTTAATCTATAAATACTTCCCTATAGAGAACGTATAGAAACATATATCTACAGAAAAATATGGTTATAAAATTACAAATTATGAAAAAAACCAAAGATTAATAATATTTTTATAAAGTACCATTGAAATACTATGAACGCAAATTTGCATACTTATAACAAAGCGGATTAAAAAAAAGTATATATATATATATTTATTTATTGATTACACATCTGAAAAAAAATATCCGTCCATAGGTATTTTATAACGTATGAAATAGGTTTATTTTGTATATTGAGATAATGTTATAAAAACTAACGCAATGTTTACTTTTTGTTATAAGATTAGATTTATTTATTTTTTACTTGTCTACTTATATATTATAACTTAGATGGTTTATTATGCAATACTTATACTGATAACGAATTTTACATATCCTTACAAATTGTTACCGTGACCTTTTAAAAAAAATATAATAATATATCAATAACGAAATCTATTAAATCGAGCATCTTTTCATTATTGTTAAAATAATATATTTGCATCCCTGCAATACTTAAAATGCTAAAAAATGACAATCTGGATGGTTGATCCAATTTATACTAGGCAATTGTCAAAAAATTATCAAACTGTTGGTTTTCTTGTCCATGACAACTCATTTATCATCCATGTCACCAAGGTAACCTACAAATCAACGAATACAATTTAATTAAATACCAAAAAACCTCCCGTCCCGTCCGGCGTTGCCGGGTCAATTTTTTAATTTCATCCGTATCACCAAGGTAACCCACGAATAACTAAAAATACCTAAAACCCCTATTGTATACCCTTAGTGGTTAAGTTTTCAACAATCCTTTAGCGGATACCTACGTCATAATAGCTATCTGTATATCAAATTTCAGCCTGATCTGTCCAGTGGTTTGGGGTAGGCGATGATATATTACAAATAAAAATCCCGTGTCACGATGATCGTTCGTGGCAATCTCCGAAACCGAAAGGCCGGGTGCTTCATTGTGAAATTTTAAGATCTCACAATGTTTGCGATTTTGCACAGAGTAATCGATGTCTGGTGCACATTCGAACGCAAGACGAATAAACGATGCATGCGTTAATGCGTTAAACCACCAGTGGTGGTGGTTTACAGTATTTCTCGTTTCCGTGCTCTGATTGTGTCTATGATGTTCACGTGCAGCTCTCTGAATGCGTTCTGTCGCAGACGTTCGTCACGATGTACTCGAGATTCTTGAATACGTCTACCTTCCTCTACCCTGATTCTTTGATCTTCATTTATTTGCGTAGTTTGTTCATTCGATCTCTTGCATTAGGTACGCGTATTACGTCTTTGCTGGGACATTATTAAGATTACAATTTCTTCACGGAATTTTACTAAAAATAAAAATTAATATGAAAAACGACGTACAAATAATTAAAATAATAACAAAAGATAAACTCATATAATATACATTATACAATGTACTCGATTATTATACATAGATATAATACATACATAGAACTTATAAATAACCCTTTGTTCTCTAGAAATAATCCTTTAATTTGCAATAAAAATATATTTTGGGTCACCTATCGGGATGAAAACTATCCTATTTCTCAAAATGGACCGAACAATACAAATTTACAAAATTTCATAAAAATCAGTTAACGGTTTCAGAGATTACCGCGAACGAACATCGTACCGCGGAATTTGTATACATAAAGATTACTTATTAAATCTATAACCTAAGAGAATAATTAGTAGCGGTTATTTTCTGCCTATATCTCACACACGTGTATCATAGGAATTTATACATATTCTGATTCTAACGGATTCTAAGAGATTGGTCAAGTGAAGCGATAAGAATTCTGAAAACAGATTTGAATTTGTCATCGAGTCTACTTGAAATTAACTTTCCCGCATTTTTGATTTTAACTCCCTAAATCCTAAAAAGGAGTAATTAGAAAAAATGGAATATTTTAATTTAAGGAAAAATTAAAATCAAAAAAGTTGCACGTGTGTAAGACAAAAACAGAAAACCACGGTTTCCAATCCTATTTAACCGTAAACGGTTGACAAATTTACTCTTCAATTATTTTACTTATACAAAACTTATACAGTGTGTTTTAACCATATTATTAGGTAGCCAATACAATGACGTCGATAAGGTCGTACACGGCTCTGATGGCGGCGGTAATAATGTTTTGCATTTCCGAATACTTTTTCAAGTCAGCTATCATAGTGTTTACGATTTTCTCGTTCATTACTTATGTCCTCTTAACGGGTACTCCGAGTTTGACGCAATTACGAGTAAGTACAATTTGCAATATACCCTATCCATGCACAGTACGCCAGAACATGACAAAAGTTGTTCAAAAAATCAAAGCCTCAAAATCAAAACTAACAAATAATCATTGGTTGTAATTGATTGCTGCATTTTATCCAATTATCTACTTATTATAGGTTATAAAATATCCATCACGTTATCATTATAATCATATACCTATATTGATTTATTACCAAAGTGTATGATTTTATTAAAGTCTACACTTTGCTGCCTGTCAGGTTGACTGTTGAGAATTTAATTTAAACTGTATAAGTTGTTTTATTTTGTTCTTTTCTTTACGGATTCATTGAAAATTGACCGGAAAGTTTTATTATTTAAAATAAAATAATAAATTATTGACAAACTTTTATTTTACAACTGGCTACTCACATTTAAATTATTGCATTTTATACCAATGTACTTTATTTCATTAAGTTTGTATTTTTATTTCATACAGTTCTTGTCTAATTGATTTTATTTTTTTAAACTTCATAATTTGAAAACAATAAAAATTATTTATCCATAGTTTCCACCGTGGTGCAAAAAGTTACTAAGTACTTATAAACACAATTTCATCCATAAAATACAGTATATTTGCATTTCCAAGTAACACCAAATATTTCAGCTCGATGACCTTAGATTTCAATTCTGTTTTCGGGACATATAGGGTACTGGGATACACTCTTAAGGATAAGTTTCATATATCTAAACCTTTCGGTACTCGCATGCACAATATAATTTACTTTTTTTGAATAGCAATGCCTTTTTTTAATACTAAATCCAATAGTCACATTTTTTTCAAACAACTTTGATAAAACCATTTTTTTTTTAGTCTTAAAAATTACCTGAGATACAACCATCAAAAATTAGTTTAAAAATGTTATCGATTTTTTAACAATTTAAAATGCATTACTTTAAAAATGACGAAATTTGACAACTGTTTTATGGGGAAAATGATTTGTATAGATAATCATATAATAGCACATGCACGTATGTTTTAAGTAAAAAAGTTGATAAGAAATCATCTTTCAACCAACTTTAGACAGCTGAATCTCATGTAATTTGTAAAATAAAAAAATTTATTAACTAAAGTCACCGTCACGTTTTACGGAGACGGAGACGATGTAGGTACTAATGAACACTGTGATACACATATACCCAGTAACGACTTAGTTAACTATGCTGGTGTAGTGGTGTATTATAATTTATAATTTTAAAGGGCCTATACGAGATCATTCAGGTTTATCAATTTTTCGGCGATTGTTCAATCTAGTGCGCAAAATCAAACACGCTAAAATTAATCAGCCATGAAAAAATGATTGACATTCATCATTGCAAAACGGCAATTTTGAATGATCGTGTATAGGCATCTCTATATTCGTTTTTACTCTAATAGGTGTCTATGGTTGGAATAGGAGCGACGTCCCATACCTTTGTATTGGGTTATAGTTACTTGTTTTCCCAAATTGATGACACTAAACTGTACCAAAGCGCCACCAGCATCATCTCGTTCAGCTTGTTGTTCGGCATTTTCGTCGGATCCATCTTAGCGCAAATTATTACTAGCACGAGCCAAGGGGTTTATTCGGCTCTACCGTACTGTAACGCGTTCGGTAAGTTTTAATTAACTAATAGGTACCTATCGTTCGGTAAGTATTTAATTTAGTTAATTATTTTAAGTTTTCTCTCGTCCAAGGGCGTATTGTGGCCTTCGGAGGACCAGTGCTATAAAAAATAATTTTGTTTTTTTGTTTTCAGCAATGTTCTTAGCTTTAATCTGTGCTTGTCTCTTCCCGGTGAAAATGCATCATTATTACCTAACGGATAACTTCCTAAATGAAAATTCCAAACTTCTCAGAAATGGCTTAAAAACTATAAAAGAATTCGATGGGGAAACAATCGTATGTTCAATCAAAAAAAGATATCAGATTAGTATTGTGTATTAGTTATGCATTACATGTTTTTATTTTTATAGATTATAGACAGATTTAAAAAGAAAAACACAGTGGAAATCGTATTGGATAAACTATTTTTGGACTTTAAGACTTCGTTCGCAAATACAACTGTGATTAAACGGTCTCTTTGGTACATGGTTAGTATGGGGACACACTTTCAGGTACGAACTTACATTTCACAAATTATTATTCCATGAGGAGATATATTTATATTAAATTATTTGTGTGGTGGCTTTAAAATGTAAACTAAACATATGCTTGAAAATATATATATTTGCATGGTTCAATAATAAGACAATATTATGATAGGTATAATGTTTTAATATGTCTTATATCTCAACGTTTTGAGTGATATTCATCAAAAACCTATCATAATAAATACCCAAAATATTCATAAAAATACCGTTCTGAAAACATTAATGTAGGTATATCTATGGTAATTATTGCTACACGAAATAATAAAAATATTATTAATATACCTATAAGACGAAATTATATTAATTTTTTGATGACTCCTAGTATGAGTAATTTGTCATTTATTAATATAAGTACTCGTATTGGTAGGTATTATAATATTTTCAAAAATAATTGAATCGATGATTAAAGGAAACCAATTTTAAAAACTTATGATATTTGATAAAAACTGTATATCTGTATAAATAATTTTGAAAATAAATTTAATTTAAAAATAATTTCTTACTCAAACTTCAATACTAATTATTCTTAATTTCTGTGTAAAAATAATTTGGAATGCGCTTATTATTGACTTTCAAAGTTTGAAAAAAAGATTTTTAAAATGTGTTATTCGTGATATTTCTGCAATCATCGATCCAATTATAGTTTTAGGCAAACATATTATTAAAATTCAATTGAAAGCTGGATATCGATAAATAAATATTTCGTTATAATAAGTTATAAACCATTAGTTTAGGTAACATAAATGGACAATATGTCAATATGATAAGAAATTGTTAAATTATAGAATCGTTATATAAAGTTATAACATCATGGATACAATTGATATGGTTTGTTGACACTTCATTCCTTTATTTCCAAGCAAGTATGAAATATCATTTAAAAAATCATTGTCATACGAGAATATACATTTACATTTTCGTATATAACAACCATTATAAATGTGCAGCATTGTGGTTGAACAACTGTTATAGGAGAGAAGTTGGGAAGGTAGTAGAGGGGAAATTGAATGTGTATCTGTAAGGAACGATACATCATTATTAATGAAAAAACGATTCTGAGTGGAGTTCAGTTAATAGTGTGACTTTGTCAACAATTTATACGTCATAGTATAACAAAATAATTACAAAGGCATTATAATATATTTTCTTTAATAATATTTGTTTAATACTGTACCTATTTTTCCGTTTTTCTTACGTTTTTCCCGATTTTCTTATGTTTTTTCTCATTTATTGGGAAAACTTCTGGGAAAATTAAAACATGACCTCCCTAAAGTACCTCTCCAGTCCAATTTTTTTTCAGAAAAAGTGCTTCACTTGTAAATCGGAGCAAGATTTCTGGTAGAAAAGTTATCCACAGAAAAAAAAACATCACTGTAAAACCAATACATTCATCGCTCCACTCAGAATCTAAAATTAAACAAAATAATAATGAGCTTCAAATACACGAAATACCAATCAAATATCTAATCAATTTTTAATTTAAAATATGTTTATTTTGTCATAGGGGCGCGATTTGTAAATTTTGTTCACAATGCTATGTTTTTTAGGAAATATTCTGCACAATTACCCACTAGAATTTATCACAGCAATTTATTTGAATTTTCGATGTTACAGATTATAAATAACATGAATGTGTTGTATTCGTATATTATCAGTAGGCCAGGTAATAACGATGTCTTAATGAATGGAGATGCCGACGCGTTGATCAACTTGTGCGGTTAGTACGTTCAAGTAAATATATTCAAAAGAAAATCATATGCTTATACATAACAATATTACATTACAAAAGTTAATGCGTATTGTAATTAGATATATCATAAAAATATTTCCAAATAGTGCTCAAGAAAATATAATTGTCTTTTTTTATGCACCGTTTTTCTATAGTTTCTTTAGGTACTTTTTAAAATAATAGACTTAGAAAATTCACTCATAGTGAATCCTAATATAGCTATTAACCAGTGATAGAGAATAGAATTTACTCTGTGTTTCATGAATGTGAATTGAATATGATGATAATATGTTTAGAATTATGATACTAAAATTATTCTCATAGTACTTATACTCCGTGGTCACAAAAGTGGCTTTTTAGTTTTTACTACCTACTTCGATTTGAAAATTTAATACCATATGGTTTATTTTAGCTTCGTATCGGAACACGAAATTAACTGTTTACGAATTAACATGTTTACAGGAGCGTTAGGTGCGTACCTAATCGGAAGAATGAAATTAGATTGGACTTATCATGGTGATACGTTTATAGCGTTCTGCACCACTATTACGGGCGTCCTCATGGCGTCTTGTTACTTCTACAATCATTTGATCTCCATTTATTTAACATATGTAATGTATAGTCTGGTTTGTCAAATGGCATTTACCATAAACTTGTAAGTACTATATGAAATAAGTATTCACCATTTTTAAAACGATCAAACCAAAACATATTTCTACATTTTCATATTCGGCTAAATAGCTTTTATGTACATTTACATGAATATAAATGTGATGGATTTTGACTGGACAATTAATTTTAAATTTATTGTGTATTTTCAATGGATATTTTATTATTATTATCACATTATAGATTTCATAATATAATACCTTTCGATTATGTATTTCGAATTCGTTAACAGAAACAAAAATAAAAAGCACTTCGCGCTTTTCACGTATTAATGGCGCCTTTCTCAAACGTTCATTTATGTATGTTGCATAATAATATAATTTTTCTTTCGTCCTTTTTCCATTGATTGCATAATAATTTCCAATAACGTCCCATACTTAAATGTAAGTATATTGTCATACTATACACTCTTATTAAATTTAAATGTTATCAATATTACCATGACACATACGAGCAAAAATATTTTTACTATAACTTTCATTATTATTGATTACCTTTTAATTCGTTTTATAAACATGATTGTTAACAAAAATTGTATTTGTTTTATTTTATAATTTATGGTCATATACGTATGGGATGGAAATTATTTTTCACAATATTCGGGAAAATAGAAATTCTGACCATGAATTATTCATAATAGAGTATAATATATAATATTGTATAGGAACAAAAGTTGTGTGTGGCGTTTTTCGATTTGTTGACATTTTTTTCCGAGAGGTCACATGGGATGAAAGGAGATAAAACGAAGAAAAAACCGGAAAATCTAACTATAGTTTATTGAACTGTCATTAAAATATCAGTGTACACTAAATTTCAAATTGATCGAACCAATTTTAGTGTATCGATAATGATGAATTTTAAAAATTTAATTTTAGTAGTTTATTAGATATAAATATTATATTTATAGACTCAAAAATAATAGCTGCAGGATTTTAATCATGAATTTAAAATACATCTTATTTTGTAATCGAAACTATATTCGATGACTGTTTAAGAATTATTTTTTGATTACAGATCAGAAATTGCGAAACATCTGAAAAACAATTGTTTTTCTATTGTCTTGGGATTTAATTTAATTGGAGCTTTATTGGTGTCTTCTTCCCTTATGTTATTTTTTGTTCAGATTAATTTCTTAGACATCACTATTCCTGGACGGGTAAGTTAAAAATATACAATAAAATAATTATTATATTTTACAACGTTATAGATTAACGTAGCACTTTTATACGTATTTATTTCAGTTTTTGTTCATTGGCGGTATGAACATCTCGCTGGGAGTCGTATTTTGGTTCCTGAGTTATTCTAGTATCCACCAACGAAACACATTATAACAAAGAATATTATAATCTCAGACCCGAGTAAATATTTCGGTTATTATATTTTTGACGAAAAAACTAGGAGTTATTATATGAACTACTCGTAATTCATATTTTGTAAGCATATATATGTATATGTCAATTAATTATCTTACCTTTAATATTACCTACTATATTATTTATATTTTAATTTTTTACATTATTATACAAATTTTAGTTAGAAAAAGAAATTTGATTTTATTGTTTTATTGTGAATTAAAATATTCCATTTCACTAATATAATATTATGTCAATATGTTAAATACTATATAGTCTATAGCAGGGGTCGCCAATTTTTTCAACTAAATAAGCTACATTCGAAATCCCAAGTCTGGGAATCGACAACTAGGTCTAGGAGATTTGTTTAACAATCTCTATCTTTGGTAATAATCCATATTATTTCCAATTGAACCAAGTATGTTTTATATTCAACATACTTGTTGAATGTCTTAGGTACCTATATTTAATATATAATATTATATTGCATTATATATTTTAATTAAACAGAATATCGCTAATGATTTCTGTAGGCAATTGAATTGGATCTACGAAACACATAATTTCTTATCGTACGTCAATAATATGTGTGTATCTTATATTTTTTTAAACCCGGAATATGAGTATCTATTTAAATTTATAATGTCCATAATAATTAATATATAGAGTGGTTGACTTCTAAAATTGTATACATTCTACACTTTAACATCATATTGTCAAAATTATTATAAAAATGCACTACTAACATTTTGGGAACAATAATAGTTAAGAACTTCAAAAAATTACAAGTAAGTGTTTAACATCCAATACCTATATATTTATATATATAATAAAATAAAATGTGGTTAAGTTATATTTAAACGATACATATACAATCGATATCACTAATTACCATTAGTGATTATAAAATAATAATAAATAGTATACTTTGATAATATTGTTTACCCCAATTACAAAAGTGGCATACCCCGTCCCTCGTATCAGCTATTTTTTGTTTGCTTCGGCCCAGGCTAATATCACCCCGTATTAATGTATACAGTATACGTAATATATAAAATCTAAAATAAATAGCAGGTAACCTATAAGAAATAAAGCTAGTCCGACTCACGGTTATCATACTGTGTAGATAACCGTGGTCCGACTCGACCGCGTTCCATGTGGTTCTATTCTTTCACTGGATATTTTTTCCTCAATATGATTGCCGATTACCGATAACATCTCATCCTTTTCGAATATTTAAATAAATACAAAATATTGTCAATATTTCTTCACTGACTTATAGGTAGGACCGAGTCTAGGGGATTGCGAGAAGTGCTCACGCATAAAGATGCTATGACCAACAGGAACGTTAATGTAAATTGTTAATATTCTGTAACTGAATATTTTTATAATATACGTGCGAGTGAACGCCCAAGAACAAATTTTAGTTAAAGTTGGTACATTTTTCTAGCACCGATACCAATTTTACTAGACACGGCATTGCATAAATAAACAGTACTGCGATCTAATAAATGTATAATTGTTTATGCTTTAACTGTTCTTCAGTTATCTATAATTTATTGTATTATGTATTCTCAACCTTGCCCTTTATAAACAATCGCCAGACACATTTAAATAATTTATCATTTAACCATTGATATACGATTTCATGCGAACGTTATTGTGATTTTTTTTTCATTCGTGTTATATTAGTTCAACAGTTAATCAGCATCTGTATTAGTTGTGTTATATAATTTGTATTTGTTTTGTGTATATATGTACATATTTTTTAAGTAATAAACCATATACATCGTGGCGATATTCGAGTTCTGTAATGTCTTATACAGTTAACAGTGTTGCTGCTTGATAAACTTAAACCAAAAACAAAATAGGAGGTACGTAAATTAATATTATTTATATTCTTATATTCGTATAAAATACAAATAAATTATTGTTATAATATTATAATGCAATGCAGGTATTATATGTTTATTAATAAATTACGAGATTTATTTTCATATTATTCGCTGTTCACGAAATATATACATACACTATATTTTAAGTAATTAATAAAGTTTAAAGTAAAATTATAAGTAATAGAAATTGTATCGTACAGATGGGATATAATGTGTGATACCCGCATTTACTACATACATCAATTCAACTGGAGGTGCAAAATGGTAAAATTTTGTAAATTAGAATTGTGGCATTTAGGTTAAAATTAAAGCTTGAACAAATTTCACCAAATTTAAAGAAAACAATTTTCGAGGGCACTGTTTTTTTCTACATTTTTTCCAAACAAAAAAGTAAGTTATTAGTTATTTTTTCTTTTTATTGTATTTTTTTTGTTTGGCATTATTTTAGAAGAAAAAAAAGTAACGTAGTATACTCTCGAAATCTTGTTACGTGTATTTAAACTCTAATTTTAACCTTAATACGACAATTTTAATTCTAAGTTATGCAATTTTGGTATGTTACACTTTAGTTACACTAAGACGCCTGCGTAACCTCTACAGTTACCCATATGGAAATTACATTTTTATAAAGCATACAAATTATAATATTCAAAAGAATTATATTTAAAATTAAAATTAAATTTTATAAAACATTATCTATATGATTTACAAGGACAAAACATTACTATTATTTCGAATGTGAAATTGGCTCAAAAGCGTTATATGATACTCGTATTATTTTTGTTATCATTGGGCATAAAATATTACAATAATTGATTCGATTATGTAACATTATTAAAATACATATCTAATAAAGTAATTTTTCTTCAGAATTTTAAATTTAGGTAAAATTAAAAACAGTTCTGTATTATTCTGATACATATTATCAAGTACAACGTTTATTGAACCGATAAATCATTGTACTGATTAGTCTTGTAGAATTTCCCGTGATATTAGGTGGCTCAATCTCGTTATCATTTTTTTACAACAATTCGTTACGTTCATCACGTATACAAAATGTATAATACAAGTATAAATATAAATGTGTTATTTAAATGTCTTGTGACTATGAATTAATCACTGCTATATTTATACCCAGTAACGTACGCAGGATTTTAGTTCGGTTAAGGTTTTCACTATAAATTTATCATAGACTCGTGGGGGGCTGAACTAGTAAATAATACCAACATTAAAACACAAAATAATTCTTTGAAATACTTATTTTTATATATTTGTTTTAGCTCTTAAGATTTCGTAATTAATTTGATAATTATAAAATAATTTTAGCAATAAAACAAAATATTTGATATCTATCTTCTATCTATATAAATAAAACAAAGTTGGGATAATTACACCATTTATAACTCAAGAACGGCTGGACTGATTTTGATGATCTCTGATTTGTTAGATTCGTCTCCGCTCCGAATAGTAGAATAACTATTAAAATATCGAAAAGATTTTTTTTTGGTAGGGGCAACGACGGGCGCGAGACAGCTAGTAATAAAATATATACTATAATAATAAGCTCAAATAATAAAATAACTAAACAATATGCATAGTTTAAAAAATTAAACAATAACAATTTTATATTTATTTATACTTACAATCAACCACCAGGGGAACACAGTCATTGCGTTACTGGTTTAGCGAACCCGGGGCCCCGAGCTCCTCCTCTCTAAGGTATGGAGTGTTTATCGTAAGACTTAGAACCCTACATCGTAAACAAATTGTTGTTAAGAAACCACCAACAAAGCTTTGGACCAGAGAAACGGATAACCCAAATGGAAAACGGAAACGGAAGAACAACGAGATTAAAATGGCGACTTGGAACACCTTAAGCTTATATCGTGCCGGAGCATGTCAGACTCTTACAGAAGTGTTGAATCAGTGTCAGTGTCAATTGCGGCACTCCGAAAAATTAGATGGACGGGTAGCGAAGCGCAGATGAAGATTAACGACTACATTATTTACTATAAGGAAAGGATAATAGTCATCATTTTGGGACGGGTTTTGCGGTCCATAAGAATTATGAATCTTGTGATGTGAATTTAACCTAATATCCAAAAGAATATGTACGACACGATTAAGAACTAAGCCCAAAGAGTTATGCCTAATTAATATACATGACGGAACATTTTGTAAAGATTAAAAAGTATAAACAATTTAACCCTAATCTGAAAGCTGTCAAGGATACTGATGAAAACATTTTAATAGACTCAATTGAGAAAGTAACAAGATGGACAAATTACTTTGAGGAACTGCTTAATAGTGAAGTACCAGTTAAATCAGTTCCAGCATGGATAGATCATAGGGCGGAACAGGAGGTAAACGATGTATCCATGCAAGAATTGATGCGGCCGGGATTTCACGTCCTGGAGTATAATGTTCCAGAATTTTATATTTCATGTTTTTATCGTTTTGGAAAATTATAACCTACCCTTAACTCTTAATACCACTATATTATTATTGTATTCAACTATAAATAATGTGTATCTATACACATAATAATAAGAAGTGATTAATGAAAAACAAATAAAATATTTGCATTTATGTTTAGGTGAATAGGAGGTACTCGTATTTTGCAACGATGGAAAGATGGAAAAAAATCACTTACATAGTCGCTTTGTACATGTTTTTAACCCAATCACGACCGCTGGAACCGTTTATGACGGCATATCTCACATCAAACGGAGATATTTCGCTTTCCGAGGTAAGGTACCTAATAATAAAAGATTGACCAGCGTGTTCAATAATCAAAAAATACAATTATTAACGGTTCTGTCGTGATTTCATGTCTATAAATACATACGGCTAGAGAGGTTAAAATAACAATGACCATATTATTTTCATAAGTAGCTATATACAATGTATTATAATATGGATTTATACTATTTAAGCGTCTATATTAAAATAATGTAATAAATTAATATAAAAAAAATTACGAGTTAATATGTAAAAAAATGTCTATAGTTATATTGTCTGGTGGTGGTTTTTAAACCGTGGGTTTGAAGCTGAACAAAAACAACCCCAATTTAAAATATTTATTATTTGTTTTATCAGAAATATTACTCTAATAAAAAAACAAATAAAGATCTTTTTTGTTGCATTTTGAATTATCTAGATACTTACGAAGAAAGTCGATTTTTGATTTTCTATTCAGTTTTCATAATAATTGAGAAAACCGAAAAAAGATATAAAATGAAATCGGACAAATTTACGGTCCAAAGTCATGGCGTTAGGATTTCTTTATTTTAAATTTGTACACTTTATGTTTTTTACCAAAAATGATGCCCCAATAGAAAAACAACTAGAGACCTTTTTTGTTGAACTTTTAATCTTTGTTGATTTCACCTGTAGTTTTTTTAATGATTTATCAAAACAGAAAAAAAAATGTAGAAAGAACAGGAGAATTTACGAAAATAATGCTTTTATTATTTTCAATTTTGTTTTTTTTTTGTTATAATTCAGTTCAAAATATTCGTAGAGACTTGAAATTTCGTCAGAAAACGTATTTTCATTGTATGTGCTTTTCCTAAATGTGGTCATTATTTTTAAAAAGTTTGAGTTATCTCTGCATACCTATCTATTTTGTCAAGGTCCAGTCGTTCCCCTCTAGCAGACTGGTGATTGATCAGCATCAATTGGAATTCTGGAACTCGCCACTTGTATATGCCACGTCGTTGGTATTTAGTGGCAGTTGCGGGAACTCGTGCGGACGGCGTATTGCCGTGTCTTTGCAACGATTTTGTTGTTTTTTTGGTAAATTTTTGATTCATACGGCGGGTGTTAATATGATTGCCTATATATGTGTAACACGGTCGTTATAAACTAAATAGAAATGCTTGACAAGATTATAAGTCGTACTTAGTAGTCTAAAAAAATTCGAATGCAATAAAGTTTTTTTTTTAAAAGTTTTAAAATCAAATTTTGACAAAATTCGTAAACTTCGCTTCGAATGGTTTTTCGTTAGCAATGTTTTATCGTTGCTTCCAGACATAAATTAATTAACTTTATGTATCCTACCTTCCCAACTTTTCATTTACAACAGTTGCACACCCGTCCCCAGTATCTGCTCTTTTATTATCTTGTTTATTATTTTGATGTTATTTTTTTCAAATGATTTTTACTAAATATCAGTCATATTATTTAATAAAATATGCTATATTTTAGCCGATAATAATATAATATTTTAATTAAATAATAATAAAAATAACTAGTAATCAAATTATGAGTTTTAAAAACAGTTTTGTATCAGTAATATTTTTTTGTTATACATAATTATAAAAGATCTAGGTACATGCAGATTTATATAAATACGTGCGTTTAAAATATATTATTCCGTTCAAGTATTATTATCTTTCTCGACGCAGATTTATCATATTGAAAATAAATAATAATAACGTTAAATTGTTTATAGGTGGCCAATACGGTCGAAGCGATCAAATCGTACTCTGCGCTGTTCACGGCTGTAATAATGTTGATTTCCGCCGACTATCTCCAATACAAGCCGAACCTCATATTCCTGACCATTTGGGCATTTATCAGTTATTCGATACTAATCGAGTCATCCGATTACACATGGATTAGGGTCAGTGTGTGACAAGTATAATAGTATTAGTATTGTCAGTGTCACGACTAGAAATTTCATGGCGGTGAGGTGAAATAATAAATCGTAACCTGTAGCGTGTTTACTCCAAGTAAATATATTGTGTATTTGTTATTTTCACTTTACATAGGATACCTTAATTTTTTGATTGACGTAATCGATAATATCAACGAAACTGCACGTAAAAACTATTTTATCAATTTAGCAACATTTTAACTGTTCATTTTCTCCTTCTACTATGACTTAACAAAGACCCTACCTAACCTAACCTAAAGACCATGCTTGTCCATGCTGCTCGAAAACTAGCTAGTTCTTTACTTGTTAATTGTCAATTTTAACTTGTAATAATAATTTATGTGGAAAAAATATCAGTCATTGTTTACGTTTCTAATCAGTTTATCAAATTTGCTGTCAACAAATTACAACGCAAATATTAGCATTTAACATTTAATAGATACGTTGCATCTAATAAATAACGGTCAAAATTGTTAATAGAATAAATTTTCAGCACTAAAAGTAAAAATTAGGTAAATACCTAGATATCATGATCGTTCTACGATATAACTACACTGGCAATTGTTTTTTTTTTTTTTTTTTTTTTAAAGACGTTAAACTATGATTATAAATACTATTATTTTTCAATAGTAATATGTGATAAAAGAATGATAATATTATTAAATTCTGTTTTACTTTTACTTTCTCCTTCATAACATTATAATTTCAGTGATATTCGTATACGACAAGGTTATTTTATTTTGATATCATTTTTCAACCATTGTCTACTGTCTTCAATTCACAAAGATACTTACACAAGCTACATCATTTAACGTAGAATAAAGGGAAATTATAAAAAAAACCTACTCTTCACTTTTATACTACGGTACTAGTTGTGGCACTGAATATTATCATAAGAGCTTGACAATACTGGTTCAGGCGATGGGCACATCTCAGTTAAGGACACAAAATCCAGAATACACGGCATAGAAATATGATATTTTAATGGAAATAAATAGAGATAGAGCAGGGAATTATCTGTGGCCAGATATGAGACAACGATAAAATATTATTTTTTGGCTATACTTTATTGCGAATGTCCCACGTCATTTGAACATGTGCATAAAAGAATTGTACTAATGTCTGGATTTCCAAATGTAGGTGTCAACAGTTGGAATTGGCGGGATGTTCAACAACAACATTCTGGCGTTTAGCTATTTGTACGCCCAAATTGAGAACGTGGAAGACTTTAAGATTGCTACCAGTATTGTCACAATTGCCGCGCAGCTTGGTACATTTTTTGGAGACGTATTGGCACAGACCATAGTGAACGCGAGTGGAGGCATCTACACCGCTCTGCCGTATTGCAACGTATTATGTAATCAGATGATTTTTTTTTATGTGTTGAACGTTTATTTTTTTCATCATGATGTTTTTATATGCAGTAACAAACTCTCCTAATCGCGTGTGTACATCAGTAAGCTTTCACAAGTTGACTTGAGTTCTGCCTAAGATTATATCATCAAAATGTAAAATCTCCCGAGTCAGCATATTAGATTTACCTAAAATATAATTTTCTTTGATGATTTAAAACATATCGATGGCGTTTTGTTAAAAGAGCGTATACCATTAAAAATCGAAAATACGTTTTTGGTATCAAAAAAATCAGAAAAATTAGGAACATCAACTGGTAAAAGGGCATATTTAAATACAGAAAACTAACTTGGTTAAGTTAACTTTTAAAATATAATTAAATTAGCATTAATTTGTTAAAAAGGCGTATACCATATTCAATGTACATATACTTTCTGTACAGCGTATTATGTGTACGATTAATTTTATTGTTTTCCATGATAAATATTGTTAGAAACTGTTTCGCTGGTTTTTTGCAAAACACTTCTTTTCACTACGTGAAAAAGGTGTTTTAGTGGTATAGGTACGCCCTTTTAACAAAACACTGTCGATATAATACGTAATTTTACCTGCCTAGATATTAAAAATGTTAATAATATTATACGTGACTCAATTTATACGTAGCAGCTATGGGTAAATTTAAATTGTTTTTGAATATTTTCAGTTATGTTCTTGGCCATTATTTTAACTTGTTCATACCCGTCGACCAAACGAAAATGTCAAATAGTTTCGGATATTATCGTGGCGAATGAAAAATCATGGCTTCTCGAACGAAACGTTAAATTCTATAATACGAAATCTGAAAAAGTCCATTGTAAGTCAATCTCAATAGACGGGAGTTTATTTGCTAGTGAGGTGAGCTAAAAACTGTATAAACGATTTTCTAACGTTTTTATTAATTATTGTTCAGATAAAAATTTACCAACAGAAAAACATAAGAATGCAGTAGTAATACCGTTTTTGAAAGAATTATTTGTTAATTTCAAAACGTCTTATTCCAATTGGGCTATTTTGAAAAGATGTTTATGGTATATTTTTAGTATGGCAGCATACATCGAAGTAAATATTAACAAATATAATTGATTATGTCTAATACATCATTGGTATTTGAATTTACTACTTAAATTAATCGCACGAGTATAATTTTTAAAAATATCCGTAACATTTCTATTTCCAGTAACCACGTGTATAATGAAAACGCGACAATGTACAGTTTTTTTTTTTTTTTAAATTACACATTAAGTTTGTTTATGTTTAATGATGTTTAACATAAATTTGAGTTTAACCTTTTATTTTATGTTCTTTGAGTTAAAACTAAATTTTACTCTACTCACGTACACATAACACTCTACTTTTTTTTAGATAAAGTACAACTTATGATGAATATTGGGCACCATTTTCAAACGTTTCTACTCAATTAAAACAATTTTATAAGCATAAAACCAAATAAAAACTTAAAATACATAAAAATGTCAATTGTCTATAAAAAGCTCAAAAATGTAAAAATTGAACTTTTTACCACGTCCAATTTAAGTATTCTGTGAAAATTTATTTTCAATAGCAACCAAAAAATTGAAAAAACAAAATCAAAAATAATAAAACCGTCAATGCTGTTAACTTTCAAACTTTCAACTTTTTCTTTGTTTTTTCCTAAATATTGAGAAAACTACACGGAAAATCAGAAAACAACTTATAAAAAATGTTACTCTTGAAATTCAGAACAAAGATTTTCGTAGAAAAATAAAATCGAAACAATTTTAAACAAAACATTTTTTTGGCATACATATTTGAACGTTCTCTCCATTTTTATGAAAACTCCTTGGAAAATTCAAAAATCACTTTCTCAATACACCGGTTATATCCAAAATGACTTAAAAACCTTTCTATTTGTTTTTTAATTGGTGTAAAATTTCTGGTAGAGAAATATTCACATTGAAAAAGAAAAAACACATATCATAGTAAAACCAATGCATTCCACGCTACGTTCAGAAATTAAAAATAAAAGCATTTGCTTACAGAATAAATAACATAATGTGAACGCATTATTGAAATTTGATGGTTCAAATATCCATGAACATGTCGAATAATTAATTTTAGAATAGTTAAATGTATTTTAAAATTATAGGTTTTAGCGAACATGAACGTTTTGTACTCGTATGTCGTCGAAAAGTCAGACAATCAAGAAGTTTTGACTAACGGAACCGCCGAGGCAATAGTTACGTTGTCTGGTTAGTGCATTCACGTACAAAATTATTAAATTAACTTAATGGTATTATATGAAAGCAATTAGATATTAATTATTTGTACTCGCCGAGTTTTGTATTTTATTGAATTTTCCATTAATTTAAAAACAACATATTTCGTAACAAATATTCGATAGGCAACGGAAATTAAATCCAATAATATTTATTTTATATTTACAAACACAAGACTTAAATATTATAAACAAATATATAGAATGACGATAATGCGTGATCAGTTTGTTGAAAATCATAATGACGATCGTAAAAATCCATAAAGACAACAAGAAAATAATATAATACGCTGTACTAATTGATATCCGAGTTATTTTTTCGATTTCCGTAGGGATAAAATAATTCGGTTTCGTTTTTTTTTTTTTTATATAGGCGCTGTGGGAGCATATTTAATTGCTAAAGTAAATTTAGATTGGTCTCGTTATTGTGATATGTTCATAGCCGTTAATTCGGCACTAATGGGTATTCTCATTATGTCGTGTTACTGTTACGACCATTTAATTTACATTTATGTAACGTACATATTATATGGTGTGGTTTGTCAAGCGAGTTTCGTCATTATCTAGTGAGTATTAAATTTAAAAACGTTTAAAAATTACTATACGTGCCTATTTCTGAATGCGTTACCTCAAATTTGAATATAATGCAGTCTGCATAATTCTAAATTAGAGTCGTTTAATTGTGTTTATAGTGCTGAAATCGCAAAAGAATTAAACAGACACTGTTATTCTCTCGTACTGGAGTTAAATTATTTTGGAGCTTTATCTATCGTCCTCATCATGACGATATTTTTGATCCAATTCAATTTCATGTCTATTACTATTCCTGGACGAGTAAGTCGAAACGCAATTACTTAAAATTGAATGCCTGTAAATCTATAATATAATACGTTTTTCATTTTCAGTTTTTATTTATCGGCGGTTTACACTTGATCCTAGGAATCGTGTACATATCGATTAGCATATTTGAAGAATGCAGAAAAAAATACTAATTCTTTACTATAATACGAGTCGCCCGCCAAATTTTTGTATTATAATAGGTTTTATCTATGGACCATAAAATACTAAACGGATTGTATCAACTTTTTGTAAATATATAAAATTTTATTAGTAGTTGTAATTGAGATTTGTACTGACCTATTAAATAAATATTAAATTGTGTTGCTTGTTTAAAATTTCATTTAATTTAAAAAAAGGCTAAGTGGAAAATTGAGTAAATATCTTGGGTCACATATATTCAAAGAGGTTGAAAACCGCTAGTATATGTATATTATAATACTCCGAATTCAAATTTTATTAAATGTGTAAAACCGTAGAAAAAAATAGATGTGCGGAGTTTGGTAGGTGGAACATAAGGTTATTTGATTTACAGACTAAAACAAAATTGAATACCTACAACGAATAAAATATGTCATCCTCCTGTTTAAAGAGTTTTACCTACAGACTTAAAAGCGTTGTAAAAAAAAAAAACAATAATGTACATATTTTAACAAGCAAAATAATTGTATAATCATTTTATGTCCAATAAAAACATATATGTACATACATAACATTAAATTTAAATAGTTAATTTGTAATTAAAAGCATGCGAATTGCAGCGATAGGCATGCAAATACAGCAGAATCCGCTTAATTGGGACACCGTATAAAGGGGAACAACCGCTTAATGGGGACGAATTGGCATAGTCCCGAACGAATGTATTCGTTTAAGGCAATTTAACTTCGTTTATCTGGGGCAAACCATCGGTTATAAGGGACAAAAATAAAATCGTCTAATTAAATATTCTGACCTAAATTATCCATCTACTTCTCATCGAAACTATCTAATCTTTACAGCTCTATTCTATAGGTAATGTCAATTATTTATCTAATATTTATAGCTCTATTTTATATAGGTAATTATTTATTTTTCTACTACTGCCACGATAAGAGTCGACTAGCCTACGTACAAAATTGAAAAACTTTAGTTCGCATTCTTCCGTTTCTGTTTATTAACGTACGTGTGTTTTTATTGATCTCAGTTTGTGTTAATACGTAACAATTATGTCTCGTAAAGATTTAACGTTAATTGAAAACGTTTCTAATCTGGATAAAATTAAAGCTCAACCTCATTCTTCCAGTCTTCGTGAGTTAAAGGAAATAATAGGCACCTCTAAATCGGTACTAAGCCGATTGAAAAATAATAATAACTAATAAATATGTAAACATAATAAAATAATCATCTAATTAATTTACGATATTTAATAGGTAATACTAAATAGTAAATATAACGTATTACTGCTAATAATAATAAATAAATAATAATAATATGTGATTTTTAAATAAAGTTATTATGTTTGTACATACAATGTACATAGTAAGTACAAGTTAATAGTTTCGGTTTATTAGTTATTCGGTTAATCGGGACAGTCGTTAATGGGGACAATAGGTCCAATGTCCCAATTAAGCGGATTCTACTAATTGCATGCTGAATATTGGCAAAACAAATTTCAAATGTTTTAATAGGGCGGGGACTAGTAAAATATATGTAATTCGATCAATTCAGTGATTTTGGTTATTACCCAAATAAATACCATTTTATATGGGACAAGCCTGCGCGGTGTCGCGCGTGCCAAACAAACATGTCATAAAAACAAAAAATTATTTTTTATTCAGCCCAAACTACTGCAGGTTAGGGCTACTAGGTACTTCTACGGGTCAGACCGAGGATTTCAATAGCTTAAAACCTTTTCCGCGATATACTCTGGCATTTAAAAAACCCGATAGATTGGATGAGTAGTTTCAGAGATAATCGGTTACAAAAAATACCATTTCACATTTGTATGTATAAAAAGGGTTATACATTTAATTATTGATAATCGCTGATCTGTGATTAAATAATCAGTAATCACCATGACACCATATATAATTTATAGATGGTATCTACCTATATAAATAAACAATTGTATTTTAATTATCGTAGGAACGATATATATATTACCTTTAAACTTTATTAAATTAATAATATTAATTTGTTTCAAATTTAACAAATTATATACGATATACTGTGTACAGACGGCGACAATATATTAAACAACCGCCAAGCGATAAAAATTATTTGATAAAAATGTCTGTAAAGAATAATCTAATAATTAGTTTAACTACTAATTGTATTGTCGTGATAAAAACTTGGATTATTTGCACAAAATACACAAAATACACAAAATACACAAAATAAAAAAATGATAACATTACTGGGTATAAGCAATGCACAGAGTAACATTAGGTAAATAGGAAAAAATTAACATCAAATAAAAATAATAATATTGCTCACTAAATATTTGAGCAATTGTGCAGAGTAAATAGGACAAAACTGATGGTTCACCTCATTACTAAGAGTGAGTAAATTCCTTTTTTGCAGAAATCGGGAGATGTGCAAATTTTAAAAATGACAAATGGTTGGCATATGTTTGAAGTATGGCAATTTTACGACGTTAAATATTATATAAATATTATAATAGTATATAAGTGCTTCTAGTCTAATGCGCTATGGAATAAGACTAAATTTGGTAATAATTACTATAGGTATATTGATAGTAATATTTTTTTTTTAAAACGTGAAATACCTACGTATATTTGTATTTAAATTTGCACCAAATTGACAGGATACATACTGTATACGAATATGGCTACCTGAAACATAGTTTAATTCGTCTTATCTAAATCTAATAATCAACTTAGCTATTAAACAAAGTCCAAAAATTTGGTAACATCGCATAAGTAAACCGTATAGACTCAAACTGATTAGTTGGAAATTTTAATCGTATTTCGTACACTACACGTGTACGTGTACGAGTAAAAAAGTATAACAATTTTTAATATCATTTTTAGATGTAACTTGGAAACTAAGGTTATACTTTAACAAGTACCTACATTCAACTTAAAGTAATAGTATTAAAAAAATAATAATAATAACATATATTTATATTTAGGCAGGTAAGTACATACTCGTATTTTTTAACTATGGAGAGATGGAAAAAAATCACATATCTAATCGCCGTGTATTTATTTATAACCCATGCGCAACCACTAGAACTGATTTATTAATTTGTTTAGCCATAAAGACTTTCTGTAAACAATCTGTTTTAACGATTGAACACTATACAATACCACAACAATAACCAGTGGCGGCTCGTGGGTTTTTAATGAAGTAGTGCACACCCAAAAAAAAAAAAAAATATAACCAATATTAAACATAATATATTATAAATTGTATTAAATAATTGTTTACAAACTTTAGTTATTTACCAATTACCTTTTATTCTTATTTCCATTCTTTACCCAAGCGACATCATTAAATTTTTGACCAAAAAGTAAACAGGGAAAACAATACAAACGATTAGTTTCTGAACAACCATAAATCCAGTCATAGGTTTTATATATATATTATTAAATTTTCTTACATATTCTCTCGTTTTACATTTAGTAATTTGTTTAATATTTAAGTCTGGAGTAGGCCTACCTTTATTTTTTACTTCCATCTTTTTCTCCAACGAGATTGTTGAAAAATTGCATTGCAGTATTTTCTGTACTGAATTCATTTTAAAAATTGAAAACAAATACACGAATAATNCTAGCCAATATTATCAGCTGATAATCGGAATATAATAAATGAATGAGAGTAAAAATAAACTATAATGCTGATGCCGACGCGCAACGACACGGCGACGTCGAAAATAATTAGCTGATAACAATTTAATTGGTTTTGTGCACAGAAACAAATGTGCACACTAATTCCATTATAACGCGGGTTGCGTGTTTCGGCTTGTTTTAATTTTTACACTATACAAATGTGCACAACGATTGTGTGTACAACTCCCACCACTATAATACACACCGATACTGTTCCGTCGCGGACAACAGTCCGGCTATTTGGCAATCGAAATAACGCAAACTAAATATATTATATTATTTTCATAATATTCTGAATTTATAATTTTATATTTTGAAAAATAATCTTAATAATACTACAGGTACTTAGTAGTTAGTTGTATTATTATGATTTATGTTTTCAATTTTTCTTGAGTTTGGGTAGGCAGTGCACGTGCACTTGTGCACATATAAACGAGCCGCCACTGACAATAACTCTCGTGGTATCCATACAAAAATTATACTTAACTTTTTTTTTATCACCAAGTAAACCTCAAACTTACGATGAACTTCTCATTGCCTAAATTTCAAAGTATTTCTGCTCGGCCAAAACAATTTCATCCACATAAAACCGATTAAAATAAAAACAAAAATATTAATAATAATAAAATCTTAAATCTATATTAATCTCTAGGTGCACCCAAAATTCATTTCTCTTCCCTGTTACCTAACCGACGCGATTTTGGACAACAAATCGAGGCATTTTTTCGTTAAAAACAGTCCAAGCAAGTGCAGCGAAAATTAAACCAGAATTTTTTTCAAAAATCATCTTCCTCAAATAAGTGTAAACGTGATCAAAACATTTTTTATACATCTTCTTACAGATTTTGTAGGTTTATCACGCTTTATCACGATTTTTCTTTCTACGTAGGTACATTGCATATTTGCGTTATCCATTGCTCCTCAGTCAAATACATAGCAATTGCCCAAAAAATACCGTAAAATGACCAACTTCAAATGGCTAAACTTAAGAAAAAAGAGGGGCCCGGTATAAAAGAAAACTTGTTTCAAAATAAATGATTCTGATATTAAAAATATTATAGATTTAAATAATGGTTGCATTAATAAATAAAAAAAACCGTATTTAAACTTTACCAATAAATAATAATTATAACTTACTTGATTTTAAGTAGAAAAAACAATAGTTTTTTTTTTTTCAAACCAAATTCAAAATAGCAGTTAATTCATATATTAATATATCAAACAAGAAATAATCAGTAATTGTATGTGAAATGTAAATTAAAAATCTTAGTTAGGTAACTACTTCATTAAAACAAATTATTAAATATCTGCCTTTCCTAAAGTATCTAGATGAATGTAGGAACCAAAGAAGATACAGAAGTGGAAAAAAGCTATTGCCAAAGGTAATCAAGAAGAAAAGGGAATTCAAGCCTCATAAATGGTAAATACATCACTTTTTAATGTTCGGGCAACACTGCGTGATAAGCGTTCCAGTTATTATATAATTCAATGGTAAGTACCAGGTTTTTTTTTTGTATATAGGTAGGAACCACTTGATATTTTCAATTTTATCCAAGATCATATTTAAGATATTGAACAACCTTGGATATAATCACAAATTAAGATGTACAGAAACCGAACGAACGTGTGATAAATGAAGCACGGTCTTTCTTACTTTTGGCAAAGCCACTAACATTATCTAGTGTACTCTTTACAAACCATGTCAATGTTTATTATAAAATAGTCTAAAGACCGTAATAGAGTAGATATGCAATAAATAATTATATATTACAATGAATAAACTGGTTTTAGTTGATAACAATTTTGTCGCATTGTGAAAAATGGCTGTCATACCAAACAATGAGTTCCGGGCGGACTCAGAAAAACATTGATTAGACTTTTTCAATTAAAATCTTTCAAATACAAGCAAATGTGCAAAATTGTATTCACAACGTCTTTGGTCTTTGAATATTATACACATGGTCATATTTTGTACATAACCTAACAAGATAACATATCACACTTGTTCCAAAATATTAATTTGAATTTAAAAAATAATATGTTCGAATATACCTAATATTATAAAATATATTATCTATTTTACTACTTTATATCCCTATTATTCAATATGGGTAAGAAGAGTAAAATTGGAAAACAACGTAAAGATAAGTTTTACCACTTAGCTAAAGAAACAGGTATGTAATTTTCGTTTAAAACCATTTTCGTGTTATTTTTTCTAAATCTGTATTCGACCTTATTGTACAGGATTTAGATCTCGTGCTGCTTTCAAGTTGCTCCAATTGAACAGAAAGTTTGATTTTCTACAGAAAGCTCGTGTTCTCATCGATCTTTGTGCGGCCCCAGGAGGATGGATGCAAGTGGCCAAACAGAACATGCCGGTTTCCAGCATTGTTATTGGTATCGATTTGTATCCCATAAAGCCAGTACCTGGTTGTATATGTTTAACAGAAGATATAACGACTCCACAATGTCAGTCTGCTCTTAGCAAAGAACTTCAGACATATAAAGCTGATGTTGTTTTGAATGACGGCGCTCCCAATGTTGGTCAGGAATTTATTTTCTATATATCTATATAAGATTTTTTTGTTTTTAAGAACTTAACTATGTTAAATTTTCACTGTGTTTAGGTCAAAATTGGATTTATGATGCATATTCTCAATCTTGTCTTACTTTAAGTGCATTGAAATTGTGCTGTCATAATCTTAGAGAAGGGGGATGGTTTATTACCAAAGTTTTCCGTTCAAAAGATTACAATGCCCTTATGTGGGTTTTTAAACAACTTTTCAAAAAAGTGCACGCAACCAAACCCCAAGCATCGCGTAGCGAGTCTGCTGAAATATTTGTCGTTTGCCAGTATTACTTAAAGCCAGCCAAATTAGATATGCGTTTCTTTAATCCTAATTATGTTTTCAAAGACTTGGAAGTCAAACCACAAGTATTTATTTATTAAACATTTAATTATATAGATAAAATAATTAAAGTTATTATAACTTTTCTTTGTTAATATTGTTTAGGTGAAATTGGATTCTGAAAGTAAAACATCTAAGAAACCAAAGGCTGAAGGTTATCCAGATAACACAACTATATTATTTAAACAATTACCAGTTACAACTTATATGACTTGTAAAAACCCAGCAATAGCATTACAAGATGCATATGAAGTAATGATAATTTATTCTATAAATATGTAATAAACTATCAAATATTTTCAATTTAACAAAACAAAACATTTGTATTTAATCTAATAAGGTTTACAAAGATTCATAATCTATGTCCTGTTAATCCTTAATTTAAATTGTTTTATGAAAATATTGGATTCTGAGGGAAGCAAGGAATGTTTTACCTATGATGCGTTGTTTTTTTGTTTTCATTTTTCCCTACAGAAATTTACTGACAAATTTCCTATCAAAATTATTGTTTTGATTATCTAATGTAACATCTTTTTGTTGCAGTCATTTTTTTGATTTTCCTTATAGTTTTTATTATAATTTTAAAAGACAATGACAATGTACAGCAAAAACAGCGACTTCTTTTTTTTTAATTCAGTTTGAAATAATTATTGACCTAAACTTTGCTAATAATAATAATATTAATAATACTGGGTTTCTCTAGATTTGGTAAAATTTTAAAATCATGCTATCGGGGTTTTAGTTGATTATACTATTTATTGTCATTTAACATTTTCAAGTTTTTTATTTTTATTTGGATTTATATCAATAAAATTGTTTTACCCAAGCAAAAATTATTGAAATTTAATATCAAATTCATATTTTGACAAAATTCATTAAAAATTTTAACATTTTAAAATATGTTCAACCAAACTTTACTCAGAATCATAATTTGTTAACAATAATTTATCTTTGCTTATTAAATAAATATGTATCCTACTTTTCTTTCATTTTATTATATATCTTAAATGTATAACTATTAAAATAATCTTGTTTTTTTTTATTTTAGATTGTTTTTGATGATCCCAATATTGAAAATCATCCTAGTACGACAAATGAAATAAAAGAATGTTGCAAAGATATTAAAGTATTGGGTAAAAAAGATGTTAGATTAATAATGAATTGGTGGAAGGTGTTTCAAGGCAAAGAAGAAAAAGTTGAATCCATTGAAGAACCGGAAGATGAAAACAAAGAAAATGATATTCAGCTTTCAGAAGATGAAAAGGAATTGGATGAAGTTGATAAAGAAATCAAAGAGTTACAAGTGAGTACTATAACATTACTCATAAATAAAAATTAACTAGAAGAAAGTTATTAAAGTATGTCATATAGTATAAAATTAGGTTAGGTATAACTTATAACCTTGTATATCAGGCTAATATGTTATAATTCATTTTCTGTAGGATGAAGAAAAACGAGAGTTGAAACGCAAAAAAAAGAAGACCAACAAAGAAAGAACAAAATTACAAACAAAGATGAATTTAAAAATGGTACACAAAGGTGATTTGGGGCCGACTGAAGAACGTGAGACTGGTGTGTTTCAACTGTCTAAAATCAAGTCAAAAAAAGCCTTAGACTCTGTAATCGACCAAGCACCAGATATAATAGAATCTGAAGATTCTGATGTAGAAATCAAGCCCAAGAAAGTTAAATATGATCCGGACAAGACATACCTCGATAAGTCTGGAATGTAAATAACTAAGACATAATAACACTTAAAAATTTTTTTTACATTTAAATAACTGTTTTTAGGTTCTATCGTTCAGATGAAAGTGAACAAGAACAAGATTCATCAGATGAAGTTGATAGTGATACTGAAGGATTAGGTATGTTTTTTTATTTTCTTAATATATAGGTATAGTTAATTAATTGGTGTTTGTCCAAATTAGGTTTTAAAGATAAAAATCTTTCTTCAAAATCATTACCAAAGAAAAAAGTAACATTTAATGATCCAAACGAAAATCATCCTTTAATAACTGATCTTGATTATCGAGATGTAAAAGACAAACGGACATCGAAAGCTGAACTTTGGTTTGATAAGGTATAATTAGCTATAATATTGTACTTAAAAATTAATAATTATTCTAAAAATAACCTTTTATGCTTAGGATGTATTCAAAAATATAGAAAAAGAAGAAGATGAAGATTATGAGTTAGAAAAAATGGCTGCTGTAATAAAGTCCAAAGGTGGTAAAATGTATAGAGAAAATTTAGATGATAACAAAGATAGTGATGAAGATAATATAAAACCAGTTAATGGAAAAAAAACCAATGGAAATATTAAAACAAGTCAAAAAAATAGCGACAGTGAAACTACAGATTCTGATTCTGAATCTGAAATCAGTGAAGCTGAAGATCAAAGTGCTTCTATACCAATAAATGAATGGGATGATAAACCAGTGCTTACATCAGCGGGTAAGAAAAATATCTATTTAATTTGTGTATAAAATGTAATATATTTGAATTGTAATAATATTAATAAATAGGTAAAAAGAAGAAGAAAAGAAATGCTAAAGTTTTGGATGATGATGGCCTTGCTTTGGGTACAATGATGGTTATGTCAAAAAAAACAAAAAGAGACATTATTGATGGTGCTTGGAATAGGTATGCATTCAATGATGAAGACTTACCCGATTGGTTTGTAGAAGATGAATCAAAACATATGCGCAGACCTGTACCTGTACCTAAAGTATGTTGAAAAATATCTTATTGACATGTTTTGTTATAGTAATAATTGCCCATTTACTTATGTTTAGGAGCTAGTCGACGAATTTGGAAAAAGACATGAAGAAATAAACATTAGACCAATTAAAAAAGTAGGTGAGGCTAAAGCCAGAAAAAAGAAGCGTGCAATGCGTCAAATGGAAAAAGCCAAAAAGAAGTTAGAAGGAGTGGTTGAAAATACAGATGTTACAGAAGCTGAAAAAGCTCGACAAGTTAGACAGTAAGTCATTTACTGGTATTTTTTTTACCTATTTTACAACAATAATTTTTGAATTTAGGATATACAAAAAATTGAAACAACCAAAACAAGAAATTAAATATGTTGTATCCAAAAAACACACAGCTGCCAAGAGAGCGAAACGTCCAGCCGGAGTTAAAGGCCCGTATAAGGTAGTCGATCCACGAATGAAGAAAGACATGCGTGCAAAAATGCGTATGGACAAAAAGAAATCTAATAAAAAGGGTGCTAGGGTTAAGCCATTGTCCAAAACTCGACGGGGTCACAAATAGAATGTTTATTTTTTTTTATATGTATAAAACTTATCTCCTTGTGACTATTATTGTTTTAAATAAATAAATTATTTATTGTGTCTATTTCATATTATACATACAAAAAATAAGTTAATGGTGTATTTTTCAGAATGAAAAATCTATGAATTTAAAGATTTTATTGATAATAATTATTTAACTTATATAACGATAAAAAAAATTCTTGATTTAACAGACATCATTGAAATTAATAACTTAATTTTGCCAAAAAAAAAAATTCTTAATCACTAACACATTGTTAATACAAGCACTATTTCAGTTTATCTAAATAATTATTTTATTGAAAATTATCAGGCAATTGTAATTAGTTTTTCCATTATTAGATAAATATTAGTGTATACATTTCGTAATAGTTGTGCGATTATAAGCATACCATACTTGACGGGGTATGCCAGTAATGTTTTAGAAAAATTTGTCCAAAAACCTGGGTCTTTTACATTTACTCAAAGAATATTTGTGCAAATATAAAAATAAATATTTGATATTTTCTGCAAAATTCTTCTATGAATTGATATGTCACATTATTGACAGGCAATTTTAATGAAAAATGTGGTATGTAAATCTGTGCATGAAAATAAATTTTTCAAGAAATTTAAATGTAATTTTTTTTTCATATAATTTTTATAGAGATTCATGCCCACCAATAAATTGCCTGCTTGATATTTTGTTTATGTGTTAAGCCAGTTGCTCAGTATAGATTTAATTATAATAAAAATTATTTTCAAATTTTAATGCTGTACTTGCACATTAATGTTAACTAACAACACATAATTTAGCTAACCTAATAACTTATAGTGATAAACCACATTACATTTACCTTATGCTGATTAGGTATTACAATTACATAATATCACGTATAAAATAAAAAGATAGGTAGGATACATACAATTGCATGTAAATGTTTAAATGTACCTTCATTTAATCCTTATTTTGAACAACTTTTTTGTTCATATCTGTTGTGGTTACAAAGATATTATTGTTAGTGTTTATTTCCCTCCCACATTGATAACGTCACATTCAAATTTTCTTTTAATTCCTTAAAAAAAAACTCAGTATCAGAAATCGATTAATTATAACTATCAGAGGAGATTCAAGTGAATCATATTTTTGAAATCTGAAAGTAATTCAAGTAACCTTTTAAAAAAAAATTCACAGGAAGCAATTTGTGAGCGCCCAAGAACATATGATTTGAATCAAATACTTAACCCATTATGACTATCCCACACCTGAACACATAAACCAAGATAAAAGCATGTTGACTGAACCTGGCTAATCTCTAGTACCCACTAATTTTGTCTATGCATCCATCCCTAGATAAACAATATGCTCAAGACTGATATATTACTCAACTCTATATATTTTGTTAATAATGTATTTAAATAATTTTAAAAAATAAAAATAATTGTTATCTATTTTTTAGTATCCATAAGTACCTACTATATGTCTATATTATAATTATTAAAATATCAATTCTATACTCAGTGCCCTTGTGGGGTTCAAAAAAAAAAATATAATGCAGGGCTAGGATTTATATGCAATAAAAAATTAAAAATTATGCATCTTGTTTATCAAAATATGCATTTTAATTTTTATAAGATAAACACAAAAATATAGTTACAAAAAAAATATTTATTTATTGAAATAAATCAGTGATTGGCTTTGTCTTAATATAATATAATTGAAAAAATAAAATTTATAATTCACATTCAATAGTGGAAATAAAAATCACACTGAAAAATAGTCTAATAAACATTGATGCATGGACAACTGAATGGTCTGTACTACATAGGATTGTGTATTACACTAATACCCGATAAATTATATCTTATCTTAGATTTTATATTGACTTACATACTTTTGTTAATTGTGTTTATCTTTCTCCGTCAAACTATTCAATCTTTTATCGCATACCTATTGTACCATAAGACTGCGTATTTATAATAATACAATTTATGTTTGATAAAAAAATCAAGCTTTATACTTCAATCAGCAAGGCTAGAATTAAATACGAAACATTAATATTAATTACGAAATATATAATAAAACATGCATTTTCGCATACTTATAATCCAAATATGCAAAATAAAAACACCACCATTTATCTCATCATGAGGTAATTCGTGGACATTACTGACAAAATCAATAATCAGAAGTCGCAAAAAATAACATGTTGTTGCATATAAATCCTAGTTATTTAATTTACATCTGTATGCGACGATTGGTGACAAAATACGATTCTGAGACAATTTCGGGTACACATTTTGAAATGGCATGATTTTTAAGACTTTCGTCAAAATTTAATTTAAAAAAAATATCATAAAAAACATACTACACTCCCTCAATTTTAACCACCCGACTGAAAAATCATCAGGATGTTATGAACATTTTCTGGGTAGAGTATTCTGTGAAAATTGCTGGTCTACGATTATATTCGTAAATAATACAAATCGTACTGCTGTCCTTTTTTTCTTTTAACTACTAGTCATTAATTGATTAGAACAAGATTTCTGGTAGACATTTAAAAAAAAAAATAAAGTACACATTATACTAAAACCAATACATTTCTCGCAGAATTCAGAATCAAATATAAACATTTAGGTATATTTAGATGTTGGAAATTCTTTAAAATGTCAAATAATATAATTATTCAATAGTCACGCGGTTGTTTTTGTCCATCAACTAAATAAAAAATTGACACGCGTGCACAGTGTTCGTGGGAAATGAACAAATTAACTAAGCACATATAGAAAATTGACAAAACATAAACTCGATTAGTATCGATTTGTCATCTGCAGCCGTCAGTGGGACAATGTTCGACGACTTTTTTGAACGGTCTCAACAGCGTCCGGGGGCCGGTGCAGTCGACACTGTCAGTCAAGTACTCGTCGTAATTGGACTCGAGCGACCACACCAGGCCCCGCCAGCCGGCCACCACGGCTATGGGCGTCAGGTACAGGTAGGTGCGGTGGACGAGCACGAAATTGCACACGTCCAACGGCCGGTTGACGTCCCACATCCAAATGTCCGTGTTGCCGCCGCCGGCCGTCCGGAAGTAGACGCTCGTGCCCCGGTCGGTACCGAGGACCAGCATATCGACCGGTTTGACGCCAACCTCGGTCACGGACCCGTGGGTCACGCTTTCCTCGGACCATGAGTCCAGCATATAGACGGTGCCGCTCTGCCGATACGTGAAATACACGTAACTCTTATCGGCCTTGTTGACGGGCATCAGGTACAGGGCGATGCGCCGGTGATGGGCCACGGACACCCGTTCCGGCAACGGTATCGAGTGCAGTCGGTCGGCCCTTGCGTTATATACCACTATGGCGTGTCTGCCGGCGTCCGACACGTACACGTACAAACGGTTACATCGCGTCCGCATGGCCACCACGTGCTCGAGCCGGCTATCCGTTCCGGTAACAGATGACAAATCGGTCACCCTGATCACCGTATCCGTGGTCAAGTTGACGCCGATTAGTTGAGCGGATCCCAGGCGCATGGGTTTCCTGAACACGTTCGTGGTGCCCGCGTCCAATGCCCACAAGACACCGCTCTCAATAAACACGTCAACTACGTTCACAATGCGCAAACAATTATTACCACAACGGCCATCATTGCACAGCATATGATAATTGTAATCGGGATACGGACGAATGTCCGGTTCAAAATCGACAAATTCTAAATGGAACACTCCCAATGTCCATGGTACGCCGGTTTTCATGAACCTGGGCATAGACACGTATGCGCGATCGCCGTCCATTTGAATACCTCGCACCAGTATTTTGCGTGGATCATAACGACCATACAGTATGTCATTGCTCTCCTCTGTGACCGATGGCCATTCGAGGTTGGAACCGGACAAAAGAAACGAATATTGATTGTCAGCCTTCACGATTGAAAATAATATTTTGAGCAATAAGACGACCAGATTTATTAAAATATACATGATATTCGTCTTCACTTTATTATTATATGAACAATATTAATGGACCACAACAAATGTGATTAGGTCAAAAAAACAGTTGTTATTAAAATGTTGCCATAGAGAAACAAATGATTTTGATAATAATAAAACATTCAAAACAAATACAATTTTTTTATTTTATTTTAATATTAAAATAGAAGTGAATATACAACAATATGACATTTATATTATACCAATTTTGTTTGCCACATCCAATGCATCATAATCACGTGCTAATCGTACATACGCCTTCTTCTTACCGTCAGGCCTAAAAAAAAGTAATAAAAATTAGTAAAAATAATAAATAAAATTTAAAAAATATTATTAAGGTTTGGTATAAGTTTTTTTTAACCATTCAAGAACCATATAAACATAAATAATAGCAACTATAAAATAGTGTCAAAACTGATCTATAAATAATATTATCAAGATTTTATTCATTAAAAACTGTCAGAACAAATTTTTCAATCATTTATTACAAAATTTGGTAATATATGATATTCTCAAAAGTCATCATTTAAAGTTTTTAAATTACTCAAACCATATATAATATTAGTATTTACAATATTTAAGTTGTCCTAACAGTGACAGACTTATTTGGTAAGTATAACATAAGAAATGAAAGGCAAAGGGGAAAATTAATTATAGTATTATCATTTGATTCTGTCTGAATTTTGACATTCAAATTAAGTTTGGGTATAAAGATCACAGTCAGTGATATAACTAAGGTTTTAAATATAGTCCTGAAACTTTAAAACTGCAATACTGAACATTTTAGGAATATTGACTATTATCTTTCTTCCCCCATAGCCCTTTAAGTGTTACAGTCCACGTCAGATAAATTGTAACATCAATTTATTAGTAAATGTAGCCCAAACCTAGTCGCAGTGTTAAGTTAGGACATGCCGCGTGGTTTGTTAATTAATAATAAAAATATATGACAATGGCTGACCATCCAAATACAGAAAAATCAGTTTTTTTAATTTGGGGCATTATGCCAATTTATCAAACAGCTTGTAACAATACGTCACACATTTAACCAAACAACTCAAGATAGTAACCTTTACAGGAATACCTATTTAGTACTGAATTATGAAATATAAGTATATATTTATTTGGATTAATATTTTTGTGCGCACATTTGATTTATACCATGTAGATGAGTATTATCAGACAGAAATTTGTCAATCACATAGTTTTGAACATCTGAGAGATTCTCAATAAGTCATCATATAATAAATTAAGGTAATTATTTTTTAGTTTTTTTTTTTTTTTTATATAGTCCTATTCTACTACTTAATTTAATTATACTTTTTTATTATCAGACAGAAATTTTTCGATCATATAGTTTTGAAAATCTGAGAGATTCTCAACAAGTCATCATATAATAAATTAATATCACTATTTAAGTAAAATTACTAGTCACAATTTTATTATTATTACAATTTTCAGAAATTGTAATAGAACAATAAATAAAAAAAAAGGTACAGGCTCATTTTTTTGTTTCTTGGAAGAGGTTCAGACTCCAGATGACAGGTAAATAAAACCTGAACAGCTGAACGAGTGTCATTTCTACATTGTTAGCTGTATTTGTACTTATGGCAACTTTTAGTTTGGAAAATGTAATGAAATAATAAAATTATTTAAATTAATTTAATTAATTTTATTTTTTAGCTTACAAACCAATTTTTATGTTGTTTTTTTTTTAATACATAATAAATAAATCATCAATCACATTATTCACAACCAATTAAGTATTAATCAGCATATATTTTAAGATCATTTATTAAAAGTAATATATGATATTCTCAAAGTCATCACTTTACTTAAATTGCTGTAAATATTAGTAGAATTTAAAAAAAAAACTAATACCAAACAAATGACTATCAGATTTTTTAAATATAGATTCTCAATAAATATATTAATGGTTCATGCATATTTTCTGTTCAAACTAAGTTAACAAAAGTTATGATCTATAACTTAATACTAAATATATAAGAGTAGTTTAAAACATTAATTCATCATAAATAGTATTTTTATTTTTTTAATATTTATATGAATATCAAATAAATGGCATGATAAGTTAATTAAAATTAATATAAAGAAAAATTGAACAATTAATATACAATATATCAGCATCAAAAACACAGTAGGGGTGAATGTATGTAAATTATACCAATATAAGAAAGGAATATTTTTTTATCAGAACTTATGGGGCATAATTTGTGAAATCAGTAAGACATATCATACATTCAGAAGAAATCATTATTAATGTATTAGCTATAAGTTGATTACTTTAACTTTTGAAAGATTCTCATTATATCATTACCTAACTTCCAAAAATATAACAGATAATTAAGTCACATGAAATTATCAAAAATATAATTTACCTGATTAAAGTGTTGACTTTAGCCACTTTGATATCGTACATCTTTTTAACTGCAGCTTTTACGTGGTGCTTGTTGGCACGCAAATGTACAATAAAAACTAAGGTGTTATTGTCTTCAATTTTCTTCATAGCAGATTCAGTTGTCAAAGGGAATTTGATTATATTGAATGCATCCATTCTAATTGTTCAATTATAAATGTACATTAGTTTATTTTTTCCAAAAAAATATAATACATCAAACCATTTATTTATTACCTATTTCTCTTGGGAACAGATTTCCTTGGGTATTTTGGATTTCTCGGTGGCTGGAAAGTCTTAGGACGACGGAAGTGTACAGAATACCTGATTTTACGAATTCTAGTACCATGGGGTCCTTTCAAAGTCTAAAAAAAAATAAGACTTAAAATAAAAATATTCACATATCAATACAGTATTAAACCAAAAAATAAACACGAACTAACTCTGATTTTGGATTTTAAAGCCTTTTTCACAGCATCACGTTTCGATCCAACTTTCAGTCCTTTAACACCCTTCTTTTCAGCCTTTTCTGCGTTTCTTTCTTTTCTGAGTTTAGCGGCAGCAGCAGCTGCAGCGCCCTTGATCATTTTCTTAGCTGCAGCGGTTTTTCCCTTCTTCTTGGTCTTATCGGTTTTGGTATCTTTCTTATCAGTAGTTTTGGCATCTTTTTTATCTCCAGTTTTGGCTTTAGTCTTGGACTTATCTTTTTTAGGGGCAGTCTTCTTAGCTGGTTTCGGGGCGGCTGGGTCAATCAGAGCTTTCTTAGCAGCCGGGGCAGATTTTGGTGCATCAGCAGCTTTTTTCTTGGAAGCTGTTTCCTTTTTGGGCTTTTCTGCTTCTTTCTTAGCTTTGCCATCAGCCTTTCCAGCGGTAGATTTCTTAGAAGCCGGTCCAGGTTTTTCAGTTTCAGAAGATGGTCGCTTAGTACCTTTATCTGCACTCTTTCCTTGTTTAGGTTGATCAGCTTTCTTTTCAGCTGGAGCTTTTTTCTCAGCAGCAACTGGTGCAGCTTTCTTCTTATCGGCAGGTTTCTTCTCCACTGGTGCTGCTTTTTTATCAGCAGCAGGTTTTTTCTCCGAAGTAGATTTCTTTTCTGGAGCAGATTTTTTTTCTGGGGCAGATTTCTTTTCTGGAGCAGGCTTCTTTTCCAAAGCGGGTTTCTTTTCAGTTACTGCTGTTGCAGTAGGTTTTTTCTCTGGGGCTGATTTCTTTTCGGATTTTTTGTCAGCTGACTTCTTATCAGAAGGCTTTTTGGTATCAAGTAATGGAGCAGGTGCAGGTTGCTTTTTTTCTGGTTTCTTCTCAGTTGAAGCAGCTGCAGGTTTTTTTTCACTACCTGATGACTTCTTATCACCACTACCACTACCAGAGGCAGTGGGTTTGGCTTCAAAAAAAAAATTTTTTTTTTAAAAAATGCATAAGATAAAAGTTTATAAAATATAATCTTTGAAGAATGCTAAATGTATTGTTTTGTTTAAACATTTAACATTCTAATAAACAACCGTAGGGTAGATAACCTTTCTACAATTCAATAGATAGGTACATTTATTACACTTATATTATACACAACTAGTTAAGTATAATATTTAAGTTGTTTATGTTCAGTATATAGGTAATGTATAAAACATATTATACCTACATAAATACATTCATAATCAAGTAATAGGTAAAATAAATCTTTAGTTTTAAAAAATATAATATATATGCTATATAATGTTAAAGGTTAGTATTTAGATTCAAATAATCTAATAGCTAATTTGATTACAGAAACTCACCTAAAACACAAATACTTAAAACATAAATATTTTTCTTTTAATTTTTTTTTTTATTTGAACATGGTTGTAGTTATAATTGATAGCAATAAAATTATTCAAGTCTGGTTTAGCCCGAGTAAAATAGTTAATAGTCAATTAATACCAAATTTCACCAGTCATACAATTTTTATCATTTAGATACCTGTCTTAAAGCAAAATGATTGAAGTAATTTACCCAATTAAAAATTATGATAATATTTATTATAGAATATCATACATTGTAATTAGCTGTTCAGGTAGTTAGTAAAAAACCATAATATGAAAATAAAATGTATAAAATTGACAAATATGTGAACATAAATAAAGTAGCTATAATTTAATTTAGTTTTTATAAGCACATAGAAAATAATGAAATTAACTATAGGTACTAAGAGAGACTTTAGTGTTTGAGATATTATGATTATAATACAATGTAGATAGGTATTATACAAATTTGAACACAAATTTTACACGATCTATAAATGAAATTTATAGTTCATATGTGGCTTTTCATATGAATTACAATTTACGGTACCATAATGATCATTTCTAATACAGGTAACAATTATTATACAAAGCAAACATAATAGAACTTAAGTAATAAGCCATGTGCTTGTGATGACTGAAGGAAGGTTAGTAAATTTACAAAACATATACTTTATGTAACTGCGGATCTATACAAATATAAAAGAATTATTTATAGTTACCTTTTTTCTCATTTTTAGGTGGCATTTTGCTATAATATAAAACGTCAAATTATTGTCAAACTTGTAAAATGAAGTAACGCGAACACTACGCTAACGCGAAGGAAAGAGAATAGTTGATATGTTTATAACCTCAATTAACAGTGACGTCGTGTATATACCAAGGATAAAATCAACTCGAAATTGTTAATTTTTGTACAACGTCTTTGATCATTTCGTTATATTATTATCATTATCAAAAATTTAACAGCTGGATGAAAATGATAAAAATAGTAATAGTATCTAATCTATAATCGTGGAAGTGTAACTAGTATTTTCAATTTCGAATCGTTCTAATTGAAAAATTGTAATGCTTACAGACGACTGAGTTGCGTTTCCGTTGTACTAATTACAATTGCATGCTCAATTAAGTATAAATAATTATAAACAGTCAAATATCGTCAAACTATTGATGAAGATGCCTTAATGATATAAATTTGTTTAATTCATCGTGTGCCACTGACTACTACTATTACGACCAGAGAAAGCTATTCATGATGTTTTCGTCGAAAACAGATTTATGTATTCTACATTTGTTATTGTTGTGTGCGTTAATTTTAGCAGATGAAAAAGGAACTTCATATGAAATACAAGAACATGGTAAGTGGTTCAAACATTTTTAGTTTATCTCTTTGAATTGCAATTTTTTTTAAACTGAATACATGGTACCTATTCGTAGTTTATACCTTTACAATAATATATTCAAATTATAAACCGTAAGAAACTTGTAAATAAATAATCATAGGAAATGAGTTACTACTTATTAATAGGGTTGTTTTTATTTTATTCTTTTTTTTAACACACATGTCAAATTGTTTTGTAATGTATTATTTGTAATATTAAATTCAATTATACTACAACATAATTTAAAAAATTTTCCTTTAAGGCTGTCATATATATAGTAAAAAAAAACATGTTAAAAAATCTTCAAAGACTTGTAAAATAGTTAGATTATAATATTATTTAAATTTAAAATGTAAGATTCTTTAAGGTTGTATTGAACTACTTTTTTAAAAATTTGAATTCCAAGAAATCTATTTCTGATATTACTTATAAATTAATCAAAGATCAAAGTTCTATGAGACCTATTAAAAATTGTTCTCTTAAAAAAAAAAAAATTGAAATTGGACCGTTTTATGAAGTGTGAGAGTTTTACTCATAAATTTATTTTTGTCTGTAGAACGCCTGTTCTTTTAACCTCTAATTTGGTATCCGGCATTTTATTAAATTTTATCTGTAAAGTGGTCATTAAAATATTTAAAATAACGTTCAAATATTACAAAATAGGAGACAATTTTGAAAACTGATTTCAACTGCCTTCTTAAAAAGTCATTAGGTTTTTAAGGTTGGTACTCGAATAGCCAAAATATTGAGATAACTATATTTTGCTTTAATTTATGTTTGTTTAAGATTGTTTTAATAATAATGGTTAAATTAAATTGTATCTTATAGTATTGAATATATTGGAAATACCTACTCTCATTGGTTTTTATTTTTAAATTATAATTTGATTTATAATAATTCTACAATATGTATATTATTATATTAATAAAATTAATTTTCAGATGTTCCAATATCAGTTGATGTTCTAAATTTAAAAACTATCGACAATTCTGGAAAAGATCACAAGTTAGTTTATTAACTATAAATTACATATACCTAAATGTACACATATATTATGTAATATTTTAGAATTTACAGTATAGTAAATCCATTCAAAATGTTTACCTAAGTTTTAAAGAAAAAAACTATATTCAATAAATATTTGTATATCAATAATGAAGTACTTAAAAAATGAAATAATAAAAACATTGAATTTATTTAAATTATATAAAGTAAATATTTATTAATCAAATAATTGTTTATAAAAATATTTTATTGTTTACATGATTATTATTTATTACATAGATATATAGGTAGCAATATGTTATTAGCTTATTACCTCGCTTATTATTTTGAAAACTAAAAAGTGTATTTTAAGTCTGTTTTATTTCTTTTGAAATAAAAAAATATTAAGATTAATTTAAATTTTCTATTTTCTTATTTAATCATTAATTAAGATTTATAAAAAAAAAACCTTAGGTCTATATATATTATTTTGTATAAATCTAAATTTAATGAAGTTCATTAAATATATTTTTCGGGTTACAGATGGAATGGAAGATACTTACCTGACCGTTCAAATAAAGAAAACTATGGCAGTATTTCAGGAATTGTTGAAGAAAATGAAGATTTTGCCGTTTATAATGTACCAAAACTCAATAAGGGTATGGCAACCATGGGATCTATGGATATTAACTCTACGTGTGATGATGGAAAGGTTTTAGTATAGTTTAAATATGTGTAACTTTTGAAATTTTTTATTTTATTAAGTTGATAAAATATATCTTAAATACAAAGCTGGAACTTAAATTGATTTAAATAATAAAATTATAAATATATTCAATAATTTTAATTTAGTTATTCATTAAATTACGTTTATAGGATTGAAGTTAAAAATTATCTTTCTTTCTACATTGAAATGTAGTTGTATTTTTCTTCTAATATGTATGCACTAAAAAATGATAACCATGAAATCTATTTGAGATAAATTCTTATAAATATGTATTTTATCATCTTAGAAGGACCCCACACCCGTATTTACTGTCTCCGTTTTATAAACATGCAATGTAGCAAATGTGCATTTAGTAGGACACATTTTGTGCTGCTAGTTTTGATATTAAACCAAATTGACTTATTACCAAAATTAAAGGTAAGAAGAATATATGTACTCAGTGTGTATTTTAATTCTTAAGTAAGATAAATCATTTTTAAATTGTAATATTTCACATACTCATTTTTCTTAAAAATATTAATATCAAAAAACCATTTACACTGGATATAATATAATCTTGTTACCTCTCATTTTGGTAATAAGTCAATTTGCTTTAATATTAAAACTAACAGCACAAAATGTGTCCTACTGAACACAAATTTGCTATGTCTTGAGTTTGTAAGACAGTGACAGTAGATGTTGGTGGGGCATCCTCTTAATTCCATAATTTCACCAAAAGTAATTGAGAAAAATTTGTATGTATTAAGAATTAAGCAAATTTATGAAAAAGTTATGTTTTAATAGATTTACAATGAACTAAAATCTGACAAATTTATATGAAGTAAAATGCTTTTAAATTTATTTATTTCAATTCTTGTAGATAAAGACAACAAATTACTATTTTCAATTTTCTTAAACGTGTTAATAATTCCATGTATGTTTTCTGTAAAATTGTTAAATTTCTTTTCAGACAAACTTGACAAGAGATTGGGATGGATCTCCTTACAATTATACATGCTTGATTAGGTATAGTTTACCAATTCTACCTGATGTTCGACCTTTATTGGAGAAAGATCTTGTGCCAAAATATTATGTGGTAAATATTATTTTAAATGCTTATTAGTTATTAAATTACATAATAGGTCAAAACCCATATTGTAATAAAGAATATTTCAAGGGTCTGGTATAAACTATGTGTAACTATTTTTGGTCACAATTTAATAATTAATGACAAACATCAAAGTACCTTCATTTTACCTTGCCTAAAGCATCGAAAAATCTAGTTAAAACTATTAAAATCATAAGCAGTTAAAAATAAGTATCTATAGCTATTGACTTTATAATAAAATCAATGCTATAACTAAGAAATTAAATTTACATCACCATAATTATTACTCTCTTATTTTTTTTTTCTATTGTGCAATATATTACATAATAATAATACAAATTGTATAATATTCCTTAAGTGTTCTTTAATGAATAATATTGAGTACTTGGAGTTTTATATATTATTGTACCTAAATAGCTTTATGAAGTTATATACTTTTAAATTTTAATACATTTGTGTTAGCTGTATTCAAACAAGTGATTAAACTAGACTAAATATTTATGAAAATAATTAAAAACTGTTTTTCAACATATATCCTATAACTATATTGTTGAAAATATATCACTTCTAATCTTTTATGACTTTCCAGATTATTAATTGTATACATTTTACAGTTTAAATTAATAATCAATTATATTCATAAAATCTAAAAATCATATTCATACTAATTTTTTTATGAAAACATAGAATAAAATAATTCATAATGTAAGTATGCATCATTAGGGCTAGGGACTTATTGAATTTACACATTTCTAGTAGTCTAAAAACTTCAGTAAGATAGTTATATGATAAAGTAATTACAATAATTTCAAATTGTCTGTGAGTATTGTTGTTTTTATAAAACTGCACATTCCCATTTCTTTTGTTTATATTTACTGTTTGTATTACTTATTATAATTCAATTATTTTTACATATTTGATGAAAATTTAGTACATATTTTGATTATTTTTTATGCATCGAGTTCTGAGCTCTATGAATCATTATTTATCAAATTTAGAATTCTAAATTATTTTTTTATTTAAAAGAATATATTTAATCTGTGTTTGTTAGCACAATTAACAAATGTGATAAATATTTATATGTTACCAGAAATGATGACAATTCCAAATACGTTTAGAAAATGTTATAATTTCTTTACGATAGCAGGCAATGATATATATTAACAGTAAAATTACACATTAATTTTATATTTTTATTTTTATACTTTATATTCTGAGTGGAGCGAAGAAGTTTATGGTTTTACAAATATGTTTATTTTTTTTTTCTCTGGACAAATTTTCTACTAGAAATCATGCTCCGATTTTTAAATGTAACACCTTTTCTAAAAGGAAATTGGTGTGCGATGGTACTATATGGAGTTTCTCAGGAGTATTCTCATCAAATATGAAATACATGAGAAAAGTAGAAAAACTGGAAATTGGGTACATTAAACAAATATATTAAAGAAAATATATGATACATGAAAATGTATGATACATATTTAATTATTTTACATTAATATGATATATATATTATTGACAAAGCAACTACACTATCAAATGAACTCAGAATCGTTTAGCAATGGTTTATTGTTGCTTATAGTTATAAATTAATTTACTTATAACAGTAGCTGCACCAGACCCCATTATCCTAGAATGTCTTTTTAGTTTATAATTTTTATTATTACTATTATTAATTTTGACTTTTATCTACTTCATTTTTATTTTCACATGACAAACTTCCGTGATATTCAAAATTATAAATTCTGGATGCTGATCTGCATGCACACCAGTTTGTCTTGACTTTTAATAAAACAGAATAGGTAAATGCTACATAACTATATGGAAATTCTGTACCTATAATTAATATAAACAGTTGTAAGAGCTACGTGGACTTTTATCAGATTACAGAATTTTAGAGTTTACACTTGTTCAGAATAAATATTATACATCAATAAAATTGCCTAATAAACTATGAAAATGTCATCAAAAGTCAACTAAAATATTATTTCCCAAAGTATTTAGACATTGTCATCATTTCCTAGGAATTGTTACCATTTACTAAAATGTCAACATTGCCAGTAATATATACACAATATAATAACTGAATAATTTGAGAAAAGAAACTAGTGATAGAACCCATATCAAAAATGATTAGTTTTAATAGTTATTGTTTAATTGAAATTATTCAGCTATGAAAAAGTAATAAATTATTCAATCACAGGAAAGTTAGGTAATCTAGTGTTTATTACATACAATTATTTAAGCATAATAAATAAAAGAAATCTGAAAATATGATTTTAATTATAGTCAATATTCATCTGATATTTTTTTTATGAAAGTATAACATTTTCTATAGCTATATCATAGATTGTGAAATTTGAAAAATTGTATTATTATATTTTAGCTAAATATTTTAAATATGTGTTGATCAATTCCTATAATTACAAATTAATTTTTAAATATAGTAATGTTAATAAATAATTACCTTTTTTATGTTTATTACTAAGTTTGAACTCTTACCACAGATTTATATAATTAAGTTATATCATAAATTAATTTTGTGTCAGAAGCAGGGTCCTGAATTCTTAGAATTTGTAAGACCCTGGGCGAAAATGATAGTGAGACCTAAAATAAAATATCTATTTAAAGGTATACTAAAAATGTCCCATTATTTTTTTATACGCATATTAATTGGTAAAAATAAATGGACTTTCAGTTACCTTGATAAGATAGATTATTAATTAAATTTCTTTTTTAAAAAAAAATAGAAATAGGAATTTAAAAAAAAAAAAATCAGGTTTAATTTTTCCTTATTATTATTTTATTACTACATTATGGGACAAACTCAATACATACATTGGTACAGTATAATAGCATGCATATGAGACAAATAATAATTGTAGAATAAAGTAGGTAATTAGATGAAGAGAAGGGAGTATTATTATATTATATAATTTAAGTTAGATAAAAATTTAAATATATAAATAAAAAATCAAAAAAGAGAATTGATTCTGTTGATACATGAGCCACTCTTGTAAATTGGAAGATAGAATACATAGTTATTAAATTTATGTATCTGTGTACAATGATAAATTATTGCTTATAAATTATAAATATGAGTAAAGTTCTGTTAAATATGTTTTGAAATGCTTTTGATTTTTATGACACTGCAGGTACTGTGTACAGACGCTAAAATTATCCCCTTTACACCATCAGCCCAATTGCCATGATTTAAAAATTGTAAATGGCATATACAGCATATACAGTTCAAAAATTACCATGGATTGTTTTTAAAATTTTACCACATCGATACAATTCTAATTTAAGTAACTGAAAATTTCAGATTTCTAAAATTATTTTTAACCAAATTATGACAAAAAAAATGAAACAGTACTTTTTCCTAGTTATTATTATTATTATTAAATTATACCACAATGGCGATTTTCAATATAAATACAAGTAATATTACATAGAATACTTAAACATTAAACATAATACTATTTAAAAGGGGTAGCTTAAAAAGCTAATACAAACGGAACATTAAATTATTATTGTAGGAAAACTACAAAGAATATCAAAATATGACTTCTTTAAATTACTTAATAAATCCATAATACAACAATAAAGCCCTCTTGTACATTTTTTATAATAGAAAAATTTCTGACAAAAAAAGTTGTTTTTGAGTTTTTAAGAAGAAAAAAAAAGACACAGTAGTTCCTGACTGCGCTCAGAATCTAAAAATATGTACAAATTAAATTTTTATTAATTATGTCATATTTTAATCCAAATTCCAAATGCATTACTTTCAATTATGAGAATCTTTTTTCTGTGTTGTAACTGTAATTGTCAATAATATTCTTAATCCAATAGAAAGATTTGGAAAAAAAAGAGATGTTGTTTTAATTTAATTAAAACATTCGATAGGTGTTTTTTGCTTGTTATTTATTGATAAAATATTATAAATAATTTACAGAATTGGACGACCATCCCTGATGTGCTGCGAATCTATAATTACAATAATATTATTATTGATTATTTGTATCTGCTGTGTTTTTAGGAAATTCCTTTGTTGTTTTGAAACTTAATAAAAGATTTAAATTGAATGAAATAACATATTTGTTTAATATTTTTAATTAAATAGATATTATATCTATTAGAATTATTATTTTAAATTCAAAGTGTAGTGGCGCTGCGTAGCTATGTGCAAAAATTTTTCAAAAAGAAATCTTGCTCTAATATATAACATATAGTACCCTTTTTGGATGGAAATTTTGTTTAATTGGTGCATTAGAGAGGTAATTTTTTGATTTTCCAAAAGTTTTTCAAAATAATTCAGAAAAACCTGAAAGAAAATTATAACGCCAAATATTTATGACCCGTCACATCAATTTCATTATTTTGTTTTTGCAACTTATGTTTTCTACCAGAAATATTTCTCCAATCTAAAAATGACAAAGGATAGATTTTATTCTTTTCACTTTCTGTTAATTTTTTTGATGTAAGTATTTTTTATAATAATTGGGAAAAATCAAAAAAGCTGAAAAATATTTTTTTTTTTCAAATTACAGCACAAATATTTCATTATTTTAAAGTTTTATAACTACAAAAAATATTGTAATATTTTTAAGTAATTTTTATTTGATAGGTACTCTGTAGATAAAATTGTTAGATTTGACAGGAGGTTCATTTAGAGGTAGAAAAAAGTTAGTGTAATGTAACACTATTTTTCTTTTGAAGGAATTTTGAAGAAAATAGTAAATATTATGGCCTTTCAAAACATGTACAAGCGAACTTGAAATCGTTTTTCATGAGCAATAATTTATCGTATTTATAGTAATAAGTTACAGGTATAAATTAAATAACTTTATGTATCCCACCTTCCTAACTACTCATCTATAAAAGTGGGCGCACCCCTTTCCCATAATAGCATTTAATTTTTTTAACGTAAAGCCCGGAATCTAAATAAAAAGTATGTGACCAGGGGCAGAGACCTATCCTCCCCGCCTAAGAACTATTCTGGTCAAAAGTATGTTCAAAAAAAAAAATTATTAACTAAAAAATTTGTATGCATCAGCCGGGAATCGAACCCGGGCCGCCCGCGTGGCAGGCGAGCATTCTACCACTGAACCACTGATGCTTGATGTACATTACGTCGTTATTATTACTATTTATTATAATGCAATACAAATATTTTGTTTATTTTATAGTTTATTTATTTTAATTTAATTTCTGTAACATGTAACTATATTTTTTATTCTCGTTATACTTATGATTAGGAAATGAAATTGGAGTCTACTGAGAAAATGTCGAACTATATTTTAGATTCCGATAGTGTAGCGAAGAGTGTATTCGTTTTATAAAAATGATTATTTTTTTTTTATACTGTGCACGAAAATTCTACCCGAAATCTTACTCCGAAGAATCAAGTATAGCACCTTTTCTGAGATAGTACTTTAAGGAGACCTTTTTTTGATTCTTCCTGGAGTTTTCTCATTAAATGGGGAAAAACGGGAGAATAGATACAATTTTAAAGAAAATAGGTGTATAATACATATGAAATGATTTTACCATAATGTGACATATACTGTTGACAAAGCAACACTATTAACCTAACTCGCTTTTGAATTGTTTTTTGTTAGCAACGAGTAATTGCTTCATACAAACATACATTCAATTTCTTCTATACATTCCACCCACGTGCGAAGTATGTCCGTCCTTTTGTATACCGGTGTTGTGTTTAAATAATGAACATTTAGACATTGTGCATTTGTGCCTATATTACATCAAACTCGCGACAAAAACTTATTTATTGTCTATAGTGCTGTAGGGCACGGCGCAGTGGTCCAAAACATTTAAAAATCGACATTTTTCGATAAAACGTTAAACTTTGTGTCACATAATAATTCAAAAAACAATTTTAATTTTAAAACATTTTTAATCAGTTAGATCCCCCTCTAAACTTCGAAAATATAATTTGGTTCTAAATTGTTCATGTGGGTAGTCAAATTGAATATAATTTTTTTATAAGAAAAATGTTTTTTGTATTCCCAAATTCAAATTGTTAGCCATTTTTTTTTTATAAGTATTTCTGTATAAAAAAAACCAAAAGTTACCAGTTTTTTACTTACATACCGTTACATTTTGTTTACGCAGCCATTCATTCCTGGCTGGTCATCAAAAATCTATAAAATATAATATTTACTATCTATTTTGAAAAAAAATGTTGTTACATTTAGGCATTTCTCAAAATACAAATTTTTATTTTTGGTAAAAGACTGAGATTTTGTATTAATTGGTGGACAATGTTTATTAATTTATTGAATATATTTATATAAAGAGAAGTACTATGTATTATATACATAGTAATAAGTGGTTTTCAATCAATAAGGTTAATAATAGTTTTAAAAAAAAATGTATTATATAATTTGTATTATGTTTGCAACTATTTTATAAATATTGTATCATAGTAAATGAAAAAAAAAATCATCTTATATACACAACAATAAACATTTGTATTTTGAAAAATACCCAAATATAGTAAAAAAAATTTTTTCCAACAAATAGTAAATATATTTTTTTATAGATTTTTGATGACCAGTCAGTTGCGCAAATCAAATAAAACAGTATATAGTTTAAAAAAATAATAATAATAAATAAATCGGTAATTTTCGGGGTTTTTCATATAAAAAGACTTAATAAAAAAAGTTGGTTAACAATATCAACTTGGGAATGTAAAAAACATTTTTCTTATGAAAAATATATATAATTTGACTACCCACACAAACAACTTTGAATCAAACTATATTTTTGACATTTAGGGGTGTCTAAACTGCTTAAAAATGTTTTAAAATTAATTTTTTTTTTAACTATTCATGTGACATAAAATTACAGGCTATACCCAAAAAGCCAGTGTTTTAATTTTTAGACCACTGCATGGTGTTTCTGTGTATGTAATAACTAATAAAAAATGTATTATTTTATATTTGTGTGCAATAATATTTTCTATAGTTTTTGTTTTGGATTTATACATTAATTACCCTAAGTAAATCTAATTAGTTCTTCACTGGTTTTGTTTATCATAGGTATCCAGGGACTATGATATACAATTCTAGTTTTTGCTATAGGTTCTTAAAATAAAATTATACTAAATAATACCAAATAATAATCATATTTTTGATCATTCATTTAGGTAGATATATTGTTTTATTTATTAATTATTCTTTAAAATCTCAATAAAATTTGTGTTAACAGGCTAATCATGTGTGTATGAAAGAAACAATTGTATACAACCATGATATTCCTTCATTGTAAGTATCTACTGATTATTTATGTTTACAAATCATCTCCAATGAAAAAATTTATCTTGAACGCTGTTTTTTTTTTTATTAAATTTTATTATAACATGAATATATAGATGATGTTATGTTTTTTTTTTCATTTAGTGGATCACATCGACCGGCTTGGGCCAGGTATGGAGAATATAAATTTTTACCAAAACAAAGATGGCTACATAATTTAGAGGTATTTCTATAACTATATAATTTATATATATATATGTATATTACATTAAAATGTTAAATTATTTTACATACTTATATAATATATTTTCAGCATGGATCAGTTGTAATGTTATACCATCCATGTACGCATCCAGTTTTAATTCAACGAATGCGAACAGTTTTGAGAGGATGTCTTTTCAGACATATTATAACTCCATATAATTTGGTGCCTGAAGACAGGGTTAGTATTAGTTAAATAATAGTTCTAGATTATAATTATTAAAAAAAATTGATTTGATTTATACTTTTATTTATAGCCTATTGTCCTTATAACTTGGGGTTATAGACTGTATATGAATGATGTAGACACAAAATTAGCTGTAGATTTTATAAAAAAGTATGCAAATCATGCAAAGGAAACAACAGCCAGGGATGGTCAATATGATCATTTATTAATTGAAGCAGCAGAAGTGATTTCTCATGATGACATCAGCATTTGTCCAACACCCCACAAACGCAAAAATAGAATATAATTTACATTTTCAATATTCTAACTTTTGATTCAAAATATTTTGTACAATTTGTTTTTATAAAACTAAAAATATATTAATATGTTAAATATTATTTTTGTAACTGTACTACTTCAGGGACATTATTGTATCTTAAACGATCAATTAATTTAAGTTTTTTATTTTGATATTACATATTTTATGGTTAACAATACAATTGTATACTTTATTTTTTTATGTTATTTTTTGATATTATAATATACAACTTTATTCTTTAAAATCAAAAAAACAAAATTAATTTATTAAAGCATTACATACTTTTTTAATAAGAAATTATTAGATTGGATAATATTATGAGTGCCCAATTATATACAAATTATGGTTTTTTTAATATTTAAATATATTACTATTTACAAAAGTAACAAATTATTAATGAATAAAATTGATTTCAATTTAAAGTTCATCTTATTTTGCATAATATTTTGGTACGCAGTAGTATTATTGTTTTAAATTTAAATGCATATTTCTGTAGTTATTAAAACTAAAAAGTAAAAAATTTGTTTGGTCAATGATAGAACATAAAATATTGTCTAGTTCAGTTGGTCCCAAACTTTTACAACCATGGCACCCTTTGAAAAAAGTTTGTGTTTTATGGAACCCCAACTCTTACTGAACCCTATTTTTTTAATTATTTATTGAAAAATGTTTAAAAGATATTGTTCATGATTATTGTTTATTACAATTGGTTTAAAAAATATATATTTTTCAATCAAAGTTTTACTTATTAAAATAATAAAACAAATTATTTTTAACAAAATATAATTAATTAGATCTTATAATGTACGTTTACTTTTAATATTTTTAATGTGATGAATGGAATTTTTTCATGATTTTATTTAAATAGTTTTAAAATTGGGTCTTATAATATCTGAAAGTTGAATTTGTAGGTCTGGAGCAGCATCCAATTTATAATTGTACATATTTTTATTATAAGCATAAAAAGAAAAACCAGCCTAACAATACTAGGCTGTTACAAAAGGTAGTAGTTAGAATATCCTTTTCAGTTAGAGATGGGTATTCGTCCAATCCAAAACTCATTTAAAGATCCGGATTCAAATGTATGATTAAAGGATGACATACTCTTGATTTCAATAAGGTTTTCATTTTCGAACAAGAATACCATGGCATGTTTTTTTTTGTTCACAAAAGGATTTTTTGTATCCAATCAATGTCATTATAATATCAGGAAAGTACTGAGACAAGGATTTTCAAGATTTTCCAAATGTTATTCGATAATGTTTTTTCTTATGTTTTTCCAAATATTATATAAAATAATTTTCTCTATTTTCACATACATCTGAGATTATTCCGCAGAACCTAAGGATTCCGTGAAACACACTGGGAATCACTGGTCTAGATATATAATTTTTTATAAAGGTTAAAATGAATAACAGCTAATATTATGTATCTTTATAGGGTATCTACACTGTAGATATTTTAAATATTGTATAAAAATAAATAAATTATATACTGTTTGTTGTGTGTTGTATAAAAACTATTTCAACACAAGTACTTAAACAAGAACTTAAAGGTACTTTTAAAAAATTTTAATTATCCTTGCGGTAGTTAATTAATAAAATAATAATAAGTTATTAAAAAGGTTTATTCCTCAGAAATAAATATTAAAATATTATATATAATAATATTATAAAAATAAAAAATTAATTAATGAATAAATCTCATGGTGTATTATATGACCGGTTTCAAATTAAAAATTCATCATCAGGTATATCACAGTTAAAATGTAAAACGTAACAGAATATAAAAAATTTAATTAAATCTATTTCAGAAATGTGTTCTTTATATCTTATTTTAAAATTTTTTTTTGTCTTGCCTGTATAAAATTGATTACAGTTACATTTAATTTTATATATACCAGCATTTTCAATAGAAGGGGGATTTTTTGTGAAATTTTCAGTTCATTAATTAAATTATTATTAATCTTAAAAGTAATTTTTATATTATTTGTATTATTGTTCAGAATTTTAGTGAATTCTTTAAACATATTATTTTGATATTTCATAATTAAATAGTTAAGAACATTATTTGGTTATTAATTGTTTTATCTTTATTATATGTATTTCATATAAGTATATTAATAAACACACCTATTGTTAGTATACATTCGTATTACTATGGTAACTGGAGTAAATTTCAGTCATTAGTTCTTGTATATTACTTTTGTAATTAGGCATGGTCCGTTTAAAATTATATAAATAAATAAATAAATTAGTATTGATCATTATATTACCCATTCATGTTTTAAAAAATTAATAATACAAATATAATCACTTAAAATGATTGATCACTTTGAATAATAAACCAAATAATTGATTTAGTTTTAATTTGATACAAAATCAGTAATTAGAAGTTGCTCTTGAGGTATTTTCCAGAATAAAATATTTTCGATTGTGTTGAACAAGAATACTATCTCTGTTTATGAATTCAGATGGTGTCTGGACGTAAGGGGAACAAAGTTCCTCCTCCTTTTTACTAATTTTCCTAATTATTTTTAAAAACCCCTAGGAAAATCAAATAAATAACATTTCTAAATGCACCAAGTAGTTAAAATTTCCTTTCAGAAAAAGTGTTACACTCATATAAACACAAATAGGAGGGTTTTAGGGGCTAAGCTCTCCCAAAAATTTCAATAGTCTTCTCAAAACCCTCGCATGTTTTTTGTTTGCAAAGTTTATCATGCAGGGTAAAAATTTTGTTTGTATAAAAATAAATTATAACCAATAAATTTACCATTGATGAAAAGTGAATGAAGAAACTTGGAAAAAATAATCACGGTTTTATGACAATCAAACAGTACCTATGCAAGTAGAATATTTTACTGTCAATTCGTTTTCGTATTGAAAATATGAATATATTTTTGTATTCGCCCACTGATGACAAGGGGGGCAAATGCCTCTCCTGCACCTCAAATTGTTAAAGTCTTTATTATTTTAACAATTGTGTAATTGAGTAGCTAGGGTTTCAGTCCCCCCGCCCCAGATCTCAAACTCTATTTGCGCCTATGGTTACACTCTTTACATTAGAACAAGAATTCTTTTCGATAAGTTGTTGATAGACACACAAAAAAAAAAATACACACCATAGTAAAACCAATAGATCCCTAAAAAGGCCCAATAAAAATTACTTTATTATAGGTACTAATGTACTATTCTGTATACATTAATAATAACTGTATACAGAATATTACCTATTTTTATCAATAAATGGGAGTTTTTTTTACTAAGAACAAGGCAATTCGAGTCTTGTGAAAAGAAGAAATTCTCATCCTAAATAAGACTTAATAATACCTATCTGACTTTCAATCCTATTATTTAGACCAAATAATTACTATGGTGGTCATAACATTGTCACAAAAAGTTATGCAGTTAGTCGCTCGGGGTACTGGTACATAATATACACTTGACGTCACAAAAATCGCACATAAAATTAAGTTTCAAACGGGCGTTTCCTTGAACCAAAACATTTAACCTAAACAGTAAAGATATCAATTGAAAGTACAATTAATGACCGCTTATCCGATAGTAGTTTCATTTCATAATAATCATATTCCGAGTATACGGCACATTAGGAAAATGTATAAATATACTCCTATCTTATCTTACATTCTTTGGCTATAGAAAAATCAGTTTAAAGTGTCAAATGCAGGTTATTCACTACCTAAACACTGAAAAGGACATAAGTGAATGCTCTTTAAACAATATTATTTCAAAAAATAACGTATTAAATGGATACAACTGCTAACGAAGCCGCTCAAGTGGTGGCATTAATGGAATCAGGGATACGTCAATGTGATATTGCACAGCAACTAAACTTGAGCTGTTTTGCCGTTCAACGAGTTTTACCAACGTTATCAAGAGAGTGGTGGCTTTATCCGGAGGCATGGATCAGGCCGACAACGCTGCACAACGGACAGAGATGATCGTTTTATTGTCTCGACGTCTTTACGCAATCGATTTTCCAATGCTGTACATTTTCAACAGCAACTCCATGCAGCTCGCAGTACAACAGTAAGCATCTCTACGGTTCGGAGAAGGTTAGGAGAACAAAAAATCGTGGCCCGCAGACCTGCTACCGGTCCGAAACTGACTACACAGCACCGCAAATAATGGTTACAGTTTGCCCGTGAACACGTTAATTGGACTCTCGACCATTGGAAGACTGTGCTCTTTTCGGATGAAACAAAGGTGTGTTTATTCAGCAATGACAAACGAAGGAAAGGTTAGGAGAACAAAAAGTTTTGGCCTGCAGACCTGCTACCGGTCCAAAACTGACTGCACAGCACCGCAAAGAACGGTTACATTTTGCCCGTGAACATTTTAATTGGACGCTTGACCAATGGAAGACTGTGCTCTTTTCTGATGAAACAAGGGTGTGTATATACAGCAATGACAAACAAAGGAAAGTGTACCGAAGGCAGGGCGAAGGGTTTGCACAAACCTGTACCGAGGAGACAGTGGAGTATGGAGGTGGATCATGCATGTTCTGGGGCGGCATTTCCATCGATAGCAAGACCGAGCTTGTGTGCGTTTCCCGAACTGGTGGCAAGGATCGCTAACTTCTGATCAATACATTACAGAGATCTTAGAAGAGCATGTGGTACCATATGCGGGTTTTGTTGGAGATGGGTTTATACTAATGCACGACAATGCTTGTTCCCACACCGCATTAATTGTAAAAAATTATACGGAAGAGGTTGGGATCCCTGTNTGATCGATACATTACAGAGATCTTAGAAGAGCATGTGGTACCATATTCGGGTTTTGTTGGAGATGGGTTTATACTAATGCACGACAATGCTCGTTCCCACACCGCATTAATTGTAAAAAATTATACGGAAGAGGTTGGGATCCCTGTTATGAACTGGCCAGCGAGAAGTCCAGACCTAAACCCAATTGAGCACCTCTGGGACGAATTAAAACGAAGAGTGCGGTCACATGATCCTGCCCCAACAACCCTTCAAGATCTTCAAGATGCTGTTATTGCACAATGGATAAGCATTCCTCAAGAACGCATCGTACGACTAATAACATCCATGAAAGATCGTATGGAAGCAGTAATTAAGGCAAGAGGAAGTAGCACTAGATTTTAAATAACATTAAGTAACAGTTTTTTATTTTTATTTGAAGTCTATTGTCTGTTTCTGTTTGTAAAAATGTATAACCTCAATAGAATTTATTTTCTTCTTCTACGATTAACTTATTTTTTTAAAACACTGATAAACAAAAACACATACCATTTATTTTTCAAGTTTATTTAATAACCTATCAAATGATATACCATAACAGTACCCTTACATTTGATTAAGTGTAGTTAAAATTACTTTGAAAAATAATTTGCAATAAGTGCAATTTTTGTGACGCCAAGTGTATATTGTATCCCAGTTGGCTTAAACACGAGTATAAAAAAATCCTCAGTTTTCTCCGTAAAACGGTTACGAGTGTTTTGCCTATTGCGCGTAATGTATACATAATTAAAATAAATATCATTATGCGTTATACTATATTTGTTATTGAATTTTATTGTGTCAGAGTACATTTTTTCTTTTCCTCAACAATGCGTTAATCGGAGGGGGAATCAGTCGTAGGAATTGAGGAAAAAAAGCCCCGTTGTAAATTAATGCCTACTTATTGAAAAAATGATAATGAATAATAAGTAGGCAAATTGAAAAATATATATATTTTTTATTGAAAATGTATAGTACATAATTGCATAAACAAAAAGCGTAATATATAGGTATAAAAATGCTACTCCTGTAAGCCTAAACTTGTGTTGGGATAGAGAGTTATTATACAAGTTACTAGATAATTATAAAATATTAAGTAAAAGTTTGCATAAAGATATTATTTATACATAATATTGATAATTTTAAACACACAAATTAATAAATAAAATCAAAATTAAGATAACAACCAAAACTTCAAAATTTAAAAAATGTTACATACATTTAATATTACACTGAAATTTAAATTTAAATCAAAGTTAAAATCAAAATGCGGACTTTTACATTGAACTTAATACTTCTGAGAATAGCCATTTAAAAATTATTTATTTTTCGTTTGATGCCCCAAAATTATTGTTTTTCTTGTTTATTATTAAACTAATTTACTTCAACGACTGTTTACATTAGAATTTCACATATAATTTACATTATTTATTTTTCCAGTATGTTTTTAGGTCCAGGGCTTTTCTCTTTTTACCATATATAACCATATAGTGTACACCTGTACGTTGTACATATATACCTATATAATGTATATAAGTAGTAATGTATAGTATTATACAATTAAGTATTGAAAGAAGAAACTGATTTATTAACATAGATATAAACGCACAGCCCAAACACAGTGACGTTTTAACGCTAAGGGTACGTGGGGCGTGAGCCCAGTCCCTCGGCCTGATGGGGGCCCTGAAAAAAATATTTTTCATCTTTACGTTATAACGTATTGATGCAACTTATTTCAACTAAATATTTGACTGTCAGCCTTAAATGTTAAGTTATAATTTTAAATTATAGTTTAATTCTGTTTACTCAAAATTTAAATGTTTCAAAAAGACAAAAACAACGATTACCTTATTACATGCAATAAACACGTTAACCGCTATACAGACTACAGCAGCGACTAGTGGTTGCACACTTATTATAAACTATTGTTAATAGTTAATTAACAATTAATAGTTGAGTAATATAGATGAAAAGTGATTTTTGGGTAATGTAATGAATAATGATAATAATAATAATAATATAATTATAATTAAAAAGAGTTTTTAAATCTTCTAATTACAAGTTGTCTTTTTATTTTTTTTTATTAATATTTATTTTTAAGGAAGCATATATAAAAAAGTGTAGGTAATAATTTCGAGAGAAAACCATATCGTATTGTTAGGTTATAGCTAATAACAATAATAGTTTGAAATATTCGTTACTATTTACACTTTATAGTACCGTGTCAACCTTCATTTTAAGTGCCCTGGGGCAATCATTATGTTCACTGCCTTAACTTGATATTCATCACTATTTAAAATTTGGTACCCTAGAACAGTTGCCTCTTTAGCGTGGTCTTGACTTTTTCACTGTTAGGAACATATTCACACATTATTTACATCAGTAACCTATTTGCTATAGACTTGTGAGTTTATTATATTTACCGCTCATACTCCCGTAAAGAAGTCATGAAATTATACGCGGACGAAGTCGCAGGTTACAGATGCTGTAGTTACATCATATTAGTAATACCTATATGTGCTATTCCGATAATCGTTCGTTAAGACTCAAAAGCAGCGTTATTGGACAGAAATCGGTGAGTAAGGTACCTCTATCAGTGACATTTAAACGATATCTAATATATACTTAGTCACGATTGAGTATACGTGTTAAAAAATGTTTTAATTTTAAAGGAATTGCAGGTTTTGATTCTGAGTGTAGCGAGGTTTTTTTTTTAATTTTATAATTTTTAAATGTCGGTCATCGATGATACTAGTAAAAAAAACCCAATTAAATTTGTTTTATACAATATTTCATATGAAATACATTTCAGTGTACATATGTATTACAAATTATATTAGATACGTTTTTGAAAAATCTGTAGGGTATTTGGATACCTATACCTATCCCTTATAATTAATTCAATCTCTTGCTTTTGATATTTAAGGTTGTTATAAATTATACTATATATTATTATGTACATAAAATATATTTTAACCGAAAACAAACAAATCCGTTTTTATAATTTTTTTTTTTAAATACAAAGACCAAATGGTATACAAGTGACAACACATAGGTAACTAATCAAGAAGTTACTCCTATAAGGATGAATAAAGAAAAAGAGTTTGGTATGATTATCAAAATCCGTAAACTAGAAATTCAAAACTAGACATATTATGAGGAATTTAACAAAATATGGTTTATTGAAGTTCATTATTCAAGGACGAACCAATGGAAGAAGAAGTCCTGTGTACTCAAGAACATCATGCGTGCAAAATTTAAGGACATGGTATAACAAAATATCAATTGAACTCTTCATGGTAGCGGTAGTTAATGATGAGATAGTCATGCTGGTCACTAACGTCCGAAACGGATAAGAGCTAAAATAAGAAAAGAGATAATATAGACATATTTCACAATATTTAAAATTTATTGTAATAATATTTTAATTGTTATTCGTCGTATTAATAATGACTGAGTAACTAAAATCATTAAAATAATTGGGTATTTTAAATCAATTTAATTTCTATATTATACATAATTGTTTTTCTGAGAGAATTGTCAGATTAATATGAATAACTTTAAAAAAAAAAATAGTAAAAATATACTTATGTTCGTGATCATATCATTATGTATACAGTGGGTTGTACTATACTATAGTTTAGTAGATATATCGACCTATACGTAGTGGGAGTTGTTAGGAGTTGTTAGATTGAAAACGCGTGCATCGTTTCAGTTTCGATTTTGTTGGCGCCGAGTGTACAATGTCGTAATAATGAGTTTAGTGTGTACCTAATATTTGTTGTATAACATGTTTAAGTTTTATAATTATTAGTGAATTTCAGAAAAAAAAACACTATGATTAAAGATAGACTAAAAGAATTCCAGGCTGTAAGTATTATTATTATTTTTTTATTTTTAATTAAAAATACAGCTGCAAAATATTCCCAATTATATTAATACATCATACAACAATTATGTGCATATTTTTAAATTTCAATTATATATACCATTATACAAAAGTAATTAAATATTATATCTAATAAAATATTATATAGGTATACTTATAAAGTTATAAATAACGCATGGTAGGTAATATTACAGTGATGTATGGGTACTAAAATTTAATCATACTGAAATAATTTGGTTGTATATTTTATAATAATATAAATATTATTATAAGGGAAATTGTATGGCAATATGGTTTGTATGCTTAATGTTTGATTATGATATTAATTAAATTGTATTTCGTTAAAACGTTAAACTTTACTATGATAATACATTTCAGTTAGAACGAACGGATCATTTAGAAAAACAAAATATTTAGTTAATATTTTAATTATATTTTACTAATTGATTAAAATATAATATAAATACACGAAAAGAAATTCGTATCAAATAAAAAAAATTAATTAGCAGAATCATAATCGTAGGCATTTTTAATGGTAAAACATTGTCAATCTATCTGTAATATTATGTACTTTTGATTATTAAAAATATTCGTCATTCATCAAATATAATTAAAATATTAGTTTAACATTTTAATAAAATCGTGTATTAGATAAGTATAGACTGTATTATATATAATTAAAATATTAATTTATGTAGGTGAAATATTTATAATTTTCTTTCGATATTTACCCATGTAGGTATAGATTTTCTTCTTAATGCATTAAATATCATTGAAGTACCCAGTGGGGCTAACAGGGCTTCAACTATACCCCATTGACAGTGTTATATATGCAACCAAATAATATTAACTACTCCAACTAATCTTGAAATCTGGGCACGCTACTGTTAAGTATTATAAATATGCCTATATATATTTTATTTTGTTCATTCATCGTATCTTTCTATAAAAAAAAACGTTTGATTATAATTTCATTAGCTTTAATGTAATTGCCTGCAGTTATTATGTGTAATATTTATAACAATAAGTATAACCTTGAATTCAAATATATGATTGAGACACATATATAATTATTAATTATATTTACGGTATACCTATTAGCTATTATTAGGTACCTACTTTATATGTTTGTCTTAATTGCACTTATCTTATCCTTAGGTATATCTGTTGAAATTTGAAACCACCATAACGAAATTAATATAATTTAGTGTTTTTATTTTGGTATTTTTTTGTTTTTGAATATTAGTGACAAAATAATTTAGCGTGTTAAAGACGACCGCCACGAATAGAAATAATAGACACAAAAAGCACATTTCAAGTCAAAAATAAATCATTTTTAGACTAGAATTCAGCATTCTCGTTGAGTTTTCAGTTGATTAACTATGTAAATACCAATTCGTCTTGACAGCGGACCAAACAAATAAACATCTTCAACATTCTAATTTGTTTTGTGAATACAGAGTGTATACGAGAATCGTGGTCCTTAAAATCATCTCGGTCGATGTGTCAGGCGTGTAGTACTTATATAGGTAAATACAATAATAATATTATGAATAGTCGTTTCACGTTGTGGTCGTTTTGGGCAAAAGAACTCGGGCGTGTATGATTAAAATTTAAAATATAAATACGTGGGACACGAAATATATATATAGATAGATAAATACGCTCATTATAATATTATTCTGGTATATCTACACATAATAAACGCGACATGCGTTTTTACCTATCTACACGGTACCCAAAACCCTAGTATAAAAATAAAAAATTGACTGTAAATAAAAAAAATGCGAATTTCCCCGTAGATTACCTCGATACCTATGCAAGCTACAAAAGTCGACTATATGTCTATATATAATAAATACACATAATATTATATTTTGTAACACATATAGGTATACACATATTACACCACACAATTGGTTTATTGTTGTTGCGCCAAGCCGCCAACTGCAGTTCTGATCTATCTGCTGAAAATGGCACCAATTAATTTTCCCTAACACAATGCGACTTCAAGGCCTGTACCTATATAGCATATATATTATGTAGGAGAGGTGAGTGCTGTTTTAATATTCGGTGGTGCGGAACCATAATAAGGAACATTATTATTATTTTTTTTTATTTTTTTATTACTGTGCCGGTTTGTAATAATAATAATAATCATTTATAGCGAATAAATAATAAAGGCCGTGTTAGTCAAATATATGTAATATAATATATAGTAATCAAATATACGTGAGAGGAAAAACGATTAGCCTACCTGTCTGTTTTACACTGTATTGTAAATGCGATTATATCCTACACTAGTATAGGTAAATGTTTTACATTTGCTCCGGAAAAATAAAAAACTATTTTTTTAGATATTTTAGAAGGGCTATAACATTGATGGTATTATTCAAATCGTCGATACGCCAAAATATAATAATATATAATAATATAACGTATTAACACATCTGTTATAATATAATGAATATAATATCAATAAAATACACAAATGTATACATTTTTTCTTACTATAGGAAGTACTTATATTAAATTCAATACAATGGCGTATTTGTAGGTAATAGGAGCATTTGACCCCCCCCCCCTAAACAACTTAGTATATAATACTTTTTCCTTGTATTTTGGTAAAATATATATAAAGTTTGATTAATAAAATAATAAAGTAAAAACAAAATTATTAAAATGGTTAATACTCGTAAATAAAGTTTTATTGTTATAAATGGTTTTGCCTCCACTCAAAATTAAGGTCTATATCCGCCACTGATACTATATTATACATATAATAGTTACCTATTAGGTACCTAAATTTCCATGATAATAATATTTTCAAATTGGATTTTGGGAAAAACTGGAATAATATTTTATACACTCCGTGTCGCGAATGCAAAAATTAATATACATTATCTATATCTACAAGCATAATTATGTTCAACTGCTGTACGGAATTTTTGTCCAGCGTTGTTTTGCAGCAAATACCCATTGAAATGTCATATAAGTGAATAGTGTACAAATTAATAACCGCGGGAATTATCGTATGCGATGTCACAAATTGCAATCGAATAGGTTCACTCGTTCAGTGGTTCACTCATTCACTTAATTCGTTCTATTTTATGTGGTATTTATTGCCGTTGTTCTATTTAATATTTATGGCTATAAATAACAATATATAGGTACAATCGGGACAGAAGTGCAGAACTTAAGATTTAATAACCGTGAGCTATATTTAAACACGCAGATTTTATAGGTAGATACATAAGTAAAATATTATAAAATAAGTTTTATGAGACGTCATGGTCAGTTTTTTTTTTGAATAGGGGGGGGTGAGTGGGGTGTATATTTGGTGTCTCTATTTTGTCTGTGCTTTATTGACGTGCCATAAATTTATATTTGCCTTGATAAAATTACATAAAACAATAATAATAATATTATGTTATGCTATAGCCATAGGTATATTATTATATAATAAATTAATAACTGTTCCTAACATACAGATATACCTAGTATATATCTTAAATAACTTATGTATTTATGACACTGTTTTAAAATTGCTTATAAATAGGCTGAATGTAAATTATTTACGATTTTAACGTTTTATACAGGTATGTTTTCCTTTTTTTATTTTATCAATATATTTTAATTTAGAGAAACCAATAATAATTGAGAAATAATTAGATAATTAGATAATTTAATTAAAATAATTAAATAATTAGAGAAATTATCCGTAACCTAATAAGGCAACATATAGGTTCACAAATAAAAAGAACAGACATACTTCGCATGCGGATGCAGCCACTGTTATAGGTGGTAAGTTAGGAGGCTAGGATACAGACGGGAATTTAATGTATATCTGTGAGCAATTTTAAACCATTGCTAACGAAAAAACGATTCTGAGCTTGAGTTCAATTGATAGTGTTGCTTTGTCAACAATATAATATATAGTATATGTCATATTATGATAAAATGATTACAAAAATGTGCGTTTCTATGACAACAATAATTGTAAAAAAAAGATTAAAATAATAAAAACAAAAAATAAATACAAACGGTTACCAAGGACAACCTTATTTTTAATCTTTAAATTTGTTTAACCTAAAGATCGAGGTTTTCTTCAACATCTCAAATATAAATGAAAATTTCAAAAATGACCTCTCTAAATTATCACCTAGAGAAAACATTTCTTTTCAGAAAAGGTGTTATACTTGATAATCGGAGTTTCTTTCTGGTAGAAAAAATGTTTAAATAATAAAAAATTTAAAAAAAAATAAACATCATTGTAAAACCAATATATTCCTCGTTCTATTTAGAATATTTGGGTATGTATATAATTAACAGTGAGAAAACGTCGGCCTGTTTACATTTTTGTTATCCTTTTAAAATACTCAAATAATTATGTGTATAATAGAGTATAGATAGTCTCGGTATAAATTGTTAATATCCGAAAACAATACTTATAGGTTACAAGTGAAGCCTTGAAAAATCACTGTATTTTACGACCCTATAAAACATAGCTTCAGTGCGAAAATGTTTATTTTATGATTGTGTGAATCGTATTCGGTTCTCATACTTTTTCTTGAACAGCATTTTCGTTTAATAATATTAATCTATATTTCCCGCGTATTATATTAAAGTTTCAAAAATTAATTCAAATTACACAAATTATTAATTATTATTAATTACAAGACGATAAATGAGCTATGTCAAGTTAATTCATTGATGATGGTTGCGTAATCCACGATCATAGATCATATGCGCTTTTGCTAATCCAACTATTTTATTTTTGCCTGAATACTATTCGAGAAATATGCCATTTTTGAAAAATAGTATTACGAAAAAAATACACTATAAGTGAAGTTTACTAATCACAAATGAATTCACAAATACATATAGAACAAAGAAATGAAATGAAAACAAAATGTATAGAATATATCGTAAAGTGTCGAATTTTAGCCGCGTAAATAAAATCTCGTTATAATAATTGTTATGTTATGTATTTTTTGTTTGTAACTATTGTAACAGTTTTACTTATTTGAACAAAACTGATAATGTTACCTGAAATTCTCCTTGTTTACTTATTGTTATGTAGGTATCTATAAATTATTATGTTTTAAAAAAACTATAGGTATATTATTTGAATTTCGAGTATACCTATGTATAGTTAAAGTTATATAATGTTAAGATTAAATTAGTTTGATTAAAAAAAAAACAAGTATAGGAATTCTGTTGTAAATACTACTATAACAATTGATTAAAAAAATATAAATGTTTAATGAATCAAAATCAAATTTAATTTTAATGTAGGTATTATAATATTATATTGGTATTACACATATACGATATTATATTTATTTCTAAATAATATAAGTGATAGTGTCTGGTAATGGTATCTGAATTCAAAATGTATTGTCTTAAGTTCACATTTAGTTATTTGTATAGAGTGCTCAATCATCAAGTAAGATACTTGGGCATTTCAAAAGGAATCAACTCTTTGGTTTTTATGGAATTGTCTTCTTTGAAAAAAAAAATAATAATAATAAGAATTAAATAATTATGCATAATTCTAAAATGTTGCATTGCCTTTTTTTTTATCCACCAGCTCTTGATTTTCAAACGCAACTAGGAACAAGATAACGGGGCAGAATTCAAAATTCATATAATGTAAACATTTATGATGAAAATTAAGCTAAGAGTATATATTGAGATGCGAACGAGGGGGCGGGGCGATCTCCCCTATCACCCCTGGATCTGCAATTGAATGCAACTTGTATTAAAAATTCCGAGCATAGATATATCAAACCAACTTTGTAGAAGTATCTATTATACTATGATACTATCATACGTTATATTATAAGTACCTATTTTATATTTTAAATTTTTTTGTTGTTATTAGGTTACAAATATTCGTAGACTTGAAATTTTGACGAAACTTATATTTGTCTTTTCTATACGAGGTAAAATGTTCAAAACATGTTGACCAATGTTAAGCTATTAATAGACATTTTATGTTTGCGAATTTCCACGTAGTTTTTATTTAATTGGTACTATGTGGATATAATTGTTTGATCAGACAGAAATTCTTGACGATTTAATAGAAGATTCATTTTAAGTTGTACTCAATGGTTAATAAGAAAAAATTGAGTTTAATATGGTATTTCTTTTTTTTTTATGAGTTTTAATATCAAATTTTTGATGAAAATCGTAATAATACAGCCTTTCAAATCATGTATAAATGAACTTCGCTCAGAATCGTTTTTTGTTAGTAATGGTTTTTCTTTTCTAACAAATATAAATTAAATAACTATATTTATCTTACCTTCCCAACTTCCCACTTACAATAGTGGCACACCCATCAGAAGTATCAACTCTTTTAGTTAATTGGTTTATTGACCGGAAAGAAAAATTTAAGATATTTGTAGATTAAAGTTTAGTACTATCACTACTATCTTTATACTTTTATGAGTTAGGTACATAATATAGATATATAATAATACGATTACCTATGTAGTACCTATATGTTGTATATACCTCTTTAATGTCTACGTTATTTTGAGTTTTAAAAAACGAGGAGTTAGAGCTCATGGACCTGCCTATAGTTTGATACAAGCTCGTGTACAATAATGTATAAAATAAAAAACAAATGGACATACTTTGCACGATGGGTGGACTACTGTTGTGGGTGAAAATTTAGGATGGTAGAGGGGAAATTTAATGTATATATGTACTCAAAGATTAATCATTGCCAACGAAAAACGATTCTGAGGGGAGTTCGATTATACATCTTTTGAAAGGCTTTAATATTTACAATTTTAAAATAATACATTTTCGTCTGTTTTTTTCCGGTGTTTCCCATTTATAATGAAAATCGCCTTAAAAATCAAAAATTGACCTTCTTGTGGTATCACTCCAGTCAAATTTCCTTTCAGAAAAAGTGCTACACTTGAAAATCGGAGCAAAATTTCTGGTAGAAAAGTTGTTCACAGAAAAAAAAAATCATTGTAAAACCAATATATTCCTCTCTCCACTCAGAATCTAAAAAAGTCTTTAAAATTTAGAATTATTTTATTAGATGTTTTTGAAACTATATATATATGTATAATATATATTTTTATATATATATAACATATATTCATAATGAGTAATAATAGGTACAAACAACATTTTTTTGTTTTGTTAAATTAGATTATTTTTATTATTATTTTTTAATACCCAAAATTAGTAATTCCTTATAATATTATAATTTTTATTATTTTTTATAATAGTTTCAACCATCGTTAAAACTAAACTTGCAGAGTCTAAAACTAGATATAGTCTATAAAAACAACAAAACATTAATTTTTATTTTATCTTATAGAAGTGGCGTAGCTGTTAAAACACAGTAAGATTGATTAAGACTTAAGTAGATTTAGGTTAATCATCTCTAAAATTGAATGTACATTTAATGTATTAATATTATTTTATATCTACTCCTATATAGTTTTATTAACACTAAATTTAGTAGATACCTGTACAGTGTACACTTATTAACTTCTTATACTTAGTTATTAATCATTATACTCCTTGTTTATTTATTGATAAATTTCTAGACTTAATACACCATAAACACCTACAACTGTTTATAAAATTATGCTTACGTAGTAGTATTATATTTTATACAGATCGTGGAAGACGTGTTTCCAAATCATGCAAACAGAATGGATTCCCAAAATAATATGAGAGGAATAGACAACGTAGCTTTGGATATTCAAGACTCCGAGTATGGTTATATGGAACATTTCTTCAACCAGGTTAAAATCGATTCTATAATATTGTAATCTATGTTTAATATAATTATATACTTATATTATGCATAATTAATTATACAACTAAATATACACAATAATAAATAGCTGGTTTACATAATTATTAAATGCTGCTGACCGTATCTAATTTATAATAATTGAAACTTGATTGATAATTATTTATGTCATATCTCGTATAAATTTGTATACAGTTAGCGAGTATTCAAGCCGTATATAACGATATAACGATATAACGATCGATTTTAGAAAGTTTGTCAATAATCTATTGTAATGATGGGTACGTTTTAATATTAGGTAGGTATATCTCCATTATATAATATGTAGTGACTTCATAACCATGTATCCCTATATTAATTATTAATTTATTCATTTTTACATTATTTATCATTGAATATTATTATTATTTTATAGTAAAAAAAAACATGACGACCGCCTATATAGAAAAGTAATTGTAAATAGGCATATTTTCGAAGGGGTAATTGTGATAATAGAGGGGCAAAGGGGGCATCTGCCCTGAAGTGCTAAAATTCTAATTCTAATTTGTATTTAATTATAATAAATATTGTATTTATAAGGAAAAATATTATTATACATATATATATATATATATATATATATATTAAAAGTTTAAATTTGATGCATGAGATTAATAGCCACTTTAAATCGATATGATCTGCACCACGGGAATAATTTAAAATAAATACATCCTAGAAAAAATTCTTAGCTAGAGCACAACATTTGAATTTGTCGTGTGATTCTTAAATCCCTCGTTAAGGCACTGCATGTTTGTTGAATTTAAAATTACAATTTCATAAATAGATAAGTACTATAGTAATACCTTTGCTTAATACATATTACAATTTACAGATCGAACAGAGTCGACTGAAAATTACTCAAATCAAAGAACATGTAGTGTTGATGAGAACATTACATGGAAAATTATTACTTCTACCGAGGCAAGATGAAAGTATGATATGCTCCTATATATTATAAATTATAATAAAGTGTATTATTATGAGTTTGATGAACAATATTCAATAATTTTCATGTATACACAATATACTATAATATTTTATATTGTTTGCAGATATAAAACGAGATGTAGACTTAAAAACGGAAAATGTAAAAAAAATGGGCAAACAAGTCAGCATTGTATTGAAAGGTAATACCTACTGTATAATGTATACAATTATTTTAAGACTATAGCTATTATTATAATTTATAAATAATGAGAAATGTACAGGATTGAAATTATAATAAAAGTGTGATATAACTCATATAAGGTATAACCTAATAAGTGATAATATATTAAGTTGTTTTGTTTCTAGTTTATTATTTTAGAATCTATTCGAATTTGTATATTTTTAATTTAAACACGGGTACTCGTAAATTACTAGTTCAGTATTTAAACATTTCAAACAATTTTTAGAATATCCCGTATCGAAATGACACGGCAATAAATTCACAATAATGTTTTTTTAATATATATTAACCGTGCAATCTAGACGAGGTAATATCTTTAATAAAATAAAAAAAAAAAATAAAAAAAAATCGTAAATGGTAATCTGTAGGCTGTCCAGAACGGATTCTTGAATACGTCAAGGTCTCGGACACTATCATTGGACTTCGGAAATGTCATATGAACAACAAAAATTATTCTTTATAACGTCAAGGCCCTTCGTTGGCGATTTAATAAAATTATGTCTTGACTTGTCACACAGACGCGTATATTACACGCGTACTTGTAGGTATATATTAATATTATCTATTACGAGTTTATATGACCTATCATGAATAGTACGTAACGCGTAAGTGTAAATAACGGTAACCAATTATTTTGTATTTAAATATAGAAAAAAATACATTTCTTGTTGCGCTCAGAATCTGCATGGAAGAAGGTGTGAAAATGTTCATTTATCTAAAAAACGCCATCGCGATGATATTACATGTGTTTAAGACTTCTATAATTTAATAAAACAATTATATTATATTTGGTTGGTCATTGATCATTGGTCATAATACTTGCGTACTATACTTAGCGTTTAGAACTTTAGGTACCTAACTAATACATATTATTTATGTTTGAATGTGATTTTAAATTTAAACACAATAATATAATGTCAAAATTTAAAAATTTTAACGGAAATAAACATAATTTGAAAACAACTTTTCGAATTAAAAATGATTGATTATAAAAACACGTAATTGGAAGCTATAAAGCCGACAGAATTTGGCTTTATGGACGAATTGTTTTCGTATAGAAAGCATTGAAATATCGGCAGATGTGTTAACCTGGAACGAAGAGAGATTTAAATGAAAATTAACCTGTTATAATAGAGTACTATTTTTACTTACAAAATGTCACTGTCGATAGTATAATGTCTGTTGAGATGTGTAGAAACTTCATACAAGCAATCTACCGTTTTACAGGGTTGGAAAAACAGATAAACCAAGAAGAAGACGAGTCGACAAACGACAACGAACAAGCGAGTGCCGCGTTGCGTATACGAAAAACCCAACACGCCACCACTGTGCATATGCTAGTTGAAGCTTTGGCTGAGTTCAACGCTGAACAGATCGACTACAAGGAAAAATGCGAAGAACGCATGCAAAAAATCGTGTCCATAGGTAAATACACGCAAGAAGACATTATTTGTTTTTCTCGTTTCACCTGCATAATAATATCATTTGTGTCTTTTATTATGTTCGCATATTCCTATCTGTAGCCAAAGCCGAAATATCCAACGATCAGTTCGACGAGCTTGTCAGCCAGGGAAATTATTCGGCTGTGTTCAACGGAAACGTAAGTTTACGTACAATCCCGACTTTTTCGATCGACTATATTTAAATACGGGTCATTGACAATATAATATAGATTGTATGTTTGTAACTTCAGATTATTGCCGAAACACTTGAAGCCAGAAAAACGCTTCAGGAAGTCCAAGACAGACACATGGAACTGATGAAATTGGAGAAGAGCATACAAGAGCTCCGAGATATGTTTGTTGAAATGGCTATGTTAGTCGAAAAGCAAGTATGCAAGACAATAATATTATATATTTATTTAAAGTAATGCATTTTGCCCATTTAGTTTTATGATTCTTTTTAAATTTTTGAATTTTTTATACACAATCTTCAGAAATCCATGTTATAAAGTTTTAAAACCCATTTTATGAATTAATTTGTAATGGTTATTATAGGGCGACATAGTCAATAGTATAGAACAACATGTTTTACGGGCTGGTGAAGCTGCTGAGAATGCCAAAATAGAAACCAAAAAAGCTGTAATATACAGTAGTAAAGCAAGAATAGTATGTAATATATGAAATATTATTCTATAAATACTGGGTTGATTTACCGAAAAATGATTAACAAAAATGACAAGATAGAAATTACTAAAATTAGGTGTGTGTTGGTTTTTGTTACAGAAAAAAATCATTGTTATAATGATATGTGTTTGTGTGATTTTATGTTTACTTGCGTGGTTATATTCAATTTTTTTTGGACATGATAACACCTCTGAAACCTGAAAGGTATTTCTACAACTATAGGTACCTATGTATATTTTTTTATTTAACTATTAAGTACAATTTTCTGTGATATTTGTGAAACTATATTTATATATTATCATTACCATTATAGACTAAAATAATTAAGTTAAATGGTTTTGTTTTTAAATTTTAATCAATGTTGTAAAAAAGTGAATTTTAATAAAAGAATCGATAATATAACGTTTAACATTTGGGTGTTTACCAGATATTCAAAATATACATGTTGATCCCACACAACAGTTGTAAAATTATTAATGTGATAAAAATCTATGTAAGTTCAGTCAATAACTCTTGAAGCTTATTTTGTTACAATATGTATTTTTAATAGAATGAAATAATGAGGTATATGTTTAATTTCTTCCAAGAACTCTCTATAAGGACTATTAGAATATGTATCCATTTATGCACATAAATAGGAAAAGTATAGGCATAAGTTAAACCTTGGTTAAGACTTGGTCATATTATAATATTTAGGTAATATAAAAATAAAAATCTAGATAAAATCATTTTCAAGCCTTTGTTATTTTTGTATTATTAACTATAGGTATTAGGTATTTGTTTTGATAAGTATTGTAAAAGTTAAAAAATTAAATTTTAAATTTTGATTTGACTATAAAAAATATTTAAACTATAATTACTATCTTTACTCTATGGCAAGGTAGGTAAGTAGTTAGGTAAGTACTTCTATACATTGGTTTAGTTATTTTTCTTACTATAGATACCTACTCCTAAATAATAGACTACTATACTATATAGATTAAGATTCATTTCATACATTTTTTGTCTTTACAAATTAAAATGGTTCGATGATAATACAACCTAATCATGATAATTGAAACATTTTATTGCTGTTACAAAGTATTATATAATTGTCATATTATATAGATACTTTAAATATGATTATACATTTATTTGAAATCTATATAATTTAGATAAGTATAGGTCCCTCCGTTTATTCTCTAATAATTGAAAATATATATATATATATATATATTAAACATATATAATAAATAATAACCATATTATATGATTTAAGATTTTATTTATTTACTGATTACTTATCTGACTTGTATATGTTTTATTAGTTACTGAGCACGGTTATTTAGATAACCATAGTACCGAGTAGGCAGATAATTGCGCTGTTGTCAATTTTAAATTGAGTATACTACTTATACTCCAGTAATTATGGACAATATTGTGTAATAAGAGTAATAATGATTATTGTATAAAACCAACATTTTTTATAGATGAATCTAACAGCAAGAATCGTTTTATGTTGTATAGTGAACGGTTACAGAAGGATTAAAAAAAAAAAAAAAATTAAAACCTAACTAGGTACTGCCAATTTTTATTTTTACGCAGTTGGGTTTATTTTGCATATCTACTTAATTAGTAATAAAAACTCATGATGTGGTTTCTGAGAACCTATATTGTAAAAGTTCATAATATACAATAAGTATATATTTGTGTCTTCCTCCCATTTCGGGTGGAAGCTTGCGGGGTAATTTTCCCCACCCTAGGTTTGACTTAATATATTTTAGTGCTAGTAAATTTTAGTATGACTGGGTCACTAGAATGACGGCCCCACTCATAACAAGCCACTACCGGCCCAGAGCCCATAGTCGACATAATCGTAAATCGTTGATATTATAGAGAAACATATTATCGTAGAAGATATTAAGAGAATATAATAAGTGTTGAAATATTTGTTACAATCGCGATTCACAAATTAAGAATAGATAATATTATTACCACAGATATATTACATAATAGGTATATTGTTTATTGTCAATAAATTTATCATTATTTAATATCATATTATACTATGTATATACATAGACCATTATGCAGAGTATTAAGGTCCATGCTAAATAAAGTGTTAATATATTTTTGTTATATACTTTTTGAAGTTGTCACCTTGAATAGCAAACGTTTTTCAACAACCTCACCCCATGTGGAAATCCAGTGATTATGGAAATGAGAACGAGGACTATAATTCAATATTTAGAAAAATTAAATTACAATTGAAAAAATAAAAATAGTAATTTGAAAAGTCGCATTTATTGAAGAAAATTAAAAAATTGATAACCAAAAACGAGCATATAAATTTAGTTTCATTAATGAAGTATAATGGAATTTTCGCATCTTGTGGCAAGCGCCCACTTGTACCCCTATTGCCTAAAACGTGTTTTCTACCCCGTAATACCCGTTCAACACCCCCGTTATAAACCACTGATTTAATATATAACACATTTAAGATTTCTAAATTTCGAGTTATACGTGAGTACGCGACATGAAATCCCGTAGATATTCACTAAACGCTTAATGGCTTAGTATTTAATTATAATATTATATGAACTATACATTATTATTTATTTATATTTATCGATGTTTTTTAAGATAAATAATTAAATAAATACAAATTTCGTTTTATATTAAGTTATTACTAAGATGGTTTTTTTTTTTTAATTTTCTCCAATAGAAAATATTATAGCACTGTATCGTGTATCTGATACATATAAATATTTTTCCCTTTACTTTTGGATACTTTGAGTAGCTCCCTTAGGAGTAAATGAGCTCAAACTCACGGGAAGTTTTAGAGTTTTGAGGCACTGAAGCGGGAAGGTAACTTACGTAAAGTTATTTAATTTATATTTGTACGCAACAATAAATAATTGCTCCAATAGATTCCTCGCTATACTTAGAATCCAAAAAAAAAGCATTAATCATAAAACCAATACATTTTTCGGTGAGATTAGAATCAAAAATTCAATAATGACGTGTTCGAGATTTGAATCCGATTGATATGTCTTGTGGATGCCACTGCGGCACTACGTCATATTTACAGAACATGAGGTGATTTATTTTCTAACAGGTATTTGACTGACAGTGTAATACAAAAATATATTATATATGTATTAATTAACGTTTTTCATTCCTCGAATATATATTTTATAAGACGTCACCTATAGTCTATGATACTTGAATTTAAGACAAATCCAACGACGCCTCATTTATTAAAATTAGTTTAGCCGTTTGGGTTCAACGAGGTAAGAAGGAATCATTATCATAAATACACATGCATACATAAATACATACGTATTTTTGGCGTTATTCTATTAATTATTATTATAATCGTTTAGGAAATAGTGAATTGAAATTTGTTTTATTTGATTTAATTAATTAATTAAATAGAATAATTGTGAATTATAAATCTTGAATAGGAAAGTTTGGTATAGCGTTCCATCATTGCAAACATAATATTCACTTCACTCAGTCGCATATTACGACGGCTGTATTATCGAATTTTCAATAACGTGCGCTGCATACATTTATGACAAAAATCATTAGAAAAAAATTGAATCAAGCTGTCATGGTAATCCAAGGTAGACGTTTTCATCATGGACTATAAAAACTGTGTTAATATTCATCATGACATTTAATATTAGGTAATATTAGATATATTATATTATATCGAGCCAACTTGATATTCTTTGTCGACGACATTGACACTATAGATTTCATTTAAGTGATGATTTCCTATAGTTGGTAACTAAAATAGCTACGAATGATTCGTCTCGGATTGAATAAACCGATAAATGATTTTAAAGTGCTAGTCGAAAAACGAGTTTTTGGCGGATTTATAGGTAGGTATATATAAATGTAACAATAGCCAAAATTCGAATAATTGTACTTACATTCGTAATAATATGGGATACTCGAAGAGTTTTAATATTATTAATAGGTAAGTATAGTCAAGGGTATTTAGTCCAATTGTATACGATTATATTATAATTTGTTATAACGTTACAACATATTTTATTACTATAACACATTGACATTGCATTTAATGAAGATTGACTATATTTACACAATCTTATCTATACTTTAATATTACAAAGAGGAGAGATCTAGCAATAACAAAGCATGTACACTGTTTATTCTTATTTTCTCTGATTTGAAAAAAAAATCTTCCAAACAATATACATAGGAAAAAAAGGTCGTAACTATCGAAACATAGTTCCCAAGGCGAGATTAGCAAAAATACGTTGAATTTAATTAATTACATTAATAAATAAAATAATATTATACATGTAAGAATCAACATAATTCACTTTTTTAAACTTAAATCTAATTTTTCAAAAAATTTTTAGGCAATCTGCTGATATTGATAGCCTTAACTGCAAATTAAAATATTGGATAGCATCTTAAAATATTATGATTAACTAAATAAACCATATTAAGTAGGACATGTGACGTTTCACATATTGACTACATATATTTGCAGTTCTCACTTCAGTGTGTACATAACTTTTTAATTCTTATCCTTTTAATAATACTAATTAATAATCATTTAGCTACACACAACAAATACAAAATTATTAACATCATATATAAATTTATGTTTATTGAGGTTGCTTTACAGCAATTTTGTTATCTTTCAAATTGTCATCTTTGGTTAAATATTTCTTTTTTAATTAGGTAAATAATATATTACTATTACTACCAAATAATGTTTTATATTTAGATTAAAAAAAAAAAAAATCATTTGTTTGTATCAAACAAATTTATTTTCACATGGTTTTGGTGTGGTGTGGGGTTTTGCGAAAGCGATTTGTAGTATTAATTGTTCAATTAAATATTATTATGAGATAGTAAACAAATGAAGTTTTCTAATTTATATTTATTACACAGACAATTTTAGGAATCAGAACACTTACAATAATATGATAATATGATATATATAATATACAGTACCTTCACAAAGGATGTAGGCATTTTTTAATAATCTGAATATGACTTTCATGCTTTTTCAATCAACATTATCAGATACAGAAATTTAAGATAGTTTTCAGAATCTGGTTGTATAGGTAGGTACCTACAATAATGATTACTTTTTTGCAATAACATTTTATTTCAACACTATAAAAAAAAATCATGTTTGGGGAGTATGAAAATTTCAAATAAAATTTGTTTTATTGTAAAAATTATTTATCATTTTAATCCCCTTGACTTATTTTTTTTAATAACTTACTAATGCTTTATGGTCTATTATAATATTCTGTTGTTAGTTCTATAATTGTTTTTCTATGTGTAAACACTGGGACATATATGTTTTATTAGGGCTCTAAAAAAAAAAAAAAAAAAATGCTTTTTAGTTTTCAGCAATTATTGTATTTTTTTTTATTAATATTTGGAGACAATATTCAATATAGAATCAATACTTATTTTATGTATGTATGTATGTATGTATATATGAATTTAAGTATAGGTTTTTATATGTATATTATTATTTGAAGAAATAGTTACCAAGTGTTGTACCTATATCCATCTGAAAATTTAATTAGTTATTTGCAAATGTCTCTCCAAATGAAAATCCTTTACACGTCATTGACTGGTTATGTTTAGTACACAATAATATGGTAAATAAGAAGTTTTTAGTATGCAATAGCTTATCGTTTCTTACATACACATATTCATTTTTCCTCTATATCCTACCTTGTTACCAACAGTGGCTACACCATCATGCAATGTATGTCAGTCTTTTTTTTTTTACTTTTAACAACAAAGTTAAGGACAAAAAGAAGTATTGCATTAAGCATTTATACATTGCAAATACTTTGTATTATTAAAAATTTATAAAATAACGACCTATAATTATTATTGATGACTCAGAATTACAATAATATTAAGATATTTTGTACCTATATTTGTTGAAATAATCACTGTAGGATTTTTACAGAATCTACCAGGATATATTTTTGTTAAATTATTTTGTTTAAAATTTAATAATTGTTAATCAAACAACTTACAGCAGATATACGAGTATACAAATTAATTTTTTACAATTCACCTAAACATCAAATAAAAATAAAAATGCACCTACCTAAAAATAATAATGGATTTACCATAAAATGTCAATGTACAAGTTATTATTAATATTAAATCTATACTTGCAGAAATTAATTTTACATAGGAATAAAAGGATTATCTCTATAATTATTAACAAGAATTGATGTTGAGTATAACATTGATTCATTTATATTAAATTAATAGATATCAAGGATATAAAAATATAATACTTAAATAACTGCAGATATAATGACAAAAATATAATAGGTAGTCATGATTGTTATGCAATAATTCAATATGATGTCATATTGATAGCCAATAGTTATATCCTAATTCAATAAAACTATATTATGTTAAGAAAAATTGAACATTTTAAAAATGAAAATTATTACAAAATAAAAAAATAATTACATTATAAATATAAACATATTAAATTTATGATAATCCCATTTTTTGGAGTTCTTTTTTAAGAGCGGACTTTTTCTTTTTGTGTAAAGACAATGCTGTTTTTATGTTTTGATCAACATTTTTTTGCAGGGCGCGTAACATAACACTTTTCACAATGTCCAAGAAATCATCAACAATGAGTTCTGATTCCTTTTTACCTATTTCAATATACTTACATTTAGGATTAAGTAGCAAAGCTCGTTTTTCATGTTCTTTCCAAGGATCATCAGTTGGCTCCCAACCATCCAATTCAATGAAACACGAAAAGCATTTAACTAGATCAGGTTCATTAGTATTTGGGCAATAAAAACCTGCTTCGACCATTTTCTCTGCACTGGGAGTCACCAACGGCCATTTTTCCATTGTCTTTAATCGATTGCTCTCCCATATTTGTCCAAACCCAACTGAATCTGTTGGATCCGTAGTTTGACTTATGATATAATTCTGTAAATCAGCCATAATGAATAAGTGATAACAAATATCTTTAATTAAATGTTGAATAATAATAAAATACGTATTTAATATTGCTTAAATGACAAATATTAATTATTATACATATGCACAAAAAATACAAAATGAGTACTAGGTAGCGAATCGAAAACTTTCAAATATCCAATAATGATAATTATTGATAAGAATTTTATTTAACTGACATTTAACAGTGTAGCCGTAAGAAAAAGTAGCATAATATTGTATTGTGGTGGTAACCTAACCACGACCTCAAATTACCAAAAAATAAAAAAATACATCAAAGAGATTAAAATTTCTTTCACAATGTTTAAGGTTATATTTGTCCAATATCAATCCGAATTCCCAACTCTCAAGCTTTCCTATGTGTTTATTTCTTTAGAATTGATCTAGATTTTGTTTAATTAATTTTTTTGGTCTCAAATAGTTAAAAACTAAAAAAAATTAAAATGCAGAACGACGCTGGTGAATTTGTTGATTTGTACTGTCCAAGGAAGTGGTAAGTTTCATTAAAATTACTGTAATTGTCTTTCAATATTATTGAATTAAAATTTCAAGTCACATGGCTTTTTTACTAATTATTCACATATTTTTGTTATAATGGTTAATCATTTAATAATTTTTTAAATAGCTCTGCCAGCAACCGCATAATTTCCGCTAAAGATCATGCTTCCATTCAGATCAATTTGGCAGAAATTGATTCATCTACAGGTCGCATAACCGGAAATCACAAAATCTTCACTATTAGTGGAGCTATTCGCCGTATGGTTAGTATTTGATGTTAAATTTATCATTTATTTTGAATACCTTGTTAAATATATGATTATAACAATTATGTTAGTTTTAAAAAAAAAGGTTATACTTTTGATGTAGCTTGTATTGTCTATTTAAGGCCACTATTTCTTGCTCTCTATTCACTTACTTTTAACTTTAATTTTTGCAAATACTTTTCAAGGTTTGATTTCAATAAATCCATCCAAATTTGCCAGGGTTTGATTTTGTCTATCATAACTTGTTTGCTTATTAAGTAATACATTATATTACTAAATAAGTAGTTACTAATTTTATTAGTAAATAAGTATACATGTTACGAACCCTAATTTTTAAGGTTGAACCGAACCAAACTTACTCATTTTTATTTGAAAACCGAATAAACTAAAATAAAATCAAACTCTAACATTGAACAAGTTAAAAGGTTAGGTTAGGTAAAAAAATCTAGATGTTCAAACTGCTCAGCTCTGATTTGCCATTATGAATCCAACTATTGTGAAAAAGTAGAATTTTCCTTTTTAATAACAAGGCCGCTTTGTTCCACCACCTAACATCGTATTTTTGACTTTGTTGAATTAGCATCGAACGATTTTCGAACCGAACTAAACTCTAGGTCTTTGCTTCAGTTTAAAAATTAAACAGTTTGTCATATCTTTATAAATAACTTATATGTAGGTTCTGTCTACCTATTAATAAAAGTTTATAGGGTAAGTTTTTATTTGTTGAAAAAGCCTAAATACAAATATTTATTTTTAAAATGTCAAATACACAATAAAATATAATTAACAATATTTTTAATGTACCAAAAATGCATTAATTCCTGGAAATCATATGAAAATGCAATAAAAAAATTGTATACATGAACTCTGTGATGTATGAATCAAATCTTGTTTTTGATAGCTATATGCTGAAGTACTAAAAAAAAGATGCAAATACTACAAATTACTAGTCCTAGTAATAAGTTATTATTCTTTTTACTTTGACCTATGAATTAATATTTATTTAAAATTGAATAGGTCACTTAACATAAATATAATTATTAACATTCAAAATGGCATTTGAGAAATAAGAAGCTTGGAAGCAGTGGACACAAATAATTTTAAGTTTTAATCTATGAAATTATTTACGTTTTATACAAAGTTATGTAATACTGGTTCAATACTTACAGTTATACAATTTGAATTGTACTATTGATAATCATGTTGACAATCATTTCCAACTTAAATGTTTTTGATTACTTATGATTTAAAAAAAAAAAATATATATATAATTGAAGGTATACCTATTATCAGTTAGAACTTAATAACTGTAATAATGAACATAATGTTTGAAAAAATTATTTTCTATATTTTTGTATACATTTTATTTTCTAGGGAGAGTCTGATGATTGTATAACAAGGTTAGCCAAAGAACACGGGATTGTAGCGAAGTAAGTAAATAATAATTTACTTTTGTAATTAAAAATTAATTATATTTTGTTTTGATTTGTTTCAGGAATTTCTAGGGTAAATAATATTGTAAAATTATTCTGCTTTAAAATGTGAATAATAAAAAAAAAAAAATTTAATTCTGTTTTATTTATTTCAATTTAACAATATTCTTTCATTATTATTTTTGATCTGTTCAACTTTGAACTACCTATATAATAATAATAATAAATATTTTCAACCTACACTAATGCCTTCTACACACATAGTTATTCATTAGAAACTAATTGCTAATGTAAATCACTAACCAGTCTGCTTTGAGTCACACCGTTAGTTATTCAATGGAACACAATAGACGGCACTACTGATTACTAATTGGTTATTAAAGTGTTAGTAATCAGTTCCAAGTGATACAACTGTCGAGTTATTTCCAAGTTACATCATGTATTCTCATCAAATTGTGTGAATTTTTATAATTATTATTTTTTCAAATTTTCTTCTAGTAAGAAAAATGAAAAGATGATCAAATAAACAATTAACGTAAAGTTGGTAGACGTAGAGAAACATCCCATTCAATGTAACTAAAAATTCCTTTCGGTAGTATGCAATCATTCACTTGAATACATGGTACTGAAAAATGCCAATGCTACTTCCATAACCAAATAGTCAACAAAATAAAATAGTGATTTTGATCACTTTTTAATAGACTCATGTGTGAATCTTAATTACTAATGCATAGGTAATTGATAAGTATTTTAAATCATGAACCTGTTAAGTTTCTTTTGAACAACTCCGTGTATGTAGACGGTCATTAAGTATCACAAGTATTACAGTACATTTTTTGAATGGTCAAAATTAAATGAAAAACAATTCTGTGTAAACAAAACAGAATGTTTGAAAAATGATTTATAAACTTTGTGTTAAATTTCACTATGGAAGAACAAATCTAGTGTAACTATTTCACAATGATGCACCCATTGCGATATCTCTGAGGGTAAAAACTTTTGTTTTTTCAATTGAGAAACGGCTCTAAAATGTTACATGGCATTAATATTGGATGTCAAACGACTACCTACTTTTGATTTTCAAATAGCAACCTATATTTTTAATTTCACTTTGCTGTATAATAATTAAGAGGACACTACATCTATATTTTAATTTTCAAGTGATATAAGAGCATTATAAAATTGTAATATTTCCCATAGTTGTACCTATTGAATATTAAAATATTGAAAAATAGCACCAATGTTGCAAAGATAATTTTCTTACAATAAATTTTCATATGTCAATCCATTCTAATATTAAAACTAACAACACAAAAGTGTTTCGTGGGAATGCAAATTTGCTTTGTCTTATGTTTTTAAGATCGAAGGTCTTTTAATATGAAGGTATAGTGTTATCTTGTCCTGCTTTTTCTGTATTATATGTTGATAGCAGATTATAGTTACTAAAACACCATGCACAGTTTCGTGACAAATACTCCACTACTCCTACCCAAACTTAAAAATAATATCAAATCAATAGGTTGACAAATTGAAAATTTCAACATTAAAATGTATTTAAACTAATCCTTCATCTATGAATGAAATTTTTAATAATAGGTAGTTATTTGAAAGTAAAATGTAGGTTATCAATTGCCTCCAAAAAAAATGGCAATGTAACTTCAATGATATAAATTTCTTAAGTTGTCAAAAAAAAAAAAAAATATATATTCCAGAAAAAGTTAACATTTTTCCAATATATCACAATGGTTATTGCTTAGTGAGACACCATTATTTTATTAAGGTATTGTTCATATTTTTATGAAAATGTATTTTATTATTTCATGTATAAGAAATACTTAATTGTTTTTTTTTTTTAATAAAATAAATTCTCATCATGTAAATGGAACTTGATTTTATTAGTACCTACTGTAGGTAAATTAGTAATTTATTTATGAATTAAAATATAGAAATCTTTTTTTTTTTTATTTGAATAAACTTAGTTAATTATATAATTGTATCATTGAGTGTAGGTATGTACTTAATTTATTGTATTGCTAGCTAATACCACTAATATCTACCAAGGTAGTTTTTAGTTTTTTTTTTTAAAACATAACATTTAGAGTTCGGTTATTACTTTTAAGCCTGGTTATACGATCAAATATTTGGCTTACATTAAACTTTAAATATTTTAGAATGTATTTGTTTAATATTGGATTACTGGATTGATAACAAAATGTTATCTTAAATCATGATTATTTATTTATTTTATTGAATAATGCCAATATTATGAAATATAATTTATATACTTTACTTAAAGTCGTGCCCCTGAGGGAATGCTCTACTACCCATTCCCATAAGCCATGTGATGATCTCTTTTGTTTAACAAAATATTCATAATTCTTAAGTATAAACAAGTACAAATACAACTGGTTCCAAATGTCATAAAGATGATTCAGAATCATGGAAATACTTTGATTGAAATAAGAATGAAGCACTTCTCACTTATAAATTTCAATAAATATTTTCTCAAGGGTGAGATAGAATAATGAAAAACTAAGTAGGAACAATCAATTTGCAAAGATATAATAAAATAATATATTTTTAGAATCAAAATTGGAGATGATTAATTTAATTTAAATTTTGATTCTGAGTATAGTGAATGTACCAATTGGATTTACAATATTTTTTTTAAATTTTATTCTGTGACAAAAATGTCTACTGGAAACCTTACTTAAATAGTATCTTTTTGAAAGAAAATATTGTCATATTGACTAGATGGTACTTTAAGAATGTCATTTTTTGATTTTCCATGTAGTTTCATAATATCAGAAAAACTCGTGATAAAACGGGAAAATTATACTTTTATTATTTTCAATTTTATTTTTTGTTGTAATTCAATGAAAAATATTTGTAGACTTGAAATATGGACAGAAAATTTATATTTGTTTTGAAGTGATAAAATTGTTGAACAATTTATAGAAATTTTAATTTGTGCACAATTTTTATTCAGTAGATACTTTGTGGATAAAATTATAGGACCAAACTGAAATGCTTGAATTTAACATGAGGTTCATTAAAATTCGTACCTACATATTAGTAAAAAAAATTTTGAGCAGATGCCAACTGGCTTATCACTTTTAAATATTTATCGAAAAGAAAATATTGTTGATCAAAACGCTGCTTAAAATACAAATATTTTGAACTTGGTCATCTAACTTTTATTAATTATTATTATTATTTTTGTTGTTCATATTCTCGATATTTTAATCATTATTAATTTATTGAGAAAAAAATTAATTTAACTCTTAAATTTTACTGTTTTACTCCATTTGTATAATGTATCTGCAGTCTTCTAGGCTAGTATAAGTAGAAATGAAATGAAACATAAAGGATTTAAGATTTTGTTGACCAAAGCGGTGGTATTCAAGAGTAAAATCTGTTCGCTTCCCATGGATTTGACATCAAGACGCCCTTGATTGTCATTTGTATTCCAATTGTAATTATTATGTATTACATTTTATTACTAACCTATACTTACAAAATTTTAGATAACATCAAATTAGTTTTCAATGACACCGAAGAGAGTAAAAGTATGTAGGTAAGCTAGACTGAACACTGAACAAATCGAAGTAGGATAGGTACTAGATTAAATATTTGTAAAAATATGTGTATTTAAACAATGCTACTATCTATGATAATTATTGTTCAAATTAAATTTGCGCGGGTTATATTTGACCAATCACTACAAAGTTTTAGTTATGGATAAGTTGATCAAATTTTTAATTGCCTGAACCTTGATTGAAATATACTTATGTTCATGAATTATTTCAGTTATGGTCTGAACCATTTTTCAAACAAATTTTCAGTTAACCGTTCACCAAATATTTAAACTTGTGAACGATTCATATATGGCATTTATAATCCTGGTGAGACTGTAGAAAAACCGTTATCAATAATGATAGTAACCCAACCTTAGAAACAGCTGCAATGTTTATTATCTGTTTATTTTATTTTGCGCTCCCGTTTGTTATTTTTCACATTTACTCCTCTCTTCCGTACGGCCACCAGCGTAGAATTGGAGAGACTTCAAAAGTCTCAACTCGAAAATGATTCATTAGTCATTGACACAGTCAAAATTGTTACGATTTTTGTTAGGTATTTGTTATATTTTAGTTATATTGGCAGTTGTATATCGGTTATTTATCGTTACCTAATGAATGAAATGGTATTGTGTATTGTTGTGTTTTTGAAATAATAATGAAAAGTTATACAATAGATTGTGTTATCCAATATCGACATTTGCGGTGTCCAGTTCATCAACTACACTAAGTTAGGATAAACATTAGTGAGTACAAATCGATTAAGATATATTTTTTTTTTTTTTGAAAGAAATGACAATTTATAAATTTACGATTTATAACAATGCCCTACGTATGGTGATATGTAAAGGGTGGGAACTCAGATAGATAATAAAAAGTTTTATATACCTACAGTATTTATGATTTTCCATTGTTATTGAAAAAGTAAACCTCTTTCTAGGCTTATCATAAAGTGTGTTTTCTTTTATCTGTTTTTTGTTTACTTCATAAAGTAACAAAATTATTTTTGTTCATAAAATTACGAAGACCAAATAGTGATAGTGAATTCTATTATTGATGTAAATGTAAAATGTGTATAAATTAATCAATATCTAAAAACTATGGTAAACTTAGTTTGTAAAATGATAAATATTGATACTTAGAATTAAAAGTAATTAACACCATTTAAACAGAATTTTGAATAATTATAATTATATATACCTCTATGATAAGTAGTAATTATTTTTAATTTTTATTTATTTAACTAATATACACAGGCGAAATAAATAATAGGAAAATTTTTAAAAACTAAATCTTATTTGTTTTAGAATACATTTCTTTTTAAGTTTTCTCTAATTTTCTCTAATTTAATATTTGAATATTTTTCTCTGTTTTAATATATTTGTTGTTTGTAGGCACATTATTGATACTTCTGTAGTGTGATTGTTTATTATTAAGATATTTTATTTCAAAAATAATATTTTTGTTTATCCTTTAATTTTATAGTTAGACAAATTTGATCTCACACATTTTCTTTTATTAGAGTTTTAAAAATTAAAATATTATTTTTAAATTTTGATAGTTGATTTTTATTTTACCTATATAGGTACCTATTCAAAGGATATATTGTATGATAGAATATGTATTGATTTAAAGTTCAAAATATTCTGTAGAACAACAGGTTTATTTTAAATTTGAAGTAAAATTCTTTTGTATTATTTGTGTAAACTAATATAAATTATTTTTTTCCTGCCCTATTTAACTAACAAAAAAAAAAAAATAGATGTATCTAGAACTGTACTTAATGAACTCTATTTAACACCAAGGTGACAAGGTCATTATGTGTCTATTTCTGAAAATAATTAATTTGTGTATAAAAACTTTAAACTAAGGTAGGTATATATATATATATATATATATATTGACATTTTGTATATAATATATTTTTTGAACATTTTGTTATCATTAAACAATTAGTAGATATTTGAAATTTAGGCATAGGAAAGAAAATGTCATTCAAAAAAGCAGAGCCATCTGCTGAGAAATAAAATAATTAATTGAAATTAGATTGACAATTATTTGATAGAAAATTAATTGGTACCTACTTCTAATTTATAAAAGAAATTTGTTGCGGTATAACCCTTTATAAAGATTATACAATTTTACTAGCTTCATAATTGTATTTGTTTATTGTATAATTAACAATAATCCACATAAGTACTTTAATGGCACTTTTATTTTGTAATTGTCATGCATTGTGTATCACTTAAATAATAATTTGTAAAATAATTATATCATTTGATTTTGAGCCTCTTTGGTGTTTACACAAATAAATAAATAGTGGGTATAAAAAACCAACTTTGAGTTATTGTTTTTGTTTTTTATACAAATACCTATTGTTGAAAAATTATTCCTTTTATGTTTCAAATTGATTTCTTAATATACTCTAAATCTTTAAATTACTATAATCAATCAACTGTTAAATTTAGAAATTATTGAGATAATACTATGATTTCTATATATAATAATAAAGTTTTTCATTATTTAATGTAGAAATATTTTTTTTTTTTGATGATTGTATATTTATTATTATAAAACCTGGTTGTTAATGTTCTACCCAACTGTATGTAAAAAAAAAATTACATATTTGTCGTTTAATCTTTGATAATAAGTTAAGTAAGTTAATAATATCTGTTATTGAAATCCGTTAAAATCAAATGTAGGTATTTCTTATAATATGTTATTTTCTTGATCTCATTGGATGATTAATCAGGACGGTAAGAATAACATTTGTTGAGCTATTAAATATTGCTTAAAATCATTATTTGTTTATAATGTGTGCAAGTGTGATTAGTTAAACTTATAACATTCTATTTGGAACTACCCAATCGACTGATGAAATATTATTTTTCAAAATGACTTAATACTACTTATTTATCATTATTTTACTAAACTAACTTAATCAAATATTTAATTAATTTATGTATAATGTATTCAGCATTATTATTTATTGTCTATTAACATATATGTGATCTAAATGTATATTTAAAAGAATCCCCTAAGTAATGAACATTAATTAAACTATTTAAATTCTTATAAAGTTTCAAAATACCTATTGATTTTGAAATTACAAAATTTAATTATCCTTATTTTATTGATCAATTTAAATAAAAAATGTATTCATTTGAGGATATAGAAATAATACATGTTTTTTTTATTTATTATTTTAAAGTAATCAATACATATAATCTATACAGTATTGTAAAATTAGTAGGTTTGATAGATGACAGAAAAATACAATTAGTGGTGAATCTTAATATAGGGAGGTTACATAGTGGTAATACTCAGCAATATTTAAGTTATGGCTGATATGGTCTTTGATCTTAAATAATTAAGTACACATAATATAAGAATATAAGTAATGGATGTGTTGCTTAATAACTATGCAATAATAGTTAATACAATATATTATGTATATTGTTGTACTTAGAAAATTATGAATAATATTATAAAAATATAAATCAAATCTATCTTACAAATAATATTTAGACAAATAACTTGGCACACAACAAAATGTTTCAAGGTTAAATAAAAAATTTATCCATAAATGTTCAAACTATTTTGGGTCTTAGTCAATGTTTAGCATAGTTTTATTATCTACCTATTTATTTCATAGATATGTAATGTCTTGTAAAAATCATTGAGTATAAAATTCTGATTACTGATATACAGATAAATATTTATTTGTATAAATCATCTATGTTATGGAAAAAAAAAAAATCCTATTTATGTTCATGAATTACTTATAGTGAATACCTATTAATGATAATTTTCAAATAATGTTATACAATAATAAATAAACATTGAATAATCAACTAAACTATGATATGATATTTATTATTTCTCTGATTATCTTTGTAATATTATTTCATTAGGTTTTTTTTTTTATCATTATTGAAATTGTAAATGAAAAATGTATGTTACTAATTACTTATTTTACAATAATACAGTATTTAATAATACAATATTTTACAGTGGTTTGATGTATTGTGTCAGTTTAGAAAAAGTTTTTACTCCTTTGTTTGACTAATTTAATTTTTAAAACTAATAATTAATTGAATAGGGGAATTTTATTGTCCCTGACCTTACTATATTATAGTTTATATTATATGACCGCTCTAAACATTAAGGCTTGAATTTTGATTTAATAAAGTATCAATTTAACATCATGCCGCTTAATAAATTATGTATTATCGCAAACCATATTTCATACATTTTTACTTTTTTCTATTTTAGTAATTTTAATACTATATATTATGACATAAAATATAATTATAAAATATATATTAAATATATTTATAAAAATAATTATATGGTAAATAAGTATACATAAATTAGTATATAATATGTGAGTTAAAATTTAATTATCTTGGTTTCAATTCAGATTAATATTCATCAAAGTTATTATTGTATAAATTGTAAAAAAGTTTATTTATATTTAAATAATTACAAAATACTTAATACAATAATTTTGGGGAATGTACAAAATGTATCTAAATTTAAAAAGTTTTTCAGTTTTTATTTCTATAGTGTTATCTTGAATTTGTTTTAACATTGATAATTTGAGTACTTATTATATCAATTTTTTTGTTTTCAGAAAAATTGTGGCCGTCTGATTAATATTATAATCAAGCTGGAGGCGTCCGGGGTAAAAACACTGCTTCGGGAGTCATCTCATCTGAGTAGACAAGCCTCAAAAAAAACCTGTAGCGTTTACACTTTAACTGGTAATATACTTTTTGAATTAGATATACATACTTTAGAAGTATAATTAATTAATATGTCTGCATTTAAGAATATTAGATAGTTTTTAATATACTGCTTAATCAAATATCCCATCACAAACCATTTTGATTCTGTCGCCGCCTTGTTTGGACCATGCCCAATATTTATAAGTGCCAACTATCTGGTACATTTTGTGCCGGTATTTTTAAGCAACAACGTCACAGTCTGTCAGCAATTGATGGCGTCTAAACAGTTTCATTTGTATGTTCAATAAAATTTAAATGGTTACTTTAATTTTAATTATTATCCCTTAAATAATCAGAAAACATAATATCAGACAAAACTAGTTTCAAATAGTTAAAACAGTCTATGTGAGAGTTGATAAAAAAAAAATAATATGAATATTTAGCAATTTTCAAACAGCTAGTACACAAAAGAAAACTGTCTTGCATTTTGTAACTGGAACTAATTCTGATCAACAATTTCCACTTCATTGACTTCATAACTGTATTTCCTCTAATACAGTCGTATGGAATAGTAGTTAAGTTTATGTATTTGTTTTGTATTTATTCAGTATATTTAAGAAAACAAGTTCTATCATTTAAAATCTACAATGCTTCCTTTATGTTTTACCAGAATGTGTGGTCGTAATCAAGGTGTGCATGATTTAATTTAATTTTATGTTTTTTAAAAACTTTGTACAGAAATATGTTCAGATTTTGATAGCCTTGTACAATATGTTTAAACATATTTCTACTCAGGTTTCTTTCAATATTCAGTTTTTTTATAAAAAAAAAAGTATTAATTTTTGTATATTAAGTACCTATAAATAATTAAAAAGAATTTGGTAGGTTTTTAATAATTCAAGGCCATGTTTCCTTGGCCTGATGATCATATAAGTCGACCACAATTTAAAAACAAAGGAAAACGATTTGATCAAAGACAACAAGACATTTTAAATACTTGGCAATCAGGTAGGTCCGTTCAGTAAAAAATCAAGTGTTCAATGACTATATAATTTGGATTTTTAATTTACCTTAACAGCTATTGTTTGTTTGGACTTATATTTAGAATCTTATATTCAGTAATTCATTCATATATTTATACTAGGTAGTAGATACATATGTCCCAGAGTTTGGACATACACCAAAATAATGTCCGTTGAGCTTATTATTTTGACTGATTATTAACTACTGATTTTTGTTTTGAATGGTTTTGGGTTGAGTTAATTATTGTTAACAATTAAAATAATAACTAATCAAAAATAGATTAACTAAATATTTTTAAGGTTATTTGAAGTATCTTCATAGCAAAAAATATTGCTGTTAAATATTTTGTTTTTTTTTTTTTTTTTTTTTTTTTATGTATTATTAATTTATTTTATCATAAAAGTTTTGTGCGTTTTTTTTTAGAAATATGCAACAACGAAGACCTTCCAGAAGTTGAGTTAATCAGTTTGCTGGAAGAAACTATACCACAGTATAAATTGAGAGCAGACACTTTAACACAGTTTACTGGTAAGAACAAAGAATTTGATTTAATTTATTTTTAATATTTGCAATCAATTTTAATATTTTATAATATACTAATTATACATAGTGGTTTTAACTTTAATAACTAGTGATTATTCACAAAGATATAAAATACATTTTATTTTGGATTTATATGAGGTTTTACAGTTATATTATGATAAAAAATCTTATCTGTAGTATTTTCAAATATCAACATTAATTTGATCTGCAAATAGCAAACCATATTTATTTTATCTTAAATTTAAAAAGAAAACATTTATTCAAATGGTATGATATGCATTGATCTAATATATGACTAATATTGTACAATTTATAATAAGTTAAAATTTAAATTAAAGGTATGGTGTAAGATATTAATTGTTAGATAACTATTCTATATTTCATAAAACTAATTGATTTAATAATTATTATTTATATAAATTTAAGCCATTGGTTTAAGAATAGTTGTTTCTGTAAATGAAAATATTTAAAGAAAATTTGGTCCTTAATCAAAGACAAAAATAAAAAAATCAAAAATCATTACATATATATAAATGGAATAGAGGTAACACTTTGAAAACAATGTAAACACAATTCTAGAATGACTGCCAAAAAATAGAAATCTGATATTTTTGTTTGTAAAAACTAATATATTGGCATAAAACCAATATCACACCTGGAATTTTATTGGTTGCATATAATACAAAGATAATTGAGTTTTCTGCGTAAATATATTGGTATTATATTAGATACTATACTTATTAATGAATGATGTCAAAATTAATATTTTTCGATTGTTCTCGGACTATTTGGCATAAGCACCAAAAACCATTTATGTATGATTTAGTTTGTTCTAAATTTATTTGCCGTAATTTTTTGGTTTAACTTTACCTATTTAATATTATATAGCTGTCAGTTAAAAAAATAAAATCATTTTAACTTTTTTTAAGTTTTACATAAAAACATTTAAACATTGTTAAAGTAAATTTCATTTATTATATTGATACCAGAGTTTGTACGTGATAATATTACATATGCTAAAGTGACACAAAATGAATTTTGAAAAATTGGCGGCTAACACCAAATAGTCTGGAAATAGTAAATTCATTAAATAATATAAGTTAAATGTTATGTTTAAAAAAAAAATGTATTTTCTAAATTTTCAAACTGATAACTGATATTTTCAGGGATATGTATTTCTGGTATTTAAAAATTGCATAGTTTTTAATATCAACTTATGACTTTTATTTTAAATATTAGATAGGTTATTAGAAGAAAATATCAGAAAACTAAATAATATCATCACTACTTAATCTTGTATTGGTATCAAATTTGCAAATTTGTATTCAGACAATATTTATTTTTAATTCCCTTACTTTTGACATTTAAACTAATTAAAGTACTTTTTTTCAAAGAATAACACTAATTATTTCTAAATAATATATTTCTGTATTTTTTTATTTTTATTATTTAAAGTCTAGTCCAAATATTAAGTAATTTTGTTAATAACTTTATTGCTTATATTATAATTTATAAATAATGTGAAATAATGTACAATCATTAGTTCAAAATCTTTTATATAGATCAGATGTTTCAGATTAAATATGTCAATTCTAATAAATTATTTATACAATTTCAGGCTATGAAAATAAAGATTGGTATATTCCAAGTCCAGCATTAAATGAAGACGAAGTTGATACAGCCACTCTTTCTAAAGAATATATTCGTGAAACTCTAAATTATTTTCGTAAGTATTTATAATACATTTTTAACTAATACAAATAAAAAAATTAATTCTTATATTTAAGAATTATATATTATTAGTTATTATAATTGTAACCGTTATTACAAATTAATTACTGTAAAGTGGTTGTTAGTACTTTTTGTTACAAATCAGCAAAATTCTGTTGGTTAACTGGCAACAAATATACTTTATAAGACACATTATTATTACTCATAATTATATTATTAAATTCTCATAAATAATCAATAGATAAATTATAGATTAGCTATAATTTCATTTCTGAAGTTATATTATTCCATCGTTAAAATTTAACAGTAAATTTCTTTATTTGTAATATCTAAATTATAATATTCCAATACTCTACCAAATAAAAAAAAATGAATTGTACTAAAATTTTTTATTTATATCCTTAATCTAACAGGGAGTATTAATATTTAATTTGATTATTAAAAGTTATAAATTATAAGTTGACATAAAATTAATATTTAAAAAAAAAAAAGTAATTAGTTAAATACATTTAGGATTTGATTACATTTTACGGTTTATTAAAAAAAAAGTATAAATAATCTCTCTAAAATACTCTAATGAGTTAAATTATTTAAGAAAATCATTAAATTGTTCTGTTAAAGTTTGAGCATGCTTATAACACTGAATAGTTTTAACTGACCAAAAATAAACATTATACAAATTAATTAGTCCCTTATAGCAATTTAAATCTAAATTGTAAATAGGTGTCTAATTACACTAAAATATATAGTTTTTTAAACTTCTATTATTTCTGATTAAGTATTTGACATTTTGAAGTATTAATTATTGTTCACAATTTGTTTTATTCTATGTATAATAAAAACCTAATTCACTACATTCAGAATCTAAAAAAAAAAATTATTTTTATATTGTATTATTGATAATTTTTTAAGATTTTAACTTAAGCATATTATTTACTGAAATGATCCAATACAATGGTACATGATTAATAATGATGTATCATTTATTATTGTTTTTAATTCATGAGAATATTTATCTGTTGTCATATAAGTTATAAAAAATATGATAAAATAGTAAAAGTAAAAACAAAATTATTAAAATGGTTATTACTTGTAAATAAATATATAAATAGAAAATGTATTTAAATATTGGTATTTAGACTGAAATGAGAGTTTTAACAAAATTTAAGAGAATTTTGTACTGGGTTTCTAAAAACAATTTTGTTTAAATAAACAAGTTACAGTTATAATAGTTTTTGTTTTTGTTTTTTTATACATAGCAATAACTATGTATAAAATAACAATAATGTTGATCTTTGGCCTTAATACTATTTTCTTTTGTTTTGTCTCTTTTATTACATTAACCCCTTTCATTATTGTTCTGTATTGTAACTACTTATGCTTATATTATTATTTCAATTGTCGATACCTGTTTAAAATTTGTTTGGTACAAATTTATAAAATAAATAAATAACTATTTTGTATGTAAATTTTTTAGAAAAAAAAAATTGAATTTTATTTGTGTTTAAACTATAATTTTAATCTCTAACACATGCCCTGTTGGTTGACTGAGATTTAAAAATGCAGGTTTAGGATTTTATTATTATGGAATTTACTGAACCCATACCAAGCTTGCCATAGATATTTCACCTCATTTTTAATAAAAAAATTATATTTTACATCTTAGAGCGACTAGCTACAATGTCATGTTTAATCAGCTTTTTAACTTCCTATCCTATACTAAAATTAATGTTTTATAAACCATTTAATTACAATTTTTAATTTTAATATTTTATAGTAATTACTAATATTGTGTTTTGTATATATTGTACAATTTTTATAAAAATTGATAATTGATATAACTTAGCCACTTGGATATTATATTTTGTTTAAGATTGTAGACAAATAAACAGTACAGGCAAATGTTAAAAATGTGTGATATTAATGTTAATAATTAGTAATTATTATTATTTTTCGATTATTATCCGAGCCCTAATAATTACCTATTTTATATATTAGGTAGGTAAGGTTAGGTTAGATAGGTAACCTAGTTAAAAATTTAAATTGCTACTTCCATTTATATTTTGTTAGGGATTTGTTTTAATTGTTAGAAGACTACTATTATAGGTATTGTTATATTTGAGTACCTTTATCATTATTCATATAACATTTGATAGTTTACACCGAAGAAAGTAAAACTTTTACATTAATTAAAATTAAACAAATTTAAAAGAGTTATTAAACTTCTAAAAATAACTTGGTTTGATTTATTAATTAACATATATAATTTTGATTGAGTAATTGTAACATATAGATAGTATGGAAAGTGATTGGAATACCAGTTAAGAATTATGCTAAAAAAACCACATGTTTGCCCAATAGAACATATTCTATTGCATATGATTGTTAGACATAAAAACTATGAGTCATTTTATGTATTGGATTAAAAAAAAAAAATACGGTTTTTATGAGAGATGGGCTACTATTAGTTAATTTTGATGATCTTTTGTAAATTTGACGTTTGTACCTAGGCACTTTTTTTTGAGCAGCCTTTAATGTTTTGTTGTTCGACATGATATTATATTCTGTACACATTGAACAATTAATTTGAGACAAAAGAGTTTACATTATTATTTTTTAGTTTATTAAAAACAACAAAAATCATCATATCACATTTATACTGCTCCGCAATGTATACTATGAATGACGGTTTTAACGATACAATAATATTGTGCATGTACAATTGTACAATAATTATCGTACGGCCAGCATCAATGCTGCGTAATGGGTTGGGCTTCGTTCTCTATGGCTTTATGCCACTACGATTTTCTCCGGCTCCTTAGTCGACCGCGTAATATCGTGTCGCGTTTTTGGTTAACGTCCGTGTTTCCGGTGTTTACATTCTTGAGTGTTTTTTTTTTTTTTCAATTGTAATTTATATCATGTATATTATAATAATGCGCGTGTGTTCGTTAAATATAACGTGTCACTTGATTTAAATTATGGACGTTCTCTGATAAAACTTGGGTATTTTTTTACATAATATTATTTTAAATATGTCTACATAAAATTTAAGTTTCCGTATTAAAGAATATGTTTGTCAATCAAAATCGAATTAATTCGTTCTTACAGTGTTTTCACAATTTGTTAACATTTATAATTACGGTCGTATAAAGTAAATTGCACAAGAACAAACTAATGTGTTAGAAAATTCGATTTTCGAATAAAATATGAAACGTTAACAATGCTAGATTTAGCTTCTATATTATTTATATTTTTGGCTAGTTTCATTTCGATCAGGTATACTGCAGTAATATAATTTTCGACTAGGACCTAAAATCGTTGGACAAACTTATTGATGTTGTGGATGTGAACCAGGTATAATAGTATGTAGTCGATAAAAAAATGTGCAATTGGTTTTAAATTTATAGAGGTACGTATTCGTAATAATTGTATACTCAGTAAAACGCTATCAGCGAGTCGTTATAATCCTATTTTTGAAAGTTTTCTTGTCACGAATAAAGCAGAATTTTTTTTTTTGATAATTTCATACTTGGGCCACTTAATACGGTCGATGTAATTGCAGTAGGTAGGTATTTGACCCTAAAGCCGTTTTTTTGTAACGCGAGACGATATTAAATTTTTGCAAAGAATTTATAAACAAATCAAAAAAAAAAACCAGGGCAATTGTTTTTAGACGTGCCTAATAATACGCCCGTCTTCACCTCGGCAGGTGTACCTATTTGCATTTTTTAAGCATATACGTATCGATTCCGTTTTGATGACCCGTGTGTTAATTATATACACGCGTAAAATGACAAATACAATAATATTGAATGAAGCACGAGCGCGACAGAATATGGTTAGTCATGCGTAGTAATTCTGTAACACGTGAGTAGAAAACTATGCACGCCTTGGTACACAATTATATCGTTTTTTCAAAAGTATCTAAGGTTTTTTCTTTTTTCTTGTTCTCCGGTGAAACAATATAGCCTATACTGAGGTAACGCGGGATAAATACTATATTCTCGAAAAATATTGTCGTTGCGTTGTTTTTAAAATAGACGTATTTTACAACGGTGCTCGATTCCCGGTTTAGACTTTGTTTTATACGAACAACTGTTTGTTATCTCGGGTTAGTAATTTCGTGCTGAACAAAACGAGGAGATAAGAGATTCACTTGTAGAGGTTTTATTATTATTATGATTGATGAATTCACTGTACCCACGGGCGCGAATTAATTCGATTTTGTCCCGTGCGCAACATCGCGTAGTGCAGTCTATAGTTGGTAATGTTATTGTTGAATATTTAGGACGACCGTTTATATAATTGTGACAAAATGTGATTAATATCCGTAACTTATAATGAAATGAGTATCCGTGATGACCATGATGATGTCAACCGCGTACAGCTAACGGCGGCGACGGGAACGGACGGCGGGCCCACCGGCGATTTTATAAACTATGACGGCGGAAAAAACGACGCCGATTCGGAACGAGGCGCAAAGGGCTTCTTGCCGCGCGTCAGCCCGCTGGTGGTCCGCTCATGTACGATGGAAACCCAAGGCGAATCGCCCAAATGCATATACCACTTGATGTCGCCGACCGTGCCGGCCAACACACCTGTAGATCCCAGATTTTCTTCCGAAAAACCGCCGAGAATCCGAATGATATTGCCCGAGCTCAATAGAGGTACAATCCGCTATACAATACGATTTCTTCGCATTAGTAATTCACCCGATGGTTAGGTTAACCCGCCTGTAACTTGTCCGTTGTGTAACGTTTTCATAATGGCGTGTAAAGGAAAAAAAAATTATGTGTCGCATAAAAGATATTTTGTAGTATTTTATTGATAACCGCGCAGGTTACCGAATAAATTATACTGCATTTTATTCGATTACAATAATCATAACCGATTGCATTATCAAGTGTCGATATTAATTATTAATAAATATTTCAAAATAATATTCAAACCTATATGGTCACAACCTCGTTATGACTTAATATTTATCATTATACAATGTATATATA